TTGATTTTGGATGAGAAGGTACTTGATGGACTTAACAGGGAGGAACTCGACAGCCAATGGGATCTCCATCGACGAGACAATAACACACTTCCGGCCAAGAATTCCTTCAAGCTCAAGAAAAATATACTTATCGCATTGAAGGCTCAAACAAAGATCACTTGCGAAGCTCTGGCTAAGCAGGCACATGTCTCAGAACTTCGTACGCCAGCCTCAGGTGGCTCACACTCAGGAGGTGATTGAGTTCAATACCTTTATTGCGCTTACTTTCCCTAGTTTATGTACTATATCTTTAATAATGACTTCTTCTATGCTTTTAGAAATAAATAGAAAGCTATCTTACTGATGTAGCACGGCCAGGGAGTGAAAATGAGTAGTTCAAGGACTTCACTATGACGAGACGCGACTCGCACACACCGGAGTTTGAAATTTTGGGGATGGGAAAGCTTACATAACTGTAACGCGTCTCGGGTGGGCGTTGCCCACCCTCACTGGAGAGTGTGAGGCCAACAAGGTTGCTGAGATTGAAAATGTTCGGGTGGATCCGTAAGGGTCATGTACCTCAGATTCCGCTAAGTCCCTCCGCACTAGCAATTGCCTCACTAAACTCGGAATGACGGCTGTGTAGGAGCCTGGGCATTAGCCCGTGTCATGCGAAGGACCGCTAATCTCCGAGCCTGGATGTCCGCTCCACCAGTTCGACTTGTATCTCCGACGCGTCTCGCTGCGGTCTTCTTCTACCAGTCTAGCTACTTACTTCAACCCCAAGGTCGCCCAAAAATCATCCAAAGCAAATGAGGCTGCATGACCGATGTCCATCTATCCCACTCCCTGCGGTCAACGACTCGATGCGCCGTTCCGTCCAGGGCTGCACTGTCGATCGGAGACCGTCGGGACTTGCCGCAGTAAGGGAAGCAAACTATTAAACTCCCACCACCACTCCAGATGCACCGACCGCACAGAGTAATAGTCGATCACACCTTTCCCCGGAGTGGTCAGCATTTTTCACGTTCCGGAGACCGTTCAGGCGCCCGAATCCCGCAGGCAACTTCTATTTAATCTTCTGGACTTTTGGAAGCTATGTCGTTAAAACGTCTCGAACACATCTCCTCTAGTAACCCTCAACCTCGACGACCATGTCCCGCGCACTCGAATCGCTGTTTCCAGCCCAGCTTCCGACCAAACTCCAGGATGTTGATCCCAACATTCTAGGACTCGCTGTCATCTCGTTATCGGCATGTGCGTTGGCATGGAAGAGCTACTCGTCTCGCAGGTCACGACCTATGCCCCCGAGCCCGCCGACAAACCATTGGTTCTACGGGCACAAAATCCCGCAGAACTCGGAATTGTGAGTTGTAATCATGCTTCAGGACACGTTCAACTTAACCATCTCGTGCTTTAGGCCTTTCCTTCAAATGGAAGAGTGGATTAAGGAGTTCGGTCCTGTCATTACACTCAGAGATGGAACAGAGAAGTACGTTGTCATAGGTGGACAGCAGGTACGAAGTATGAATCGCGTGGAGCAAGAGTATTTGCTCAACCATTATTTTAGGCGATCTTCGACATTATGGAAAGACAGGGCGGTCTGCTAGCTGACAGACCCCACCGCATTTCCATCACCGAGTTGCTCACTAGGGGCGTTAACATCGGATTTGCCAATGGCGCTCGGCTTCGTCTCATGCGACGGTTAGTATCTTCCCAGTCCAGGTTCCATGTCAACCCCCCGCTCATTCGCAGTTCGCCAGCGCATTGCATACCCACCTCCAGCCAAAAGCTATCGGCACCTACGCTCCTCTACAGATGGAACATGTTCGCGGGACAATTATTGGCTTGCTCGACGAGCCGATGAAATACCAGGGTCACGCGCGTTCGTACGCTTCGTCTGTCGTGCTCAAGGTCGCGTATGGCAAGAGCAAACCCGCCAACACGTCAGACCCCGAGGTGCAGGATATCGAGCGCAGCATGGCCATGATGCGTGATGCGATCCGCCCTGGCGCATACCTCGTCGACTATGCGCCGTTTAGGTGGCTTAAGTATATGCCTTGGTACGGACAAGAGCTTAGGAAGACACACGAAACCGATACGAAATTGTTCGTGGGGCATTTGGAGAATGTACAGAACAAGCTGGTACGTGTGGTTGTGCGCCATATTACGTTGCCAGAACGTTCGCTCATACTCAATCCTGTTTTATAGATTGATGGTGACGCGGGCCCCTCGTTCAGCAGACACCTGTTCGAGAACGAGAGCAGCTACGGGATGTCGCGCAAGGAGATGGCCTTCCTCGCTGGCTCATTCTACGCCGCTGGCTCTGAAACCGTAGGCATCACCCTTCGTCTACAAACCGATGCACTAACTGACCTGTGTTCCAGAGCGCGATCGGAGCGTGTCAGATCATGATGACCGCTGCACTCCATCCCGAAATCCAGACTCGCGTGCAGGCCGAGATTGACGCAGTTGTCGGGCGTGACAGAGGTTCGTGCACGATATAGTTATGTGCTGTAGCAATGCGGCCGACGTGACATCTCTTACAGCGCCGACATTCGACGACGAGAACTCGCTCCCGCTCGTCAGGGCGTTTGTGCAAGAAATGCACCGGTGGCGACCGATTGCTCCTACAGGTGCGTTACTATATCGTGTAATGCAGCATTGAGTCACATTGAACCATATCCTTAGGTCTCTCGCACTATACAACCGACGATGTCATCTGGGTAAGCCTTTTCTTCCACCTTGCTCAATGTTTTTACTGACCGTGTTCACGATAGAATGGCTACTGTATTCCCAAGGGAACGACTGTCTGGGGGAACCACTGGGCGATATCCCGAGACCCTGAGTTCTGGGCCGACGCCGACAAGTTCGACATCAACCGGTGGCTCACCGAAGACGGCGCCTTCCGCACGGACCTCAACGACATGCGGCACATCGCCTTCGGCTTCGGACGGCGGTTCGTCCCCCACATTCCTCTCACTGACTACCTTCGCTGAACCTGCCATCCTTTTCGTATCGTACAACAGCATCTGCCCAGGCCAACACCTCGCCCAACGCTCGCTTATCATCAACGCCATCGTTATCCTCTGGGCTTTCCGCATCTCGTTCGACCCGACCAAGTACTCCAAGGACGCGCTCCGGAACCCGGTGGAGAGCCCCGAAATCGATTCATTCGCGTATATGCGCGGCGTCCCGACCGACAAGCCCGCGTTCAGCTACGTATTCGAGCCGCGCATCGAGCCAGGCCGTCTGCGGGAAATGATGAAGGACTACCCGTATGCGTGAGCTGTGGTGGTCTTGCTTATTTACTGGGCGGCAGTTGTAGCGATGCGGAATATGTTCTACTGTGTTTAGATGCTTGGTTATCACATTTCCGACTTGAATATTGCTTGGACGTGTGTTTGAAGTCGTGGAGCTTGACGTCCATGGTTTGTTTAAATTTCCTATCCTGTCCCCCTTCCTTGATGTATTGTTTGAATATAAGATTCTATATACCGCGATCAGAATGTACTTGACTGTAAAGAAGGTTGTGTACAGTACTAGGGCAAACAGATGTGTCACGGCGCAAAGAACGACAGTACTTTTGAGCCAGACGTTGAAGGGAACGAGCACAGAATAAATGGCAAGCGAAGCAAAATATAAGACTGAGATGCGTTGAGAGAGGTAAAGTAGGGCTTACTACACATCCATAAGCAAAAATCGAGCATATATTTACTGTAAAGATACGGAAAGATCTCAGAACTACAGTCAGACAAATCGTGAACGGACGAAAACTCCATCTAGGCTTTGTCCGCCTCCAAGCACTCCTTCTCCGCCTCCTGCTCCGCGCCCAGCCTCTCCGACTCAATCGCGGCCCTCTCAAACTCCTGCCAGTCCCACATCCCCGCATTCGGCTCGCCCTCCCTCGACCAACCTAGCAAATCACCCGTGAGAATAGCGACACGGACGAACATCGACCCGTCCAGCTTCTCCACCTGGTCGAGGCCCGCGCCAGCGAAGTAGCCCGCGGGGCGGTGACCGTAAAGCTCCGCAAAATGCGCGAGCGCGCGCTGCAGTTTGCACAGGTGCTCGTTGGGGTGCACGAGTGTGCTCTGCAGGATCGGCATCCACGCGTTGGGCACGACGGCGTAGGGCGACGACAGGGAGGGGATGGCGTCGGCGGCCGGGGTGGGGTGCGGGCCCGGGAGCTTGGGGTAGGTGGGCGTGAGGGCGTTGAAGCGCTCGATGGGGAACGAGGGGCGCCCGCGCACGAGCCACCAGGTGATGGAGGTGAGGAAGTGGGCACGGAGGAGCAGTGACTGGGATCTGTGGCTGACTTTGGCGCAGACGGAGGGGAGGAAGAGCGCGGAGGTGACTGCGTGCATCCTGTGGAAAGGCACTGTCAGAAACGTCTTACGCTGAGAAATTGGTTAGACGAACGTGAAGAAATCAGCTGCGTACGGCTCCTTCTCACTCCAGCTGCCGATACCGTAGATCATGGTCACGGTCCAGATGAGCTGCTCGAGATAAAATTCGTAGTCTTGCTCATTCTGAATGTCGACGACCCATTGAGCGCCATACTCGACGATGATGTCACCACGCGACTCGAGCATCTCCGCATACTCGTGTTTGTCGAGAATCCTGTCCTCGAACCGCGGGTCCTTGAGCATCTTCGCCAGGATGGAGAAAGGGTGGACCTTCGGACGATCCAGGGGTTGGGACCTGAAGAGTAGTTGCGAGACGAGAGTTGTAGCTCCTGCTGGGTGTATGGACGTCTGAGCGAAACCTAGGGTGATATCCGCTTCAGTGACATATACATTCAGATAAACCGGAGTCACCCACCTTCAGCTAGCATACCAGGCAATCCGAACTCAACGCCATAGCCGGTATGAATCAAAGGGTGCATGATGATCTCAACGAATCGGTTCAGCATCTCGGGTTGCTTCTCGCCCTTGGCCTCACGGGCGGGATCGATGTTGTACTTCTCGGAGAAGATGTATTCTTCAAGCAGCTCGGAAGCAGATTTGCGTAGGACCAGGTCGTGGAAGTAGTTGAGGTATCCGGTATAGTAGCTGAGTCGAAGTAAGGTCGGCTGTGCTTAGCATGATAGCCGGACATAACGTACTTTTCATCACCGAGATGCTCGACGAAGTTGGTGTCTGTGATCTCCTGTGGAGGCTTGAACTGGTCCTTCATGTGGTCCACGTGGGTGTCATTGTATGCAGACTCGATCAAGGGTCCGCTGGCGCCTAGAGCCCAGATGCAGATGAGGTGGTGGGCTGCATGACTGATGCGATGGTAAGGACGATGTACAGAGCCTCAGCCAAGGCAGAAGCAGGTCGACGTACTTGTGAAAGCTTCGCTCGTTGAAGAAGACATGGTGCTTTTCATGGTTGTGCTTCAGCGTCTTGACTAGAGCAGCCGTGCACTCGGGACCCGAGTTGGGGATCCGACGAGGCGCGAGAACAGATGGAGGAGGGGCGGGGGCGGGAAAGAGAGCGCCGACATCCTGAGTAGACAGCGTAGGAGACATGGCAAAGTAGAGGGGTCGAGAGGAAGCCCAGAGACGACCGTTTGGAAGGTATTTATGAAGCCCTGAGAAGAGATGTCAGTGCTGGCGCTAACGTAGCATCGGGCAAGCAACTTGAAAGTTATAGCCTCTGAATCGACGGATCGTGCCTACTTTCTCCTAGTCCCTGGTACTAGTGCGGTGGCTATGGAGGTAGCTGACGCGTCGCAAGGGTGAAACACATTCATACACTGATAGCATGAGAACGATGAAGGATGTGTTGCGGATACGCGGAGGTCCGAGTCGATGTTGACGACGCGCAGTGCAAAAGGAGCGCGGAAGACATCGCCACCCGAGCATTTCGGAAGCTCTCGCGGCCAATCCATAAGACCATTCGGTTAACACCTTCCGTTTAGACATCTCGAGCATCGAGACTATCTGCATCAGGCTGCTACGCTGTGTTTATAGCCACGAATACGATTGCAATACCGTAGACTAAGTTAACAGGAGATCCAGCCGCACACTGTCAGTGTCAATGCTCCGCCGAGCCTTCAAAGTATGATTTGCGCATCAGCCCCTATCCACGCTAACCTCCGAGTTCGGATGTTTGCTCCGCAAGTCCGACTTGCATCTCGCGTCCTCACTGGGGTCGTCTTTTAAGTTACTCGTATCTTCAATATTTCTGCCCGCTTTTATTTGGTTTTTTGTTTGTGCTCTTGATCAGATTCCTCTGAGATCAGATTTGCTCCCGATCCGGACATCCTCAACCATTTTGGGCCATACTCCCGTTGATAAGATAATGGTCCCTGAGCTGGCGCTTTGCTCGTCGCCATTCTTTCCTCCCCTCCCCCTTCCCCTCCCCATTTTCGCACCATGGATCCTCGCAGTTGCACGATTGGTATGTCGTCCAAGTCCTCTAATGTTTACACACGCTTATTTCAGCCCCACCAGGACTACGGAGCAGGGTTTTCAGTGCGTACCATATCTATCGCTTTTTGGCCACGATCTCACGAAAGCATGCTCCCAGGTGGCGATAGCACTCTTTCCGACTCCAGTTGATGTTCGCAAAGAACACCTTGCCTCCATCCGATTCTACCCCCAGTTTTCTCGTGATCCTTCCCCTCGTTGCATCCGATGCAGGGTTCGCAGGTATGCCCTCTCGCTCAAACACCATTCCCCACAGATCAAAACGTCCATCGCAGACACCTATGGGCTCATGATCGGCCACGGTCAGTTCGTGCCCCGCCACACGGCGCGCCCTATCTCATCCCTGGCACCTTGGCCTGCCCGACCGTGACTGAGGGCTTGCTCTTACGCTATCCGCCTGCAAGCGTAAACCAGCAAGCCGCGTTCAGCAAGCTCACACCCACAGCCGAATGGCCACTCGCTGAATTGGTATGTCGCTCAATTTCTTTTACACCTGTACTCACTTCAATCGCAGACCTGTCGTGACCACGGGGCAGATTGCAGGTGACCTCAGTACCCTTTCCAACTTGGTCTCAAGCTTCACCAAGCAGCCTCGGCCACCATCGTTCTTCCACCGGTATCCATTACTGTTACTGTACGAGATAAAAAGCACAGGTACGCTCTCTCACACGAGTACCAACTCTCGCTGCTTTCCGCCATCTGAACGTGCAAATAGGTGTGGGAATGTCCCGCGCGCTCGGGTATACAAGCTCATCACAGCGCGCTGGCCACGTTCGTCCGCACACCCCTGTGAGACTTAAGACTCCTGCTGACGAGGCGCTGGCCTCATCGCTCACGCCCGCGTCTCACCGGAGTTTCCTTTGTTTCGAGCCTCACGTCTCTATAACTACATTTTTGCTTATTTCGGTTACACTATAGCTATGATTTATCTACTATCTTATTTGCCACACCAACATGTAATGTTACAAACCACTGTGTGCATGCATCACCCGAGTTTCTGGCCTAGCTAGTAGCCGCGGCACGGACCACTTCATACTTCAGGCCTTAGGCACCATCTTTGGCGGGGCACGCGTACTCTGGATGTACTCTGTCATATTAATGAGTCTAACCCCGGTATTCACTCCGGTTGAGACACTCTGCTGATGGTACCTTCCTGACTCCATCAATATCCGAATGAAAGATCGTGCTGCCATCAGAGGTTGATAGATCTGAAGGTTCTGGAAACCTAATATAAGTTTTTGCTGGTTTGATACATCACGGTTGCAAAGTGCAAGCCCTCATGACAGGTCCAACTTGCCGAGACAGGGGAGGATGACCACCATAGGAAAACTCATGAAGCAGATGAGATTTGATTGCATAGCACCGTGACACGATAGGCCGTGGTTGACGTTGATCTAGAAGCTGTCTGATTCTCTCACGTGTAGCAGACGACAGTTCGTACGTGCTCTGATTTTTCACGTTTTCGCCCATCAATTGTGCCGTAGCGGAGCACGGCATGTCTTGTTTTACTATGCCGGAACCCCCAATGAAATCCGTCACCCGCAATGAAATTTGTACATAGCGTCCGTAGTTTTCATATCTCTACCAAGCCGCGCAATACGGTCATAGAATAGTTTCATTAGATGGCCCATGTTCAATCTTGTAGGTATATACCAAGGGACAGGGGAGGGACAGTCGAATTTCATTGCGGGTGACGGTTTTCATTGCAGGTTCTGGCATAGTATCAGTGTACTTCTTCAACCCAAGAATTGCCCAACAACCGTCTGAGACAATTAGGCTGCATGGCCACTGTCGTCCAAGTCCACGTAATCGCTGCATCCAATACCTATCTATCCCCTTTGGCAGACCGCACCATTCGGCCGGATTATATGCCGTGGTTCTAGTGCGACGGTGGTGCTAATTGGAGTAGTAGCATGAAACACATCCCTCGGCCATGATGGACATTGTCTGGACGAGAGGATGCCATGTTGCAGTAAGGCGCAGAGAGACAGCACGGGCTCTGAGGTGACATTCTCACTTGTTAGGTGTTGGTGGCGTTTGGCACCAACAGCAGCCACCCCGACCTTTTACCCTCTATACTGACCCTCACCGTCATTAGCACGACCGCACTCATGGACACAGCGTACCCAAAGGACCTAGCGATTGCCAGCTTGAGCCTGCATTCTCTCGGGCTAGCTGCTATGCTTCTGGTCTCCGGTTTACTCGTATGGCAGGCTTTCGTGCACAAGCGTACGAATGCACTATCGATGCCTCCTAGTCCACCTTCTAACCACTGGCTTTGGGGACACGTTCTTCCTAAGGAATAGTACGTGCATCTACTTTTCACGTGTTCGGACTGCCTGGAGTCGAAGTAACCTAACGCGTTGGCTGCAGCCCATTTCTTCAGATCGACAAGTGGATAGCAGAATATGGACCCGTCATCACCCTCCGGACGGGGTTCACGAAACACGTCCAGATTGGTCGCCAACAGGCAAGTGCATCGCATGTGTTGTATCTTGCATCAGCCTCAAACGGTACCTGCCGCTCGTCGTAGGCACTGATTGACATCATGGAGCGCCAGGGCACCGTGCTCGCGGACCGACCACATGCCATCTCGACGTCAGAGCTTTTCGCACAAGGCGCGAGCATCGGGTTCGTCCCTGCCGGGGAGCGCATAAAGTCGATGAGGCGGTACGCTCTCATCACACACAAACGGAATGTAAAGTTGACGTCAGTTTCATCCAGAGCCCTGCATACATATCTAGCACCGAGGGCAGCGGAGCATTACGAGCCTCTCATCACTGTGCACGCAAGAGCTTTTATTCTCGACCTTCTGGATAACCCTTATGACTTCCAAGAACACGCAAAGACGTACGTTCTCTCCTTCTTTCTTGTATTCGTGGTGCTACAAGGAAACCGATAAATGTACAGATTCTCATCCTCCCTCGTCTTGCAAGTTGCATACGGAAAAGATACTCTCACACGCGCGTCTGATCCTAGCGTGCAGCAGGTACAAGATCAGAATGAGCGACTCAGACTTGTGATGAGTCCTGGAGCATACCTCGTCGACACCATTCCTATGCTAAAGTACCTCCCGTGGTATGCCCGTAGGCTGAAAGACGGGTTCAAGAAGGACAAGGAGCTTTTCGAATCTCATCTTGACGACATTGAAACGAAAATGGTACGACTATCTACCTGAAGACCCCCATGATTCCGACTTTTCTCATGCGTGTCTCTACAGAACAATGGGGATCCCAACCCGTCTTTTGCTAGACACTTATTGGAGCACGAAGAACAGTATCAATTATCACGCATCGACATGGCCTTCCTTGCTGGGGCACTCTTCAGCGCGGGTTCGGACACCGTAAGAATTGCTTGTCGTAGACAGTATTGATGATATTCTAGTGACGAGCTCATCTCACAGACAGCAACTGGAATCTGCGGGATCTTACTTTCACTTGCGCTACACCAGGAAGAACAGTGCATGGTAAGTGAGGAGATGGATCGCATTGTTGGCACAGAAAGAGGTGAGTACAAAGCTTGAGCCTTTCTAATGCTACCTACTGACGCCACAATAAGTTCCGGTATTTGGAGATGAGGACTCGCTGCCAATTCTACGAGCGTTCATTGCCGAGACTATCAGGTGGCGCCCAATCGCACCCTTAGGTAAGAGCGCGCATCGGGTATAGACGGATGCATAGCTTATGCTCTGCAGCTCTGGCCCACAAAACGACAGCGGACGTGTACTGGGTGCGTTATGTCCTCCAGAACTTAATCTATACTCTCGCATGAAACAAAACCTCTCAGGACAAATACTGTATACTGGCAGGGACAACCGTTCAAGGAAGTATCTGGTGAGCTATTCCTTCTTTTTAACCTCGAAGTTAGCTCAACATTACGTCGATACCTAGGGCAAGCTCGCGTGACCCCGACTTCTATTCTGATCCAGAGAAATTCGATATCAAACGATGGCTAACCACGAGAGCTTTCCGCGAAGACATGAAGTTCCTTGCATTTGGGTACGGACGAAGGTATGGTCATTATTGATTACATTTCTTGCGGTGTGCTAATAGCGTCGGTTGTGCCCACGTGTAGGGCATGTCCTGGGCAGCATTTAGCAAACAGGCAAGTCGCAGTAGTCCGCTAGCCCTACCATGTAACTGACTTAGTGGTCATGAAGATCACTTCTCATCAACACGATGCTTGTCGTGTGGTCGTTCCATCTTTCCATGAGCCCGATCAAGGACTGCGATGACCGTCTGTATCTTTCGGGGTTTCCTCATCAACGGGCTTATGATCTCCGATTTAAGTCGAGGATGGGTTCTGATACGCTGAGAGATGCAATTAGAAGACCAGCCATATTGACTTGATGACTGAATCATTCATGAGAACACCTGCACCAAGTTATAGTTTAAAATTCACCCGCATTTCAGTGCCGTTACTTTGTGAATATGGAATTTTGAGTAGCGACGGGACCCAGCATCTCTGCTGTTTTTTATTCATGGCCCGCAGCTTATTATACCCTTTTCTCATACGTAATGTTTGAATGAAGACCTATTCCGTCATTTTGGGCATGAATGCATGATCTTTGAACGTTCGTAGTTATAATCCGAGCTCATTCTGTGTTTATTTTACAAAGGTAGCTGCCAGACATAGTTTCTATCCCTAATTCGCGGCTGAGCCAGCTCCTTAATCACCCCAATAAGGTCAACTCAACAAGATACAGTCATCAGGGGTTGTAATAGTCTCATCGGTCTCTCCCTGGCTTGTTTAGTATACAAGCATTTCGGGGTTTCTCTGCGACATGACACTCTCACAGCCAGATGCGCGCTCATATCTTTTATCACCGTGATCTTTTGATTGAATCAAGGTTGAAGGCCAGCGTGCTCAAGGAGGCAATGTAAAGTTCGGAAATATTGGGACAACGGCTGGTTTTGTTCAACAGAATATAGGTACATGGAGTATTGTAGATCATCGGCCAAAATTCTGCTCTACTTACCAAGGTCCGCTCCAAAGACCTACAACAAAACCAAGCGGTCAAAAGGCGCTCTTGTTGGTAATGTGCACGCCTTCATGGCTGTTCTCCTGAAATCCACAATAACTTCAAAATCTTCCATCTACAGTCTGGTAGTCGGGTACACTCTCAAACGGATTACCATCGTTGCCAAAATGAAGAGGCTCCTGGACGACAGGATATAGTTCCCGAGATGACATCTGATGGTATGCAGCTACTTCTGTGGGTGTAGATGTGGATCATTACATATACATGGCATCCTCGCGCAAACGAACTGCTCACCAAGTTGGAAATAGCGTCTCGTGGATTTCTCTCGTCGATAGAGTATAGATATCCACACTAAGGCCCCAAGAAGGAAAGCTCCGAAAACTCCGCCAATAATCCCACCCGTTAGAGTCGCTTTGTTTGGATGCAGCGAACTAGTAGATTGCTGTGTGGATGGAGTAGGGGTGGAATGAACCGAGTTTGAGATCAAGTCTAATACTGTGCTTAGACGAAGCGACGGACAAGCTCAAGAAATAGCAGAGCTCACTGGTGGAAGGTACTTGATATTCAAAGTAATCCAACCACAGCCCGCCACCACCCATGTTCGATACTACGAGAGTGTGCTCGCTATAGTTCATCGGTCCTGAGGAGAAGAACTGGTAGTGATAAGCTGTGTCGGTAATATTCAACGGAGAGGTGAAGCTAACGGGCTCCCCTCCGTCGATGACATATTGAGACCTCGGTGTGCCATTGGGATCAAAGGAACCGATCGTCCCATAAACAGATATCGATACACCTGCAAGGCTCGTATGAATTTCATGCCAGAAAATATACATTTATCACGTCAATAAGAAGAAACGTATGAACGCACCGGTGAAATTGAGTGTTGCATAATCCGTGGTTGAATTGCTGTAATGCGTCGAGTTCTGAAATTCCATCGGATAACTTCCAGAAGTTGACCAGCCTCCTGAGAATTGAATTTGGCTATCCGTATCATCCACAATGACAGTCAAGTTAGTCGCCATCGCAAAGCACCTGATAGTGAAGTAGGTAGTTATTCCCAGTCGGAAGATGGTTAAGGGCGTTCCTGCCAGTTCCGTGAGCGCGAGTCAGCCAGGTTTTAAGGGAATATTAGTGGTGCATAGGATTCACCATAGGTACGCCGCCTGCATGTGCACGCACCAGTACGTGAGATCACTGAGCGGGACATGAGTTCACCGGGGAAACTTGAAGTACTTAATTGGTACTTAAGCGCTCTTCCGCATGGTGAGCTGTTACCTCTCTGCATTCCCATCAGAGCCTTTAACACCGGCCATCCTCACCTCCGGACGTTCAGGCCCAGGCCGTGGAATTGACTGATGTCAATGTACCTTGATCATTGAGAATCTGAAAGGAAGAAGAAGAGAAATAGGGCAAAGGACATTATAGATTTCTCTCTATTGGAATGCTCGATTCACCGCTTCGACGTCACGGAGAGGTCGGGAGAAGCAGAGAAGCTAAGAAGCAGTCCAAAGGAATTCGGGCGCTATTCGCTATATATATACACGCCCGTCCGCGTCTGCTTGCCCCACTCGCGTGTACCACTCTATAGCGTCTGGGACTTACAAGCACAGAATCTAACACTCTCTGATTCACAGTCTGAAGTATCAGATCTCAGAGCTGACGGTCACCTTGGATGGCCAGCCACAGTGAGTTCGCTGTGAGAGAAAGCTCCAGCTCTACGTATGACTACTAGCCTTTCGGATATATCAAGCTTCAGCTTCAGGCTTCAAACTGCAACGGCACAGCCATTGTTCCGAATCATGCCACTTCTATACATGCTGTGAGTGTCATCTTATTAACATCGGAAGGTCTGGGTGGTCTGGGTGGATATATCATATCTCTTGTACTTTGTACGCATGGCAGGCGGTTTGTACTATCTTCTTCCTCCTATCAAAGATAACGGACATATGCAAAACAGAAGTTGGCACACCGTACAAGCTGCTTGTTAAGTAGAATAGACAGTCAAAACCAAGGTGTATGTATCTCAAGATCTCAGTATCCAAACGAAGAGGCGATCAACAGAATATTTCGCACGAAAGCAAAGTACGGAAACGTCCAGACTGGCAGATGTCTAAATAAAAAGGTACTTGTAGCGTGTACATCATTATACCTCTTTCCCAGGAACCTATTCATATTCCCCCACGTACACTTTGGTAGTCAGGTGCGCTGCTGAAATGATCATCATATTCTACAGTGGAAGGAGGCTGCTGGACAGCAGGGTACAGTGCCCGAGACGCCTTCTGCTGATATGCAGCTACTTCTGTAGACGTGGATGCAGATCAAAACTTGGTCTCATCACGAAAATAAACCTGCTCACCAAGTTGAAGATACCGTCTTTTGGCTTTCTCTCGCCGATACAGTATAAATATCCCCACTAAAGCTCCCAAAACTATCGCACCCAGGACGCCACCTACAGCGCCCGCTATGAGCGTTTGCTTGCTTGATTGCGACGAGGATGACGAAGGCGGAGTCACTGGGGCTGAAAGAGAGGCTTAGAGTACTCCCCTGTCAGCTATTGAGTATGTGCAAGTAAAAAAGAACTTACTCGGGGAAGGTAAATACTCGAAGAAGTCCAACCACAACGTACTATTCCCCCCTTGATATCCACCCATATGAGTTACCACCAAACTGTGCTCCCCATCGCTGAGTAGTCCTGAGGAAAAGTACTGATAATGATAAAGTGTTTGCGAAACGTTTGGAGCAGTGAAGTTGGTAGGTTCTCCGCCGTCGATGACATATTGAGATTGTGGTATGCCAGCATCGATTACCGTTAAGCCAGTTCCGCCGAGCGTCCCGTACACAGATACCCATACACCTGAAATGTTATATGAGATCAATTCCTGGGAATGTCAACTTCAAGAAAGAGATGGCTATACCCGTGAAATTGAACATCGCATATTCCCCAACTCCAGCCGTCAAATGTGTTGTGTTGTCATATTCCGGGTAGACCCCACCGTTAGTCCAGCCACCTGAATATTGGACTTGACTGTCTGCTTCGTCCACGATGATTGTCGAGTTCGTTGACATTGCTAATTTCCTGAAGATGACTTAGGCCGACAGTCGGGGGCCAGTTACAGGAAGTTCGCCCCACCTTGCTTTATTAAGAATACAAAGTCAGGCAGGCAAGTTGACGGGAATATAAATACTGCCCGGGAGTCGCTATAGTTACATTACTTATCGCGTTTTCACTGGTATTGGAGATTACGGAATGGAACTGTACCCTACTAGGGGATCTTGAAGGCAACTTGAAGGTCATATCTGGCCCTTATTGAGTCGCTAACACCCCTCAGCTCGTTGTTGCACCGAGGACGACTGATGGATCTCACGGGAGTCTGGGTAAACACCCGAGATCATTTTTCATTGATCGTCTTGGAAAGCCAAAGTCCTAGTGAGCCCTTCGTGAGAAAACTCTCGAGGGCAGTTCGGGGTTCCTGCATTGGGATCAAGCGACAAGTAAACATCCGTGATGCCCAGGGAAAGAGGCGCAGTGCACGAGGATTTTGTCACATTATATAAGCCTGGATAAATAGAATATCTAACTCCAGTTCCCGCATGTTGTACTTGATGGTTATAATATAGAGGTCACGGATGGTGGAAGTTCAACGTTCAAGAAATTGGTCTAGATATCAGACTGTGAATTGCCAATGTAAAGCAAAAGATGGTGCTATGCATATGGATTCTTGTCCGCGTGGAGCTCGAGCCAAGCTCGAGCTTCCTTGTCAGGCGGTCCTTGGAGCCCGGTTATGACCACAACAGACAATGTACTTACTGATTTACGGGTGATCCAGGATCTCCGGAATAGCGTACGCCCAGATAGAACCTTCTTCCTCATTTACGTTGGTAGTTCTAGGACATCTCCTACCATTGCCACCCACGGCTCGGCGATCCATTAGTAGCCCCTCGATTTTTAATCATTGCAACGCCTACGAGCACGGGGACCGCCCAGTCCGCTGATGTTGTACTGATGTGAAGGGAGAGTGGTGTATTCAAGGTCAGGCGATGCTACGAGTAATAACTATGTATGCTAGAATTCGAAACAGCAAGTAGATGATTTCTCAATTTGTTGCGCATTTGATGCTGTTTATACCGTCATACCGAAAATTTAATGTATGAACTTCTACTGCGGTCAGAAATTTCGACAGCTACACCACACTTTAGTAGTCAGGAGCACTCTCAGAGGTATCACTGCCGTCCATCACGTATGGAGGCCCATGTGAGACAGGGCAAAGCGCACGAGACGACATCTGCTGATAAGCAGCTACTTCTGCAAACGGGGTCCCGTTGAGTATGATGCAAGCCCTGTTGAAGTCAGACTTACGAAGCTGCATGTAGTGTCGTTTGGCCTTCTCCCGCCGATAGATAATGATGCTCCACGCTAGTGCACCCAGAAGTATAGCTCCCATTACACCACCCACAGTGCCACCTATCAGCACTGCTCTATTTGAGCGAGGCATGGTCGATATCAAAGGGGAAGATGGCATCGCCGAGCCGGAGCCTGAGAGGGATGTTGTTATGAACACTGTGTAAGCAGACATATTGCAACCAGTTGCAAGTTCAGAACGTACTCGGCGAGGGCAAATACTCAAAGAAGTCTAACCAGAACGTCCCGTCATTTGTATTCGTCACGACCAGCGAGTGAGTTCCGTCTTCGAGGAGGTCCGATGAGAAGTACTGGTAATGATACGACGCCCCAGAGATATTCGGAGCTGTAAAACTGACAGGCTCCGCCCCATCGACGACGTACTGGGACGTTGGTATGCCGCCGAGACCAAAGCCGGACAGCGTTCCGTACACGGAAATGGACACGCCTTTGATATAGAAGTGAGCCAAGGGTAGATATTTGAATTCGGGGGGCCTAAGAGCGCACCGGTGAAGCTGAGAGTAGCCGTCTGCCCCACTCCGATGGCCGCATGTGTCGTGTTGAGATACTCCGGGTAGGACCCAGAGGTGAACCAGCCCTCTGAGTACTGCACCCGATCATCGTGATCGTCTACTATGATCATCGACATCGTGGACATGACGATACCTGCTGAAGCATGAGCCCTTTGTGGATGTCAACGCGGTAGGAGCTGTACCCACAGAGCAAGTTGCCTCTGCGGGTGTGTCTCTGTCGTGTAATGGGAATCTATCCGAGTGGGTCTGGTGTGTCGGGGAAGTTTATAGGCGAATGCATTAGGGCATGAGAGATTTTCCCGGTGCATGTAGTCTCACCTTAAGATATTTCGTTGGTGTGCTGTACACGAGGGATACAGCCACATCATGTCATAGCCACTGCGCGTCCGTCGTTGCTCGGCCCTTTCCCTTGGCTTGCGTTCCAATGACCAAATGCACATGTCTCGCCTTTGCGATCCAATGAAATCACAGGTAGCATGGGCCCTCGCAAGAGTAAGACGCGTTGGATAGCAGAGAGCAGTGGTGTGGTGTGCAGACATGGCACGCCTTTTCTCACCTTGTGAGAAGAGAGGACGCCTTGTCGTCATCCTTCATTCAGTATCAAGCAACGAAGAAGCAGCAGTCTTAGAGCTGGGGAACTCAAGTATATGAACCGCCGGGATGCTTCAGGTCACCTAGTTACTCGTTCCTTGGGGACCCCAGGAAAGCCAATCATTGATGGAGAGACATCGAACAATTACGACGTAGCTGATCGACATTATACAAGCGTGGGTCCACCTGAGAACATACATATTACAAAAATAAATTGGGCTGTGGGGGAGTCGGCCGCGTCTTTTTCCCAGGCTTTGCTCGAGTCGAGAATGCGCCAATGGATACTGACGGAGCGCGAGTAACAACCGAGAATGTTCGACAACGCAGGAACGTCAAAGTTGTGAAGGAGAGACATACGATGTGGACTCACGTCTGCTCAAAAACTCGGAATGATCGTTCCCAAAGGCGAGTCAGACCAGGGGAGAACGGAGGACGAAACGACCGAAGGGTGTGACCAGTAAGGGCTGAACGTTGAACCAGTAAGAGATGTCTTCTTTCCATCTAGTGTCTCTGACTTCATGTATTCCGTGAACCGATCCGGGAGACGTCTTAGGGTTGCGTCAGAGAGCTCATTGGGGCAATCGCTGGTCTCCGATGGGATGTCTTACAACAAATGTTGCCGTTTTGCATCTACGATAGCGGAAGTTTGCTCGTGGTGGCTTTCGCGGTTCCATTGCAACTAATCAGGTCGCGCGTTGACCGCACGATGTCGGCGGCATGACTCGACCATCGCTTGAGGATGCGCGATGTAATCGATGTGGGTCCTGAGAACAAACAACTTGTGAACATTGCCTGCCTTGAGCTCAAGAAAACGTAAGATGGTCGCGTTTTCCTTTAGTTATCGGCCATTCCTCGCCTCCGCGTGAACGGTATGTCGTAGATATGCAATGTACGCGATGAGCGCGCACAGCTCCGCACGGTCCGCGCTTCCTTGTTGCTTCCTCACCGATGTCCGTCATTCTGAAGCCTTCGCGGTATATTCTTCACATCGAACGCCGGTATGATTGCCGTGCAGTCGTGTCGACGCGTCACTATGGATCCAGAAGCACCAAGGTCCTTGTCGACGAGAAGTGGATGAGTTGGCTATTTATCGCCGAGTGGCTTGCGTTATGTTTGAGGCGCGGGCGGGTGCCCCCAGGAAGCATTTCTACATAGATTGTGCCTGCTCAGGATCGCTGCCGCCGGAGAAGATGCGTGATGGCGGAGGGGTGAGAGGTGAGAGGGTGATTCGGATGTTTATTGCAACATATCACTTGGACGTGACCCGTGTCGGGTGGACTGTCGTGTCTAAAGGCGTTCACTATAAGAGAGTGGGAACACGACGTCGGCTTGCAAGTGTGTTCTAGGTTAAGGTGGGTCGTATCGAAGAGCAAGACATTTAAAGTTACACAGCCCGACGCGCCTCGCCCAAGATCAACTTTCGGATTCCGGAAAGAACGCCCCATCCGGACCAATCAGCGACCGGCGTCTATTCCCACGTAGGCGAAACTGCTCCGCTTCGGGCAGGCTTCGTCCGATGTTGTGCCAATCATGCTCAAGAAACTGACATGTCAAACAGATGAAATTTTTCAGACGCTCTGTTCCTCGCGTCCTGTCCCTGGGCGCTCCTATGTATATACCAAGCTCAGACAGTTTCAGGCAGAGGCAGAAGAACGAGCTCAAGACAAATGAGAAAGTAGTGAGTACGGACACGTATCGATGTCTTGTGTCGTCGTCTCAATGGCTCCGTGCCACCTCATGCCTTTTCAACGCTGCAGTGAAACCCCACTGGAGAATCACAAAAGCAGCCCAACCGGGGCGCTTGGCATGTCTTGGCACTTCGTTGCCTGATTGATCCACTGTCTCCCGGACCGCCTCGATAGGCAAGCTCAGACTTTGCCGACGGGGCAATGGATGACACAACAAACACTGGGCGCACGCTGTGTCCGTGCCTCTGACTGCCAGGTCTCATTGACGAGAAAGCACGATGCCTACTTATATTATCGCTGACAGCTCCGGCTGCATTCTCTCTCCCCTCCTTCCCCTCCTCCTCCCTTCACGCCCAATATGCGCTGGTCCGTCTTCGGTACCGCCTCTCCCTTCACCGCCCTTGTGGCTGTTTCGCTCCTTGCTGGTGTCCAGGCTCAGACGCCCACCGATGAGGCCAGCGAAGCTGCCATCAAAGGTATGTCTGTTTGCTCGACCGAGCCCTGAGCCCCAGTGTCTCACCCCGCTTCCCCGCTTCGTCTTTGGCCTTGGTCCTGCTTCCGTCCAGATGAAACCCAGGAGTGCGCCTGGTACAACTACGACCCCGTCGCGTCGCAGGCCCACCTCTTCCCGGCCAACGCACAGCCCGCATCGATTGTGCAGGGCGACTCGGACGCGCAGAACGCGTTCAACTCGATCCAGAGCAAGATCCCGAACATCAAGCCCAAGGGCACGCAGCCCGCGTCGCTCATGGGCGATTTCTCGGGCTTCACGTACGACCCGAGCGACCCCGACTGCTGGTGGACGTACACCAAGTGCACGACGCCCAAGGCGCAGGGCATCCCGAGCGACATCACCACGATGCCCGAGCCCAACACGCTCGGGTACGGGTTCGACGACGGCCCGAACTGCTCGCACAACGCGTTCTATGATTTCCTCGAGTCCAAGAACCAGAAAGCGAGTGAGTGGTTGGGTCATTGGGTGGCCCATCAATTTCATTGTTGGCTTTGGATCATTGATCGTGGTTTGTTTGACAGCGATGTACTTCATCGGCACCAATGTTCAGAACCTCCCTCTTCAGGCTCAGCGCGCTGTCACCGATGGCCACGAAATTTGCGTCCGTGAGTAGCCTCCATTGTCGTGTGCTGACATGCCGTGCTGATATTCGTCCCAAGATACCTGGTCCCACCGTTACAGTTCGTCTTTTCATTCCCATAAATTATTAAATTGTCTAATCGGACGAAAAACAGTGACTTCTCTCACCAACGAGCAGGCTTTTGCTGAATTCTACTACACCATCAAGATGATCAAGCTCGCCACTGGTGTCACCCCCACGTGCTGGCGTCCTCCCTTCGGCGACGTCGACGACCGTATTCGGGGCATCGCCAATGCCATGGGCCTGACCACGATCGTGTGGGTATACGACTCGAACGACTGGCGTGCGGGCTACGACGGCTACACCGAGCAGCAGGTTGACCAGAACTACATGGACCTGATCAACAGCGCCAAGAACGGCACGTTCAACCAACAGGGCACCATCATACTCACTCACGAGCTCACCAACTACACGATGTCGACCGCGGTCAAGTACTACGACCAGCTCAAGGACGCGTTCAAGTACATCGTCCCCGTCGGTGTTGGCTACAACGTCACCCAGCCCTACAAGGAGAGCAACTACTCCCAGCCTTCGTTCGAACAGTGTACGCATGTTTCTTGCTTCAGATAGTGTTCAGCTTTTGACGCTCTGTAACAGACATTGGTGGTCAGACCACCGTCTCCGGTGGCTCTGCTCCCCAGAGCAGCCCCGCTGGAGGTTCCTCGACGACCGGCGCCCCTGAGCCCTGGAGCACGAGTGGCTCTGGTTCCAGCTCCGGCTCTAGCTCCGGCTCCGGTTCATCCAACGGCGCCTCGTCCTCGATGCATCTGGGTGCGCTCGCCGGTGCTGGAGTGTTCGCCGGTGCCCTCTTCGCCCTCGCGGCATGAGCACGATGCCCCCGTGCAGACTATCATCCCAGCGACCAATGAGACGCTTCCATGCCAGATGGACGTTCTTCAAGACATCATTACCCGCATGAACCCTCTACCCAGACGTCCTCGCACGCTTTCAACACTTTATAGTCTTTGGATTCTTACTTAGTAATGCGTTGGTGCATTCGTTACGCTCGTTTCCCCTCTCCGCTCCTTTCTTAGGCGTGCGTATACCGTTATAGGGTCAGATTGTTGGTGTAAATGGACTTTTATTTCTTAATGATATCCCTGTTTCGTTGCCTTTTCCTTCCATCATCTCGCCGCTCTAGTTCTTATCTTTGAGTGTGAGAAGGCCACGATGACGTAGGCCAGAATGCATCCTATCAAGCACTGTCAGATCGAAGACGCGGAGCCTTGTGCTGGCGCGGTCATGTGATTCAATGACGGATTTTTCCATCAAAAAAGTGCCACCCTTGTACTTACGCGAGGCTTATTCGCTTTCTCGACGTCCGGGGACAAAAGGGAAGATGGAACTTATTGCCACCACTCTTTTCCCGCTCCTCCTTCATCGTAAGTTACGCGCCTGCAGGCAGCGCATTCTGCTCAGGGCTATTCCAGCGCCTGCCCCGTTCCTCTTCGGCTCCGCTCGCTAGTCGCTGTTCGTCTGGTGTGGCCTTTCCTTTTCGAAACGAAGCAAGTCTCCGGATCCTCGGTGCAAGACATCACCAATATTTATAGACGTTTATCATGGACCCATCAAGCCGCCCCTCGAGCTCTCGTGATAGAGACCACCTCGACCTCCCCCCACTTCCCGCAAGCAGAAGTGCAAGTGCAGAAGCCCTCACCTCTCCCAGCAATGCCAATGCCAATGCCACTCTCAACCCCAGCACAAGTGCCAACACCATCAGGCCCTCCTCGGCCCCGTCCCCCTCTCCAGCCTCCCCTGCTTCTCCCGCGGCACCAGCATTTGCCTCAGCAGCACCATCGCTCGTCAGCCAACCTGCAACCGACGCGCGGCCGGGAACGCAAGCCTCGTCATCGACCGCCCCTCGCTTCTCCCAGCACACCCAAGAACGGAGCGTGCAGATTTTGCATCCGTCCGAGCAAGTACCCGGGCCGTCCCGCCCGGTGCTCGATCCCCTCCAGAGCGGGCCGGAGACCATAAACCCGCAGCCCCGGCCACAGTCGCGAAGAGCGTCGGCCATGTACGGCGAGCGCGACCCGTACTCGATCCGGGACCGCGATGCGTCTGCCGCCGCATACGACAATGGCGCGTCTGCACCGCCGACGAGACGGTCGACGATTATTGCGGACGGGGATAGGTATCCGGAGATGGATGGCGGGGAGAGGACGCGGGCGAAGCCATCGAGGCGGTCGACGATGATAAGCCAGGTGTCGTCGAAGATAAATTTGGATGATATAATTCCGCACATGGATCGAGAAGCGGTGAGTCGCGTTCGTGTTGCGGAAGCAGCAAACTTTTGATCTCATCAATGTTCGTGCTATCTTTGGGGCGCAGCTTTCTCATATCCGAGACGTGCGGGTCAAGCTTCTGCTCGGGGCTGCGTATGTAGAGAAGCGGAAGTATCAGTGGAAAGGTGAGCTTCAATATACTGCATCCGTGCTTTTTTTCTTGACACTTCTTCAGCCAAAATCCACGGATACGCGCTCAATTGCGCTATCGGACTCCAGGTTCTTCTTGGAACGCTCACGACGGCTCTCTCAGTCGCTACCACAGGCCGGCAGGTGCGCTTTCCCCTCCCCACACCGCATATACCCACTGTTCTAACATGCAATCCTGTCCATTGTAGACGTCCATCATGACCGCAACTCTCGGCGGAGCCGCGACCATGGTCGCTTCCTACCTTGCGCGGGCGCGGGGCTCGGGTGAACCTGAGGCCTCGAATACAAAGGTCAGGGACCTCGACCAGTTCTGTCGCGAGTGCCTCTCCACGGACCTCGACGCGCATGGCGGAGACAAGTCGATCGTCGATCGCCGCATCAATGATCTGAGAGTGCGGTTTGAGGAGCTGCTAGGGAACGCTACGGCGTGAGCTCTTATCCCGTTGTCTTTGAGCTCAGGAGCGTGCTGATGTGCGTCTGAACGATAACAGAGACCGGCATACGTCATGACCACCTTCGTCAAGCTAGTCCGCTGGCAAGCTCGGTCCGGTCTAGCATGCAAGCGCTCCTTGTGAACCTCCCCTCGACGATACCCCGCACATACACCTTTATACCGACCAACCAACGCACTCAAACGCACAAGTGCTGTGCCCACGCACCACCACTCCTGGCCTTTACGGCCTTTCCTAATTCTAGCCTGTGAATAACTAACCCACCGCGTTCTCTTCCGTTGCCTTCTCTTCTCTCCGGGATTTGCTTCGCACATCGTCTTCTTTGCTCGGTCTACAAGCACGGTTGATACTTACTGCTACATATACCATTACTGTACTGTACTTAAGTCCAGGCCTGCTGCTAGAGGTATATAGACACTGTCCTGGAACCCCCACGCGCATTCTCACGCACCGTCTACCCAACTGACCAGATTATCCCTAGGCTATCTATGGCAATGCAACATGACCGCGTGATGCTTCTCTTTCGTTTGCCAGTGCTGAAACCTAAGTACTGATTTTACAAGTTTGAGAGTTCAAACGTTTGAGTTTGGTTGTAACCGTCAAGGGGCTATTTATTAGTCTGTGCCTGTACCTTTTTTTACATGTAAGATTGCTGGAAGTTTAAACTTCATGACTTCACATCGGCTGGCCCAAGTCTACAGTGCAATTAACTGTAGCATCGTCTGTTGCGATTCTAACCAGACCCCAAGGAACGTATGGCAAGGAAGCTCGAGGAGAATGACTCTGATAGTACACAGCATAAAATTATTTTTTTGGTTCTACACCAGTCATCACTTCGACATGTATGGTCGGAAGTGGTTTTACACTTTGCTATGTTCGCCAATCTCTCAACTTCCATCATCTGCGCCTTTTCAGCTGGACCCATCAGGCTCGACATGAGGTAACTAGAGGTGGATAGCTTAATTATCTAGGCTCACCCGTCATAGAGTTACCGCCCTTTTGGACTTTGATATGATCCAATAAATATCCCTGTCATGTAATGAGGCAAGACCTTCCTCATTGGAGCCTGTTTCCCCTGGGCATCAGAGATGTTTCTCTGTTGCATCACCATATATGTATCCCAACGCAGCGCATCATCGCTAAACTGACTCAGTCGAGCGTGCTCTCAGTGATGATGGGCTCATCAAGGAACTCTGGTTGTTCACATCGATCAATGGCTATTTTCGCACTGCGATCGGGGATTTACCCAGATTCCTGTGTGTCATGATACATCTATCCCGGGCTCAATGATTAGGCTGAGAAACTGAGATGAGATGAATGTTTGTAAAGTTCTCATAAAGATGCGGAACGTTAGCAACCCATCATGGTCCAGGGGAGCATTGATTAGCCCTCAAAACACCCTTCCAGGTTTATGTGCTGCTCAGCGGTGTCGCATACCAGTGCAGATTTATATGAACGGTAGTACTTATACCATCAGAGAATCTCAGATATTATTGATAGTACATTAATCCCCCTCATCTTGGTGGACTGACCTTGGTGAAGCGAAACGGGCCAACTACTTCCTTTAATAACCCTCCGACTGTTAACCTATTCCATTTCCAGAAAGCTTTCAATGGCAACTAACTCGACTATTATCGTAGATGAAGCAGACAGCCAAGTCCAATATTCAGATGGCTGGACTACTGGCGGGGATTATCCGGAATATTACAGCACAACGCATTTAACGACTGGGGTGGGGGAATACGCAATGTTCAACTTCACTGGTATGGCCATCTCATTGATGAGTCGACGTCGCCGGGAATTAATATCATACGAACATCATGATCGCAGGTATATGGGTATCTGTCTACGGGACGCTCGGCGGCACCGGCTTGCAGATAATCGACGCTGGCATACCACAATCTCAATATGTCATCGACGGTGGAGAACCTACCAGCTTCACTGCTCCAAACGTTTCGCAAACACTTTATCATTATCAGTACTTTTACTCAGGACTACTCAGCGATGGAGAGCACAGTTTAGTGGTGACTCATATGGGCGGGTCTCAAGGAGGAAGTAGTACGCTGTGGCTAGACTTCTTTGAGTATTTGCCCTCCACGAACCTGAGCGAGTTCTTTTTTCCTTGCAAATATTCATTAGCTGACAGGGGTGTTTCTTGGTCCTCCCTTTCAGCCTCAGCGACTCCATCCTCGTCATCCTCGTCACAATCGAGCAAGCAAGCACTCATAGGGGGCGTTGTGGGTGGGGTATTGGGTGCTATTCTTCTAGGAGCTTTAGTGGGGCTGTTTATAGTATATCGGCAAGAGAAAGCCAAGAGACGGTTTCTTCAACTTGGTGAGCAGGCTTCTTTGCGTGACGATACCAAGTATTGAGCCGCGTCCACGTCTACAGAAGTAGCTGCATATCAGCAGAAGTCGTCTCGGGCACTGTATCCTGTTTCCCGGCAACCTCCTTACACCGCGGACTATCCTGACCATTTAAGCAACTCACCTGACTACCAGAGTGTTGATAGAACTTGAAGAGGCTTCGGGGAAAGGGGTTTAAGTGCATAGATGTTACGAGGACTTTTTTGACGACTTGGCTTCATCAGTAGCTTGGAAATGACCTCAACGCATAGGGCAGGGTTTTAGCCGCAAGCTAGGGAAAATAAATTCGGCTTGGTGACTACTCAGGTACATGGTCAGACTCCTTGAACGCATTATCCTTCACGTGGCTGTTTTCAGGGGGAGTAGGGATGAACATTTGCGCATGGAGAGCGCTAGTTTGCTTGTCACATCATTATTCGAAACACTTGGAAGGAGAGGACACACGTCTTTGATTGTTCTTGATGGCCATGAGTATTGTCGAGATGGGTGTGCAGGGCCCTGATGGGGTAAAAAATTCCACCCATTCTATCCGTTTGGCATGAAAACGCCTCATCGCATCGACTTTATGCAATCTCCAGCAGGAACAAGTCAGGAACCCAGTTCTCGCGCATTAAGCGAATAGTTTAGCGTCAAGACGGTGAGTAGACAGTGGAAAGCAAGTCGCCTTGGCGCTCCATGATGTCAATCGATCCCTGTGATAAGCGCCAGTACCGCTCAGTCACAGAGTCAGACTGATGCAAGATAGCACCCATGGGGTACACAGTTGTTGGCGGAAAAGCTGGGCATGTATTGTGAGCCATATTCTGAACATGAATGCATGATCGATGGTCACCGGTCCATATTGTGCTATACACTCGTCGATCAGAACTTTGAAGAGGCTGCATCCGACACGTCAGCTTGCCACCACTCCAGGCCGTCCGAACGAGGGAAAATAAGGCTGTACGTACTAGCCCTTGGGAATACAGTGGCTCCTAATCCAGTGGTTTGGAAGTGGGTGGGAAAGACATTGGTATTGACATTGCACCCTAACGTTTGTGCAGGAAAGCTTACAATGATATAAATAGGCTGACGGAGAGTACAGCGTGGGGGAATAGGGGCTAGTACAAACAGAGACAAACGCCTGCGAAGGCCAACAACATTGCAACAACATTAAATAAGCGCCCACTGCCTCTATCTTTCTCTCTTTCGTGCCATCATCAACACGCCGAGTTTCCTCGTCCGCTTTCTCCTTACTACGCTTCATCCTATATCACTTCAGCTATGTGACACGAATAGCCTGGCAAGAATTCGAAACCAACCATAGAACTCGGTCGATCTGTCAGCTTCTCGTCCAATTCGATACATGCCACTAGTCTATAGCCAACCCTGCAGCCTGCCTGGACTGCATAAAACCAGCCCTCGAGCGAAATCTTTCTTTCAATTCTCTTTCTCCCCGATCTCCATAATCACTTCCGCCCTCTCCACTCTTGCCTCTACCTCTACACCGCCCACACCTATACACCACTCTCTACATCTGCACCCATGGCTGTACTCCGTTACCGCCTTTGTATCATCTCTGTGCCCATGGCTATCCTTTGCTCTCTTCTTGCCGTGCCTTTCCGATGCATTACTCGTGCTGCATGCTTCTATGCCTCCTTTGTTCACGATATGGCTAGCATTGGGGCGGCTATCTTTCTCACATTCGTGTCTGGCGTTTGTCTTTCTGGACGTTCAGCTTTGGCGTGTAACGCGTATCCTAGGTTTTTGAACACCTTGAAGGATCTCGGGAGCATGTGGAGGGTGTCCGAGGTGCGTCTACAGTCGGTTTTCCCATTTATAAGTTCCCCGCAAGCGTAAGCGCCCTATTGTCGAGCCCAGAGTCTTCGTTTTCGACGATGTCTCCTCCTCCTCCTCCTCCTCCTCCTCCTCCTCCTCCTCCACTCTCTGGTTCCTTCGCGCATTCAGAGATACCTCTTGCTGTTTCTGCTCATAAATGGCGCCACATTGTTCCTTCGACGCCTGACACTTCTCTTCATTCCTCATTCTTCGTAGTTTCTCCAGCTCTCGTCCAGAACATGATGATTCACGGAACTGCTAGCTAATGAACTACTCGTATTTTTTAGTATGCGCTTCTCGTTTTCTTCTAGGTTCGCCTTGCATGCGTCCTCTCTCCAGCTATTCGTCTTGCATCCCTCCACCATCAATTGGTGCGTTACTTTCCCTAGCTTTCCTTATTTCATCTCTACACCAGTGACTGCAGGTTGCCTGTACATCCTTTCGTCTTGTATTCTACGTCATGAACTATATCCATCATGTCCTATCATCTATTTTATTGTCGATATCGATGATACGCCATCTTTTAGAAACAGTTTTCCGAACCAGGGTTGACATGATCGCCCAAGGATAATTTTTGCATCAAGCACAGTCTGTACCTATAAGCAATCATCTCCACCTGCAATGCTTAGACGAACAAGACACTCGTTGACGCCAGAAGCCTGTCTCGAGACAGAATTACAGTTCACACCATGATCTCTAGTCATACCACAAAGCACCCTCTGCCAGGCATGCCAGGAGTTGCCCCGCAGCACCTCCTTTCTAAGTAAACACGATTATATGTAATGGAGTTATGATGCCGCAGGTGGCTCGGCAGCTGCTTCCGCTGGAGCAGCCTCAGCGACTCCATCTGGCGCTGGCTGCTTCGCGTTCTTACCCTTACCCGGAGGTGGCGGGTGGTACACCTTCTCCTGCACAATACCAGAACAGCAAACCAACAGTGTCAGCATCCGCCAGACTCACAGAGCAAGAAGTCTACGAACCTTCTTCTTCTTAGGCTCCGGTTTGGTTGGCTGCGGGTACGCGAGATCCGCAATCTTGCGCCACTCCTCGTCCGCCTCGAACGCAGCCTGAATCGGCGCAAGTACGCCGATGAGCGCCGTCTTGACGGTGTACTTCAGCTCCTGCGGACCGACGATGTCCTCAGCGTACGCGGCCTCGAGCTCCTCGTAAGTCTTGAAATGGAAGACCTTGCCGCCCCTGGCGGGGTCGCCCGTGACTGTGAACACCGTGCCCTCCGGTGCACCCTCCCCGATGAACGGCTTCGGTAGCTCGGTGTCGATCGCTGCGCCATTGGCGGCGGGCTCGAGCGCCGTGCCGGCTGCCTCGGTGGCCTCGCCGCGGAGGCGCTCGAGGCGGAGCTCGGAGATGGGGATGAGGACGGCCTTGACGAACGCGAGGAGGCCGTTCTCGGTGATGTCGCGTGGGGCGCAGACGGCGGATTTGATCTTCTTCTCGATGACATTGGGCGGATCAAGGAAGTCGATCTTGGAGTCGGGCTCGGAGGAGGACATTTTGGCGCCCTTGAGGCCGGGGACCATGGCGTTCATCATGTGTGCACGCTTGGCGTAACCGAGGCGAGGGAGGTAGAGCTCGGCGAATGTGAAGATTTTGCGCTGCGGCAGGTTCATCAAGATGTTGGTTACGGTTGTAAGAAGGGGATGTGGAAAGGGAAGGGGTGGGATGCGGAAGTGGGAAGAGTGAGCATGCGAAGGTGTCAGGAAACATACCTGGTCCACACCACCAAACTGGAAATCTACACCCAAGTACTGCTCGTCTAGCGCTTGGAGTCCAGGGTACAGCAGCCCACTCAGTAATGGGTTCTCTACCTGCTTGACGACCTCCGCGCCTGCCTTCTTTGCATCGCGCTCCGAGCAGATGGAGCAGAGCTTGTAGATATCCATGGCGTACTCCTTGGATAGCTGGTAATCCTGGCCTGTGAAGAAAAGTAGGCGCTGGGTGGGTATGCCGAGCGATGTGAAGACAGCGCGGAGGACTTTTTCGTAAAACTTTGTCCGGTAGCTGACGAGCTCGAGCGGCGCTTTAAGGTTGTCAAGGAAAGCATGGATATCTTGGAGTGGGGCATTAGGTACATTGGCGCGATGGAGAAGGATTAAGCATGACTTACCAGCAAGAAGGATCTTAACCTCTACACCTGCACGAAGGAAGTCGGCGATTTTGACGAGTGGGACAAAGTAACCGATGTGTGCTACGATGATCGGATATTCAGCTCGGTTTATGCTGTCATGCTGAGTGACAGTGCTCACGTCGTCCGGTGGGTGCAGTTCCTGTAAGTTGCGCAAGTTGAGCTCTTTCATTCACGAAGAAGTTCTGGATGACCTGCCCCAGTAGCAGCTGGGCGTCTTGCCCTGCTCGAGAAGTGCCTTGATCGAGTCACCACCGAGGACCTCAGCAAGGCTGCGAGTGATGAGCTCGTAGCGTTTTTCGACGTCGCTTGTTGACGCCATGATGGTATAACAAAGGTGAAAGAAATGGAACAAGGAAAAAGGGAAGGATGAGGATGGAGTGGCTCGAAGGTGAAGTGACTCGAACTGACTGAAGCTCGGGAAGATCAAGATAACTTTCCAGCTCACAGCTATTGACTGCGCCCGGGCGGACCGAGTTGCCCATCCACAAAGGGATATTAGCCCCTATCCGTGCGTCCGTACCTTCTCTTGGCACGCGGGTGCTTACGCCCATCTCTTGCCTCATCTCATCCCCTTCTGTATCCCTCATGCGGCTCATCCATGCATCGTACCATCCGTTTCAGCCACCATTTTCTATGGACCCGCACCCTAATGAGTGGAGCGTATCATGGAGCAAGTCTTGGGCCAGTTCTCGGCCGGGCTGCTCGTCAGCTGTATTTCCTTAACGCGACCCCGTCGGCTGATGTCAATGTTCCTGTCAGCGTCACATAATCAACCTTTTTTCTGATCAACGCAGCGGCACCTTTGATTTCCCGCAAAAGCAGCATCGACGCTCATTCCCGTTCGTGCCTGCAACGGACGCTCTTTGACTCCTCTCCCTTCGCATGGTCAAGTTCGACAGTCTCCGTTCTACCGATGCTCCAGAACTCGGCTACCTCAAGGACGGGCCTCCGGACCTGGTCACAGACACGGTCACGATAGTTGATCTTCCTGAGGGTGGTCAAGGGCAGCTGGAGAGGCGCGTATGGCGAAAACTAGACATGTGTGTATTGCCTTTGGCGACGATGTTTTATCTCTTGTCCTTTTTGGTATGTGTGTCCACCGAGATCACATTAGTCTATTGACACCAAACCTCATACTTACTGCTCTCTGACGTTGTAGGATCGAGCAAACATCGCCAATGCAAAGGTGGCCGGCATGGGTACGGAGCTCGGAATGTCAAGTTACGATGTGAGTGGCTGGCTATATGCACATACAGCTGTACGCTGATAACTTCATCTGCATCACAGTACAGCATTGCGCTCACCATCACCTACATGTGAGTACTAAATGACGTCTATCAACAATCCCTCATCAGCATCACTGCAGTCCTTACATCCTCACGGAGATTCCATCCAACTTAGTGCTCAAGGTGCGTTCTTCAGACCCGAAGCCTTGGGTGTCCTAAAGCGGTCTATGGTTTGGCTCAGATGGTGGGGCCTGACCTGATGCTTCCAGCGATGGTGACTGCATGGGGCTTGGTCGCCACCCTGCAAGGAATGGTCACAAGTTACAGTGGTTTGCTCGCCTGTCGATTCTTCCTTGGATTTGCGGAAGGTCAGTATCGATTTTCACTTGGTATAGAGTTTGTCTTGACTCGACATTGACTTCAGGTGGACTTTTACCCGGGATGACTCTATACCTAGCATCATTATACCCTAGAGAGATGTTACAGACCAGGTAGACTTTCACTCTTCCTCACCCCGTATCAAGATATGAACTTCTTCTCTTAGAATCGCTACTTTCTTCGCTTCTGCTTCTCTGTCTGGAGCCTTTTCTGGCCTTCTCGCCGCTGCTATTAGCCACATGGATGGTGTAGGTGGACGCCCCGGGTGGGCATGGATCTTCATCCTGGTGCGGTAGCCATTATCTGCGGCCTGTGATAACACTCATCATTATCTACAGGAAGGTCTATTCACCGTACTGTTTGGTGTCATTTGTTTCTTCCTTTTGCCCAAGTCGCCAGAGACAGCTAGGTTTCTGTCGCCTGTCGAACGTTCCTACATAATCCGCCGCTTAAAGGAGGGTGGCACGGCTTCGAAGGACGACAGTGATAATAAGGTTAATTGGGGGGAGATCGTCGCCACCATCAAATCGCCCCAGGTTTTGATCATGTTCATTATCAATATTTTGATAGGCGAGTATCGTCGGCCGTTAAAGGATCATTTCATACATTTCTGACCAGTCGTGCTTAGGCACGATGCTTTATGGTATTGCCTAGTGAGTAGTGACCGGCGATGTGGCTGTAGTCGTTGATCGTCATCAACTGACTACATCTCTATAGCTTTGAACCTATCATCGTTCAGGGTCTCGGTTTCACAGGCAATCGGGCACAGCTCATGAGCGCACCACCTTTTGCAGCAGCATTCGTCTGTGAGTTTCAAGCTGCATATCTCATTCGAAACGGACTCGGTGACAATTGTTTCGTAGTCTCACTATCATCGGCACTTATCTCTGACCGCTACGGTCGTCGAGGGTTGATGACCATCTTCTTTTCGCTATGGTCCATTATTGGCTATTCCATATTCCTGGGTATGTCATCCTTACGGCCTTTCGGAGACTTAACACCTCTAACCTTCGATGCCAATTAATAGCTAGCGGATCCCGCCATGCCCAATACGGTGCTCTATTTTTGACAGTCTCGGGGACGTACTCGTCATGTCCGGCGATTATCGCGTGGATGGCAAACAACAGCGCGCCGCACGCGCGACGCGCGACCGCCGTCGCACTAGCCTTCATCGCGTCGAACTTGGGCGGGGTGTTCGCGACGTGGCTGTTTGGCACGCTTTCGCCCGCGCCGGATTACCGCACCGCCACTGTCGTCTGTATAGCGTTTTCGGCGGGCTCCGCGGTGCTCGCGGGCGTCAATTGGATGTATCTTTCCCGAAAGAACCGGAGGAAGGCGCAGAGACGGAGGGAGTTGATGATGTTAGGTCGGAGAGAAGGGGAGGGAGAAGAGAAGGGGATGGGGGATAAGAGTGTGTGGTTTGTGTATAATTTATGATGGTGGAGCTGTTTGATTATTTGCATGCCTTTCGTTGGTTCTAGGCTTCGGTGAGTGTCATTAATGAGATGTGTGCCTGTGACCGGTGTCCAAGCGTTCGTTGACCATTAGCCTTGTTCCTTTCGCACTAGTCCTCTGCTAGTCTAGTAATGCTCTCCTTGAGGCGCAACTGAGGGCAACGCTGCTAAATCGCTGATATGACCCCTGCTCTACTCCTACTAGCCCGCCACCACTACCGCTAAAAGCGGTAACGCAAGCCCCTGGCTCAAGCATTGCATACCTCTCCGGCACGATGTTCCATCAAATGCCATCCCTCAACAAGCTATGGCGCTGCTTCTTCTCGTAACTTGGAGCTGACTTGCAAGAGAATTCCCGATCAACGTCTCAAGGCCCGTCGCTTTCCCTCTCCACTGAGGCTGTCGCGATCGCTTAGGAACCAGCCTGGCAGTTCCCGCTGGATATAACCAGCCTGGTCTGAGTGCCGTGTCGTAATGTCCCCGTCCGAACTGTGATGCTCCTCCCCGTTCTCTGATAAATGACGGATGCGCGATTGGTCCTGAATCCAAAAGTGTTCTGACTTTCCCCCCTCTCTTCCCCCTGAGCTTAGCGCTCGGTTTTCATTTACTGCTGCGTCCTATTCAAAGCCTCCTCTGAGTGCCGCCAACTCCTCTACACTACCCTACGAACCAGAGTACCTGACTCCTATCCGATCCGATCATGGACGTGGACACGTCGCCCTCGTCCCCCTCCTCCGTGGACGCCTCCAGATACGACCTGAAGCGGACCTCCAGCACTGTCATGAAGGGCGAGACGGACATGCTCGACAGGGCAGGCGCCGTAGAGCGGCTTGAAGATATTGATTTGGATGGTGTGGATAAGAAACATCTCGAGAAGGTTGTATGGAGGAAGTTGGACATGCTCTTGTTGCCGATGGCGACAATGTTCTTCTTCTTGTCGTTCTTGGTGAGCCCTGTCAACTCAGCTTTGGGTGTACTTCCTGGAGCGATGTCGCAGTGGATTGGACTGTTGAGTGCTAACGGTAGTTATACTCGCAGGATAGAGGAAATATTGCGAATGCGAAGGTGGCGGGTATGCAGACGTCACTGAATATGTCGAACTACGACGTATGTTTTGTTTCTTTTGGTGACCCGTTAGTGTCACTGCCTGACGCTTGACTTGCAGTACAGCATTGCTCTCACTGTCACATACATGTGCGTATACAGTCTCTTTGCTCAACTCCGTATTCTAACGCGGTCCACACTGCCAGACCATACATCCTTACTGAAATCCCTTCCAATCTCATCCTTCGAGTAAGCCATACCTCGCTATACCGAGGAGTGTCGCTGACCGGAACATTTGTCCAGTACGTTGGTCCTCACTTGATGTTGCCGGGCATGGTCGCTATCTGGGGAATTATTGCGACTCTGCAAGGTATGGAGACTACGTCAGCTGTTCTATCTTTGTCATTTAGCCATCAAATCAGGAACCGTCACCTCCTACGGCGGACTGCTTGCATGCCGCTTCTTTCTTGGGCTAGTCGAAGGTACGCGTTCGAATCAAAAGTACGATCTGCCAAGCGGCTGGTAAACCAATGACTTTTAGGCGGTCTCCCTCCCGGTCTCACGATCTACCTTGCTACTTTCTATCCGCGCGAGAAGCTACAACTTAGGTCAGTCATGTCTTCGTTTTACACTGTGTTGATTCATGGTCTTGTGTTGCCGTTTAGGATCGCGACCTATTTTGCGGCATCGTCCCTTTCAGGAGCTTTTACTGGTCTACTCGCGGCCGCGATCACGAACATGGATGGTGTAGGCAACAAGCCGGGTTGGGCCTGGATATTCATATTGGTACGTGCATATTGTACTTGTCCACTGTTGTTGTTCCACAGGAATGAGACTGACTCTTACGCAGGAGGGTCTCTTCAGTTCTGCTTTCGGCTTCCTGTGCTTCTTCATTCTCCCCAAGTCCCCAGAGACGACCAGCATCCTTTCACCGACCGAACGCGCTTATGTCGTCTATAGACTTAAGCAAGCTGGTTCGGCGTCTAGCGATGAGAACGAGGACAACTTCAGCTGGAGGGAGGTCAGGATAGCCCTGAAGTCTCCCCAGGTGATATTCGGCACTCTGATGAGCGTCTTGATGGGTAAGCTGTGATCAATGGAATGATGACAGGTTAGGTTAGCCTCTGATTCGTTGCAGGTATAACGCTCTATGGGCTTGCCTAGTAAGTTTTTACTGCGCGTACTGGCTACTTAACTGACTTAGTGTCGCAGTTTTGAGCCCATCATTGTGCAAGGTTTGGGGTATGCTGGCAACCGTGCGCAGCTCATGAGCGCGCCACCGTTCGCAGTGGCGTTTGTCCGTGAGTTCTCCTCAGGTCCGATCGAGATGGACCGGGTCTGATCAACTTTACGTTACCAGTATCTTTGGCTTCGGCCTTTGCGGCCGACCGCTTTGGTAGACGAGGCGCGGTCGCCATTTTCTTCGCTTGCTGGTCTATCGTTGGTTATTCCATTTACCTTGGTGTGTCCCTTCCCTTCCCTTCCCTCCTCATGCCCTGTTAATCAACGGAATGTAGACGAGACCAACTCCAAACATGCACAGTACGGCGCTCTCTTCCTCGCTGTTCCGGGAACGTATGCTGCCGCACCAGCTGTTATGACCTGGATGGCAAACAACAGCGCGCCACACACTCGACGTGCGACGTCTATTGCGCTTGGATTCGTCGCTTCGAATAGCGGTGGCATAATTGCCACTTGGCTTTTTGGGACGCTTTCGCCTGCGCCTAACTACACGGCGGCAACGATCGTCTGTCTCTCGAGCAGCGCTGGTGTACTGGTGCTTGCGGCTGCGAACTGGGTCTATCTGGCCAAACAAAACTTGGATAAGGCAGCGCGACGGGAAGAGATGGTGACGACTGGTGGCTCGGAGGCGAAGGGGATGGGGGATAAGAGCGCGTTTTTTGTGTATAACCTGTGAGGAACTGCTTTGTGGTGCTTGAGCTTGATGGTGCTTGGAAGCGTGCTTGGCACGACAAAAGGAACATGGCTATGTTTATACGCACTATACTAGAAGTGTAGTAATCGTTGCGGCCTGTATTTCGACCATAGTTGCTTTCTGTAATACATGCTGTATACAGCTTCCAGCTCATATGTGTAACCTTCAAGATCAAGGCTACCGGAAATTCACTTTAGCCAGTGAAGATGAAGGGGGTGACTCAGCACTCGCGTGAAAGCCGTAAGTTAATTGCGGAGAAAGCTGCGTGCTCTGATCTCCGAACCGGCTTTTCCCTCCAAGCGCGCAACCTGCCGCCCACGCTTTAACCGATGTCAGGTTGATCAAGCTTTTGTCGCTCCTTTCCTCAGAATGCAACACCTCCCAAACTTCGAAAGCAGTTTGAAACTAATGCCCAGGGCTAAAAATTTGGTACTCAGGGAGAATTGATATAAGGTTTTGGTGTATATCGAGCTCAAATTTTCGCCACTCACGATGATTCATTGCACCAATCCCCATCTTGTCCCCATCTGATGATCACCGCGTAGTGGCCATGGAGGCCATGTTCTAATCCTTGTCTCTAAAGCTAACTTTCATGGGGCTAAACATACCAGTAAACCCTAAAGCGTCTTTGCTTCCGACATCTGTTCATCGCTGCGAGGAAGTCGACCGCAAGAAACCAGGGATATCCACAGCGGCCGAGATCAATTCAGTGGACCATGTGCGCCCCTGCGTGTCCATCATTGCACCGCGGAGGATCTCTGATGGTCGACTGCTGTTGCCTCTTCAGAACCACAAGGATGAACCGTCGCTCCCACCCACCTTCATGCCGGACGGTGTCGACGGGATCGTAATTTCATATGCTGGGCGCCAGCAGCACGCGCTCTTCTCCCAGTCCTGACTCTCACCTCTCTACTATACACCTCCATTCCTTTCCCTCACTCTCCTTCGAATGGCGAGCCATGAGTTGAGCTCCCTTCCCTCAACTGACTTGAAAGATCCCGTGGAGGCTGGCGTGGAGGAAGTGTTGGGGTCAGAGGCGGCGGTGCTGGAGCAGAAAGTATGGCGAAAGTTGGATAGGTGGCTGATGCCTATGGCGATGATGTTCTACCTCCTCTCGTTTGTGGTGAGTATCGTCGCCTGCTGTGAGCTCTTCCATGGTTTACCGAAGTCTTTCTAAGGACCGGTCCAACATCGCAAATGCAAAGGTCGCCGGCATGCAGACATCACTGAAGATGACGAATTACGACGTAAGTTATCTCGACCTCTGAATGGCATAGCAAATGAATGGTTTGTAACAGTACAGTATCGCCCTTACGGTCACGTACATGTGAGGACTCGGAGAAGGCCACGTCGAGTGATGGTTGTACTCACAGTGCTTCACAGACCATATATTCTCGCTGAATTCCCGTCCAATATCCTCCTTAAGGTGCGCATCAGTGTCGTGCCAAGCTATCAGCATCATAACGCGACCCACCCATTCAGATTGTGGGGCCCGACCTCATGCTTCCAGGGATGATCGCTATGTGGGGTATCGTTGCAACACTACAAGGTACGATAATCTGACATTGAGAGGCTTTCCCATTAACCTCTGACTGGGTCCAGGGGTTGTACATAACTATTCGGGCCTGCTTGCATGTCGATTCTTCCTTGGCTTATGCGAGGGTGAGATGAGTTTAGTGACAAGTCAATCATAGAACTAACCAGACAAACCTGGTCAGGCGGGCTGTTCCCGGGCATTACGCTTTACCTGTCTTTCTTTTATCCCCGCGAACGCTTACAGATACGGTGAGCGTTCTGGTAGTGTGATATCAATGCAGTTGCGTCCTAGGATACTGATTTCAACCCAGAGTTGCCGCATACTTCGCGTCAGCCTCTCTCTCCGGCGCTTTCTCGGGGCTTCTTGCTGCTGGTATCGTCAACATGGACGGCATAGGGGGGAGGCCCGGATGGGCTTGGATCTTCATCCTAGTACGCTCTTTACTTCTTGGTGTTTGTCTGAGACGTTGAGGATTCTGCGTGCAGGAAGGACTCTTTACCACTATCTTTGGCGTCGTGTGTTTATTCCTCCTTCCAAGATCGCCAGAGACAGCCCGTTTCCTCTCATCCTCCGAGCGATCTTACGTGCTTAGTCGCCTTAAGAAGGATGGAGCGGTTTCACATGATACTGAAGACGATGGGTTCAGCTGGAGAGAAGTCTCCAAGTGTTTTAGTTCTCCGCATATTTGGATGCTATCAGTCGCCTTATTCTTCATGGGTACGTCTGTCCTTCGTCATGGTACCCAGATAAGCTAACTAGGTATATCAAAGGAACTACACTGTACGGACTAGCATAGTAAGCGTCTAGCACGGAACCGAATGTCGATCTCTTATCTGACTGCCCCACTTAGCTTTGAGCCTGTCATTGTTCAGGGCTTGGGTTACGCTGGCAATCATGCACAGTTGATGAGCGCGCCTCCTTTTGCGGTCGCCTTCGTTCGTGAGTCGTAGTCCGCTGGTAGCCATGTGCACCTAATTTTGATCCGACGATCTATAGTCTCGATCATAACTGCCTTCACCTCTGACCGTTTTGGCAGGCGTGGATTGACAGCCATCTGCTTCTCGATCTTAGCCACCATCGGCTTTGCGATGTTTTACGGTATGTACCAAATATAGGTCCCATGATGCGTCTCTAACGCCCATTCAACAGCGAGCGATTCTCATCGTGTACAGTACGGCTCCCTCTTTCTGACGATTCCAGGAGTATATGGGGCGGCCCCTGCCCTTGTCACATGGATAACGAACAATAGCGCCCCGCACACGCGGCGGGCGACGGCAGTCGCAATCGGCTTCATCAACTCGAACGCGGGCGGCGTGCTCGCGACGTGGCTCTTTGGTACGCTCTCACCCGCGCCCGAGTACAAAAAGGCGACGGTCATCTGCCTCGCTTTCTCCGTCGGCGTGGTGGTTCTATCCGCGGCGAACTGGGCATACCTCGCTAATGAGAACCGCAAGAAAACCGCAGAGCGGGAAGCGGGACGCACGAGGGAGGAGGAGCACGGGCTGGGGGACCAGAGCGCTTGGTTCGTGTATAATCTATAGCTTGATCAAAAACGGCATATCGGTGAACCCACGTTCGTTTCATTTTGGACTAAATTCATTATTCTTAATATGAGATTGCACGCCATATGGACTATAACAGAGCTTGCGTTGATCCACTCTTTCGCGGTGATGAAAGCTTTACGCCGTTTCTACTCATGGTGAGCGTCCCCGGATACAATGCCATAACGATACATTTGCATACAGTCAGGTGAGTTCATTACAATCGTATAGTACATTGGCTAAATATCTTCTCCGCTCAGCGCCAGTTAATAGCTGACGTCCTATACGTCAAGGATTGAGCCCGATAGGTCCATTGGGGCGACTGAGGTCGATGTGCTTACCTCGTCAACACTCCGTTCAATGTTCTCGTGCACGCGACCGGCGTAAATGGGTTTGCTGCGCTCAACAACCTCCTCGTGCACACGGCCAGCAAAAATCGGCTTGCTTCTCTTGATCTCCTCGTGCACGCTGCCCGCGTAGATCGGCTTGCTGCGCTCGACCTCTTCGTGAACGCGGCCAGCGTAAATCGGCTTGCTGCGTTCGACCTCTTCATGCACGCGACCAGCGAATATCGGCTTGCTTCGCTCAAGGTTCTCGTGAACGCTACCTGCGAAGATTGGCTTGCTTCGCTCGACGTTCTCTGCATATAAGTAAGTATTTCATGTGCCTTGCTTAAGGAAAAATACATAGCGTACCAGTCGGTGCGCCGTACGCTACGACGGTCAGAGCAAGAAAGATGGCGATGGAGAAAGTAGAACGCATGATAGTGGTAGGTGCTTTGCTGCCTAGCCCCCTTTCTGCGTAACTGCATTTATAATGCTTGCGCCGCTCTCGTAAGTCACTCATGCCTCATCTGGAAATTATGCTTATGTCTGGGCTGATGTTGGCAAGTCTCAGAAATTTGCCCGATGCGATAACAAGGCACGGATGACGGAGCTATCGTCCATCGGCGGAAGCAGTTTATGCACCCTCATGACCACTGGCTAGCACCGGTCGCACGTCGGCGTAGACGGGATCTGCTTCCGTTGGCTCGCGATACCCGAGGACCCGGCTCGAGGGTATCAAACCTTACACCTTTCCGGCGTCACCGGTGGTACCATGCTGACGAACTTAGTACGACTCCTCGCATAGTAAGGATTTAGCTTGTCACTTTCCTGCACATGACTGTACAAAATCTTCATACGTGTGCGTGCCTACTTTCAGCCGGGTTTTCTATGACCCTTCTGAGAAGCGTGAGCGTGGGACGTCGTGCGGCGCTGTCTAGCCATAATTGCGAAGCACAGAGGAGAAGCCGCGATAGTTCGATCGTTTCGAGAGAAGTTGCCATGGACTTACGAGGCCGGCATACCAGTGGTCGGAGAAACGCGTGGCTTCTTTCTACAGACAGTAGTAAAGTTCGATAACTTTTTCCTATCCAGTAATGTACACCATGTGTAACTTTGCCCAAGTGTCTAAGCTTATTTGAACGTTGTGGCGATAGTGTTTAGCTGTCTCCCTGACATAACTATCCGATGTCAGTTCCATAAACTTAACCTTGCAGGATCGGTCCACATTAATGATGATGAGTTGTGCATCAGCCTATATTAGTTACACAGAGACATAAGCCAATACTGCATGTGCCGACGATCTTTCTTCACCTTCATTCACCTTCGACAAGCGCATCGGTTTGTGGTCTTATCCCCGATATTAAGGCGCCTCAGTGTCAAAGCTGGTGTGACGATGTGAATCTATTTTGAAATGATGGCATACGAGGTATCAAAGTTGCCGTAGCGCTTGTTCAGCAGTTGACTCAGAGTCTTCCGAGAGCGCATTTTGACAGGCTTCTAGCGTGTTCTCACTCGAACAAGCTCCAAGATTATCATGGTGTTCTAAGGCACACATCGATCAACTCCGCAAGAAGCAAAAAATGACCCTCCCTATCCGCATGCAACGGTGTGGCTAGCGGCGGTGGCGAACATCATCTGAAACACATTGGGTATAATCCAAGTTTTTATGGCATCCTTCCGCCAACTTTTTGCTTAGCTTATCCATGCATTTTATCGTGGCGCTCGTCTTCCAGAAGCAAAACCTTTTTTAACGGTCGACTGTTGCCTTTGAGCAACACGACCTGAGCCATTCACCAGGGTCATGGCGGAACACTACCTGCCTAATGCGGAGCATTGTCGTATACTGGCCAGGACGCGATTTCTGGGTACACGATTACTATTACGCGAAGGCTCGAGCAAAGATCGGTTGATAAATGCAGTATCGTACACGCTATCGTTTGAAATTCGGCTACCATCTACTTAGTGGAGCTCGTAGTATGGGTCGGGCCGAGGTAACCCGCGGGTGCTCGTTGTGAGATCGATATGTGACTGCAGTAGCTGAGCTACAACGTTGACCTTGCGTAAAACGATGACGAGACAGATGACGTTCGCCACAGTTAATAGCGTAGACACGGTTATTTGAAACGTGGTGATGTGAGTGCTTGATGTGTTCTGTGCGCTGGGAGTGTTGAAGGGATCCTCGTCATAGTAGCCTTTCTCCGGCTCATGTTGAGTGAGAGGCGCGTACTCGCTGTTGTCTGGCATATTGTAAGGCTCAGAGACCCTGCATTTAGTTGAATGAACCAAAGAAAGGAATTATGCATTACTATCACTTACATGAAAGTCAGCGAAGACGGTCTTAGATGGCTAAGCTGCGCATTGAGGTCATTTATAGCGAGTGTGGCGGAGGTCGACTCTTGGGTGGACTTAACTTGAGCTTGAGCGCTCACCTGATCCGAGCCCCAAATCACAGAGTTCAAATGTTTCATCGGTGAGATTTCCTAATAAGAATACAACGTAGATCCCATATGGTGTTGGCGCCCTGGACATAGCTAGTACAAATCGGTGGTGGCGTGGGCACTTTTGTGTACATCTTATCGCTAGTGACACTCACTTGTACCTGTGGCGGAAGAGGCGATCGGGGCACCATGTTTGACATCGAAGCCACCCAGATATAGAAAAATCGTTCCGGTACAACACTTGCCGTAGAGGAGAAGTTCCGATGTGCGTCCTAGCCAACACTGGGGCGGATGAGATGTTACGTTTGCCTTCTGGAGCATAATCCCAATTCTGCGAACAGGCCCTCCAAATTGCGATAATACGTCAGGCTCAAAGTGGCTGGAAGGACTCGTCAGATAACCCACCTGCGTCTCTTCAGAACAGACACATTCCACAATGCAGTCGCCGTGGTACAAGTCGATCGCCTTCTACCTATTCATGTTTTTTGCCATGACTGCGTTGCACGTAGCATCTACCATTCGCACCCTGCAGACATTAGACGGCATGCTGCCCACGCGCAGACAGTACTGTGAGTGTTGTCCGACAACCATCAGCGAGCATTCTCATCACTAGTAAACTCTGCTTATAGCCTGGGTCGACGATGACTACCCCGACCAGCTTCCTATCGAGATGCCTACTGTCGCCCTCGAGATGCTGGATGGCGAGGACCACTACGGTCTGCACGATGACGAGGAATGGGTCGCCCTATTTCCCAACGACGGCTTCCTGACCCTTGGCCCGTCCAACCGTACTTTCTTCTTATCCATGATCCATCAATTCCACTGCCTTGATGTCATCCGCGTCGGAATGGTGGCGAATAGGACCGGATCAATCTACCACGTTGAGCACTGTCTGCGCTACCTAAGGCAGATCATTCTCTGCAACTCGGACGTGACAATCGAGACAGGGCGCCCGAGGCTCGTTGATGGGGTGTGGATGCATGTTGCGGACGGCGGGACGGGAATGATACATCGGTGCAGGGACTGGACCAAGGTTAGGGATTTTTTGGTGGAAAACCCACCTATGGAACTCAAACAGACGTCTTCTGCGTATGGGGAGGGCTCTTCAACTGATCGAGAGGGGTATTGAGCCCATGACGGGGCGAAACTGTAGTGGAGAATAATCAGCTGGCAGCGGCAGCTGTTTCTGAACTTGACGAATTTGTACGCTTACTGTATTCTTGCCTCGGTGTGTTTTGAAACTATGCGCTTGCCATATCCTAACCGTATCTCGGACATAAATGGCCTGTCAAGGCCTGCCTTGTGATATATCGGATAAACTCAGACCAAGGCAAGGCAAACTAAGAGCCAAATTTAAGCTTCATCACACTGGCTCGGTATATATCCCATGCGGTCAGCTTGTTACCTTCGTCGAAGTCTAATCTTTAGTTGGACAACAAAACTGTCAACATCATGGATACTAAGAAAGACTCAATGATAGAAGTCACCGGAAATGGTATTTGAAGAAAGGAAACCTTCGCGGAAATTGACGGGCGCAATTATGCAATAGGTAAGTGTGGCAGAGTCTTGGTAGTAAAACGAGTTCGCTGTAATGATGTTGCAGCGTTTTTCTCACACGGTCCCCATGACTTGTCTGTTCTTTTGCAATGGCCCAATTCGAACCAAATCCAGAGAAAGGGAATACCGTCAAGCATTTTTCTGAGACTCGAGTAACCAAGTTCGTCCCTTGACTCGACGCGGCTCGCTGATTAACCATTCACGTCGAAGAGCTTCTTCAGGAGACGCTGCTACACAAGCATCAATAGCTGGTACATGATGGTCATAGACCTACTTGGTAAACCTAGGTATGCACTCGTCTGGATGGGGTGCCGTGAAGTAGTCGTATATAGGCAAGTGATGGGAGCAGAGATCGAGTGAGGAAGCATCCGTCTTTCGTGATAGAAACAGTCGGTGGTCATGCATCGGCAAAGTTGTGACAGTCATTCGGTAGGATCGTAAAGCGTAGGGTTTCAAGCGTAGGATTGGCTTACCTTCTAGCTTCACTTGAATATTCTCTCTACGTTTGAGCACTGGGTCCAGAACTGGACTATGTGGCTTGATATAGGATACTCCGGGCAGCGATTGTACAAACATTTTTCGCAAAGAGGAACACCAACACGCCGCCACCACTGGCATATGCTCTCCCCCGTCCATAAGGAATTGAGTAGACGTGCGTAGGAACCATGGGATCCGCGGAGTTGAGTTACAATGGTGCGGTATGAAGACAAGGTAGACTTGTTAAAGTGGGTGCACCCGCCCTAACGTACATGATAAAATCAGATGGAAAGAGGCCAATGAAGGGTGGTTTGTGAGAAAAAACATCCTCACGCGACTGGCGACAGCCTTGCGCCGCATCTCATTCAGGGGTTCCGATTGCGACATAGCCAAACTCTCCCTGATCAATTGCGGATCAAGCTAGAGTTTAACAGGATATTAGTAGACCTTTCGTACTATGGGTGCACTTGGGTCCACGGTAGACGTAGATGCAGTATCGCTAGCTCTTCAATGGATTGAATGTATGCGGTCTCTACGTAGAAGATGTATGTGACAATCGGTATAACCAGGGGCGGATAGATATACACATATGGATGCGGTCATTAGGCTACTTGTATTCTGATATGGGCGTCACATTGAACAAGAAAGTACATGGGCGGCACGTCATAAATCCGTGCTAAGTGAGAATCGTGGGCAAGAGGAGAGACAAAAGATAGGGTAGCTTAGTTGCTGCGCTGGCGATCGCGTTCCCGACTGTGCCTCGTATCGACTCGAACGTATTCACTTTCGTCGGTTGATTCGTCCTTGCGGACGGCGGTGTATGCCTCACCGAGGATCTGCAGGCCAATGGCACGCAGCTGGGCTTTGTCGCGCGAGACCTTCGGGTCCTCGAGTATGCGGTCGCATGTCTCGCGTAGGACGGACTCAATCTCAAGTTTCGCGCCCTGGGATGTGTTCACGTTAGCAAGGTCAAGGATAGAGCAAAGGGGTGAGCAAACCTTGAACAGAGCCTGAACACCCTTCTCGGCAGCCTGCTCTTCAAGCCGCTGCTTCTCCTCCGGCGTAAGGTTTCCAGCTTTTTCGGCGGCTTGTATCTGGTCGAAGACGCCCTTGAGCTCAATCGCTGCACGGAGAGTTGATACGCTAATTGCGATTGTTAGACGCAGGAAATAGAGGCGAGAGGTGGCAACTTACGTTTCGCTAAAAACGTGGTACTTGCCCTGCACATTGTGTAGCCAGCCACCAACGCCAAGGAATGTTTGATTAGAAGCGAGGTGGTGTTTCGCTTTGGCCATGTACACAAAGCCGATGGTCTGAAGGAGTTCATATCCGTATGATTCTTTCTTCAAATCTTCAGCCTCCAGTGCGCATATCTGACGGAATGAGCGCGTAACTTCCACGTCGTGCGCTGACTCCGTGAAGATGCTAAGCTTGCGCTCCAGGTTCTCCACACTGAAAATGGCATCATCGTTAGCGTCAGTCTAACGTAGAAGGAATCAGACCCACAGCTTGTCAACACGCTCTTGACGCGCCGCTGCTTTCTGAGCAAATTAGATTTGGAAAGTAGATGACGCATGGATACACACCTCGGCAGCAACCTTCCTCTCCTTCTCGTCTCTCTTTGCCTTCTCCTCATCACTGATAATCTCGCGCCCTTTCGCATCCCGCTGAACCACCTTACCCTCTTCTGCCTCTTCCGCCTCCTGTAGCGCGGACTTCATGTCACGTGCGAGGCTAATCTGACCGATGATTGGCGCGAAGCGTTCGCCGCCGAACATGGCACCAAACACCTCCTCAGGGTCCATGAAACCTCCGTCGGGAGCGCTCTCCTTGGGACCATACTCATTGTACTTCTTCCGCAGCGCTGGATCCGAGAGGGTCTGGTAAGCGATCGCGATCTCCTTAAAGCGGTCTTCGGCATGGGGGTCATCGGGGTTCTTGTCGGGGTGGTGTTTGATTGCCAGCCGACCTAGAGGTTGTGGAGTTGAAGAAGGGAGTCAGAGGCATACTATACAGTGAGACGCACGATAAGCTTTCTTGATATCCTCCGTCGATGCATCAACTGGTACGCCTAGCAAATCGTAGTACCCAGTTTCGAGCGGCTTCTCCTGAGTGCCGATCTTGCGCCCCTTCCTGAGACTCGTATTGGCGTGCTCATTATTTGAAGATCCAGTTCCGCTCCCCGAAGGCAGAACACCCTGCGGGACCTGGGCAGGGTAGAACGCGTGCGAGTACGTGTTTTGGCACTTGCAGCACTGCACCCGAAGATGGGTTGAGGGTGGTGGGATGGGCGTCGGGAGCGCGAACTCAAGAGAAGTGTTACATGACGAACATGTTGTGCGGATATGTGGAACAAATGGCCGCGTACGGAGGATTGGATAGGCCGCGCTCATGGTGGAGTGGAAGGTAGAGACTTTGCCCTGAGCACGGCCATTGCTGCAACTTGCACGCGCGGCGCGAGCGAATGAAGTAAGCGGTCCAGATTAGGAAGGTGTAGTAGTTGGCCCGAACTGGCCTTCAAGATGCTGGAAAGAGGTAAGAAAGAAAAGTGAGCTCGGTGGCTCATGATATCCGCCATCAACATGCGTATAAGAGCGGACTTGCGTGGAAAACGGGGTAAACTCAGCATAAGCATACAACAAACGTACATACGGATACACAACTCTAGCTATGAACAGAATAACAAAAGAGAAGACGAGCGAAATTCTAAGTACATGTCTAACGATCTATGTCATCTAACATCTATGTGGTAGCTACAGCCCATTGAGAGAAGAAGAAGAACGCAGAGAAAAAGAAAATGGGTACATCTAGTCGCGACGTGCGTTAATGTCCATGAAAAATCGTAACCTGCACATCTAATATCGTTCGAGCCCATGAATCTATAATCTAGTGTGCAATGCCAAAATCGTGATCATGAGACGAAAAAAAGAAGAATGAGATCTCAAACAGACTCTTGAGAATCAACCTGAACCTTTTTGGATGAAAAGTAATCGCCGCCGTAGTCTTGCTTTTCTTGCTCGGTCACTTCGCCTTCGGAACTGGTCTTGCCCTCGACGGACTTTTCAACGTCACACTCTGAAGGCCCTGATTTCTCGGCATCGGTGCGGTAAAACGTCAAAAGCGAAAGGAACTCGACGCAAACGAGCGCCGTAAGGAACCACAACGATGCCGCGCGACCGTGATACTCCTGCGGTCCACCTTGCTTTTCCTCAACCGCCGCCTCTATCGAGGTGACCGCCGCGAGACCGACAGCTGCTCCGAATTGAAGTGCGCCGTTGAACATTGCACCCACAGTACCTGCCATTGAAGACGGAGCGACGCGGAAGATTGCAATGCTGTTGTTTTCGATATTAGAGCCTGTTTATACCCTCCTCATATACTGCGACGGTACTCACTTTGTGTGCGAATAGCTGAGCTGCGCGCCACCGCTACCCAGAATGAATGCAGGGAAGACATACGACCAATAGAGCTCTTCTTTCCCGCCCCCGATAGCAAGGAGCGCTGTAGCGATGATGAGCATACCAAGGCCAGTCATGATGATCCACTTGGGGCTGATTCTCTTGGCGAGGGGTCCAGTAAAGCTCATGGCGAATGCCAGGACACCAATGGGAAACCTATCATGCGTAAAGATTAACTTCAAAATACCCGGAGGAGCTAAGGAAGACACACATGTGTATAGCGCAGGAGATGACCGACCAATCAAATACGTCCTGCCAAAGAGTCATGAACATTGTGAAGATGGTACTCCACCAGAAGAATGGCAGTAAAGATGCGCCAAAGAGGACAGAGAAATTCTTGTAAAACCACGTGCGCGGCGGACTTTGGATGTCGAACGGCACCCGAGTAAACACAAGGCACATTATAGAAGAGTTCCATAGGAGATAGCGGACGGAAGGCACGCATGAGGCAGCATAGATAAAGGTGAGTCAGCTTCTCGAACGCCTCATGTCAGAGTTCGCAAGCTTACATTGCTGCCTTTTCGGGAGGAATTCGTCTCTCCCAAAGAAAGAACGCGATCGTGAGCAGGATGGCAACAATAAGCGGTACGAGCACGCCAGCATTTGCAAATCCATCGGTAGAGCCGGATGTGACGGCGTAGATGAATAAGACGATGGCAGCTGTATATGAGACAGTCAGCCGTGATGTACATTCTTCGGACGATAGAAGAGCACGGAAGAGCAAGAACAGGAATGGATGGGAATGGAAAGTACGACATACTTGTAAGAGCCGACACGCCGATGAGATCGAGACTCTTCCACTTGGCGGACTGGTCCAGACCCTCCGCTTTTGGTTCTTGCGGCGGGATGATAATGCCTCCCACGACTGCGACAGGAATCGCGACTATAGCGACAAACCAGAAAACCCAGTGCCACGATGCATATTCAACAAAGAACGCGCCGATGATGAGGCCCAGCACTACGACCGTTTCGTCAGCTTACGTGGCTCAAGAGAACTGCGGGAGGGGCAAGCGCACCGTTCGCCACGCCTCCACAGCCACCGAAGATGCCGATGGCGCGTGCTTGCTCGTGAGGCTCGGGGAAGACGTTCACGAGCAGAGTCAAGGCAGATGGGATAGTCAACGCGGCAGCTGGTGAAAACCATAAATTAAGGGGTATTATAAAACCAAGTAAGGGGAAACTTACATATCCCAATCAACGCGCGAAGAATGATGAGGGGGATTTTCACGTTGACAAAACCAGCGATAATTGAAAGAAGACCTTCCCCAGCGATGCCAGCGACGAACGCATGTTCTGGTATCATGTAAGATCTTTAAAAAAAATTGGTTTGAAGATATCACGCACTTGGAGGATATACATCGGAAATACGACCGCTCTATTCGAGAGTTAGTCATCGTTGGTAATGTGCAAGTCAAACATATCATACAATCAAAAGAAAGGACGCAAAAGTCAACTGGAAAGCACTCATGACCCATGTGGACTGGCTCTCCGTGATGCCGAGCTGTGTCTCAAGAGCAGGGATCGCCGAGAATAACGCCGAGTTATTGAAGGAGTCGATAAACTGAGCCAAACAGAAGATTGAGAGCAACACGAGCTTGCGTGACGTAGACAGCTCTGGCTTAGCGTCGACATCCTTGCTCGCAGCGGGGCTTTCGACAAGCGTCTCTGTCGGAGAAAGAGGAGTTGGCGGTTGCATAATTACGGGACCAGGTGCTGTCCCTATCTAGTATGTGCGAAAAAGTGCGAAGGGCGCACGCACAGGAACGCAGGAACGGTGGGGGACGCAGGGGGGGATAAGGAGGGAAAGGCACCTGGGATCCAATGGGATGAGAAGGAGATGTATTTCGAGTGCTGGGCCGTTACTTATAGTTCGAGCTTGAGGGCAGGAAGACAGGGATCCTGACCGGCCGACAGAGAAGGACTGCAAGAAGGGAAGACGGCGCGGAGGCGGCCTCGTTGCTTAACCATACCCCCGATCGATCTTCCTATGACTTCTTTCTGACACAATTAGTATTCCGTGGTTCGAGAACACGTCCTACTATTGGGTGAGGAGATAAGTTTGGTATAGGAGCGCTCAGGGTGCATGTCCCTGGATTGCCTCATATCATGGCGGAGACATTGACGAAATGAATAATGGATTTACCATGCGTCTTCCAGGTCCGAGCCGCTAGCTCATTTAAGAGTAGAGTGTCCTATCGCTCGGCGTATCAGCGGCTAAATGATCACTGGCTGCCAAATGTCGTGAATCACAGGTGTGGGAGTTCAAGTTGACAACGAGGACTGGCTGTATGCACCTACTTTGAGGCCTTGAGGATCCTTACATGCCGCTCTAGGGTGCTCATAACCCTGTTCAGTCGGCGGAAGAAGGTTAGCATGTCTTTACCAGCAAGAGAGACAATAGTGAACATAGGCCGACATTGCATTGAATCGAAAAGTTCGGAGAACGCGGCTCCGGCATCCCGTACTGATAACAGCCTTCCTGATTGCTATCAAGAAGATTGCCATGTGTCACAATGGTGTTTCAGGTGCTGAAGAGCGGGCAGCTCAAGACGATGTGTTGACATGAGAATTCAGGCCATTGGGGTGGGCGGCGAGAGACCTGCCGCATACACTTGGGAAAACGAGAGCTCGGAACTCGGCGCGCTCTGCAGAACTGAACGCGTGACAAAGCGCTAACGCGATCACGTGCTGTGTGACGGACGACAAAACTCTCGTTGCTTGTTTTACCTTTCATCCTCTTTGTTACACTTGTGTACACGCCGTCGAAACCAGCAAACGAAATACCGATCCCCTGTCTTTCCTCTCGCTATAAAAACACAGGCAGATCTATAACATGTCCCAGGATATGGCTGCGCACAGTCACATTACTAGCTGATAAGCACTGTCATCATCAACTTCGGACGGACCACAAGGCTTGCAACGCGATCATTCTGATCCATTCAGACTTTTCGACCGCCTACTTGGCACTACGCCGCGCCGACAGCCGCATGGTCTAGACGAGCTCTTCGCGTCCCGCAAGGTCTTCACGTCAACGGCAAATGCATACCGATGGAACGCACGTCATCTTCAGACTTGAAAGGGACTCTGCATCAGCTGGGCCACGGACCACGGACCGCCATCGACTTTTCTACGGAATATCAGGGGCATTTCGTGCTGCGCAGGGGTTAGCGGGGTACCATTTGGCCGTCGGTGCTCTCTGAGCCTATCAGAATCTCCAGAGCAGCCTCGCTAGGGCGGATCTTGACTTCGGACGAGATGTCCGTTGATGCATCTACTGACCTTGCGCTGTACGTCTAATCATCTCCTCTCGCTAGTGCCCACTTTAGATCCCCAAACCGCTCTTTCGTAGCTTTCGTACAGCTCATGACCTGCGGACGCCGAGGCTTTACTATGTTTTCCCCGCTGGGGTCGCGGGGATCTCCTGATACTGTGGGGTGTCGGGTGTATCGCTGAAAGACTGGGGGAGAATGTTCAAACGACCGGTAGGTATTACACATATCCCGATTCCGCTGACGACATATGGATGATGTACAATGATGATAAACGTCTCCTATCAGCTCAGATAAAGGCCCGGGAAGAATATCATCATCCTCTCGTAATTGACCCTGCTCTGCATGGCGTTTCGCTACTCGGCATCGAAGACAGTGAGTAAAATGTGCACGTTGTGCATATAAGGGCGTGCTTCGTATCTCATATCGCTGTTATCTGATCTTCTGCTGCCTCGGGATTTGGTACGACGGCCGCTCGTTAAATTAATAGCATCGCCCCAGTTCTCAGACCAGCTTCTTTGCTGCATCTCGGGTAAGCAGCACAGTGGATGTTCGCTTTCACTACCTTCTGAAGCTCCAAGGGTACTGGCGTCACGAGGCAAGCACTTTCCTTAATACTGATTCGCCGATTGCAAATGTTAGAGGCGGCCGAGAGTACAACCTCCGTCTTGTCTGTGAGAGCAAGCGATGATCTGCGCTGTCGCCTATCATCTTGTTGTCGTCTCGACTTATTCTTAGTGATTTGGCCACGAGTTTGTGGGCTCATGGTACTCTTTGGTATCGAACCTTCCCTCCCAGGTCTGTCTGACTAGCTATTGGTCCACTAGCCCAAGCCTCGTGCACATAAAGCGGCTGCTGACAATTACTATCCGAAAATATGTGATATCGATCATCATGAAGCGTCGTCTCAGAGCTCCGTATGCAAAAATCTACAGACGCCTCCGATGTGGCTATGTAGCCCAACCGCCGGAAGTTCCCGGCCGACTTCGGCACATTCGGCCACGACGTGCGGCGACTGCCTTCAGTTACCTACAACGACCCTTTGCCGCTGCCAGTTCCTCTTCAACATCTTCGGCTACTTCTGAAGTCCCCTCTCCCATGACACACGTTCCGTCGGTGAGATCGACTTGACTGAAAGCCTTATCCTGCGTAGGTCGAGGACAGGCTGGGACGATGATCTGAGCCTGCGAAATCTCCCTTGGGTGTCGTCTGCTCGCTGTCTCGGACGGTCTCAAAGCTTTGGCTGTCGCATGTATGATATACACCTTTTTTCTCAAGCCCTTCAAGCCAGTTCTGAGATCGCTCACTGTACGTATTCACCTTGGGTAAGGCGTCCTGTGTCCGCGGTACAACGCCAAGCTTAGCCACGTCGATAACGCCATCGACACACTCTAAATAAGTCTTGGCGGCTCAAGTCTTGGTATTTGAAGGCTCTCGCGACATAAGCTGTCAATTAGCGTGCGTCGCTGGCGATCGCTCAGTTCTCAACATCCGGCGGCTCTGCCTCACGATCGGACCCTGCGATGAGATCTTGTGCCTGTTCTCCTTCGAGGTGGCGGAAGCCCGCAGAAGCGTACTGATCAGAGATGTCGCATTGTCTATGCCCAGGCATCAAAGCTCCATTGACTATCACTACTGGTCTTTATCTGTTCTCAACGAAAAAAAAGCTGTCCGCGATATCAACAATTCGCAGCCTTTACATTTGACTTTTACTGTTCTATTGGCCGGCCGCGCGACAACAATTATCGCAAAATAAAAGGTGAGTGAACTTATCTCGAATCAGGTCAATGTTGAGAGTTGATATTCACCCGTTCTCTGCTCTAGAAGCGCATCCCCCGCCTTCGACCATTACTTGAAATCGTTCGCTTGTATACCCTTGGCCATACGGACTCGTGTTGTTTAGCCAAGGCGCAGTGCCAAGAGGCGCCGAGCCATTCCTCGGTTTCAACGCTTGACAACGGTTTGCTACCTCGTTCACGTGGAGCAGGGTGGAGTAAGACTTCTTGTTGCCGGCCAAGTACCCGAGAGTGGAGTGTCTTAATGAACGGGCGATACTTTGCAGTCCTCGATCGAAAGGCTAAACGCTTGCCAACAGCTCGCCTACCTCGTGGAGTAGCTGAAGTCTTCGCAGTCGCCGATCAAGTAACCGAGAGTGGAGCGTCTTGATGAACGGACGATACTTTGTGAGACTCGACCTCGATCGAAGCTCTCCGAGGCCACTGATTAGCTCAACTTTGAATACCAGGTCTCGTCTAAGAACTCTGCTTCGAGCATTTCCTCGCAGCGACTAGTGCATTGGATAGCATAGGCGCCTAAATTAAACCCAGTCGAGTCCAGTTTGGACAAGAGTACTTTCCGCTAAGGACATAGGTACATGTACAGTTCGTTACTCATGTCTGTTCAATACCGGTGGCTACCAATATATCAAGGATCTTCTTTAGCACAAGCACTTATTGGGCTGCTTAGGGAGACTAAGTGGCTGTGCACTAAATTTATTGGGAGTTATCGCATGTCGTCAGCACAAAATACGTAGTTGTAGCTGTCAGTCGACGTCGGGCGCGTGCTGAATGCGATTTAACAAGTTGAGCACTTCCCCACAAGTCCTCTCTCTTCGCTGTCATCCGTAAGGTTCCTAGTCCACCAAGTCGAGTACGTCATTATTCGAACGATTCATCGGATGCTAGTGGAGTACATACGCCAGGTGTGATCGACAGCGCTGTAGAAATTTACAGGAACTGCGGAGATGCACAAGCATCGTTGAATGGCAAGCTACGATTGGTTACTGGCATGGCTACCTGCGTCTCTGCGCAACGGCGTGACACGGGGAAGAAGACCGCTTCAGCCAGCAAAGCTTCCGCTCATTCGGGCTTCGAAGAGATTGTGCTAAAAATAGACGCACCCTCATTCCGGCGTAGCTTTTCCGCCCTCCTGCACAAGTTTTGCTGGCCAGCTTTGATAGTCACGTACGGAAAATTCGGTATTCTCTAGCTGAACTAGGGACAGAGAATCTTGGTGGAGAAATTCAAGGGCAAAGTAACGTAAGAGTTAAGAGGGGACAAGCAAGAGAGTGCTCAATGATGCTGAGATCTATTCGCGGAGTTTGAAAACGACATGACCAGACACTCCAGCTTCCTGCACTGCTTGCTAACTACAAGTGACGCTGGCCTACGTGGGTTCGGTGAGGACAACTAAGCAACAAATTTTCATACAGTACGTCAAATGCAAACACGATGGCTGCCAGCTGGCAAGTCACTCTATTTTCATCGTCATCTCTATAGCCCGACGGAAAGAGGTGTCGTCTCAGTGCTCATTCTCTTCGAGGTGTTCATCCGAGCACAGCTGACCCGCGCCCATTGATTCGCAGTTAACGGCCTGATCTGCATAACAGCATATTTGATCAAAGTTAGCCCGTACTCAGAACCTCACATCATTTATGTTCATCTTCACTACCAGACATCTTCCGGAGGTGGGGAGATTCTACTGGTATATCCTAGTGTACCTTGTGCCTTACTCTTGCGTCGAGAGGGTACATGACGGTACCACCCGCAGAAACGCGACAACGCTACATAGAGGGATCGACTATGCCTGTAACACTATTCTGACGTGCCTCTGGTCGCAGCGTAATCGTGGGCCGCAGTCCCGTCTAGTCATCATCCGGACATTGTAACTTGGTGACGGAACCGATGCCTCCTGCGAACGGCAACCGAATCTTAGTCCGAACACGCGTATCGAACGCGGTTTGCTCCACTTCCAAGTGCTCCTCTCTCGCCTTCTTTCCTTCGCATCAATCCCGACAACTCATATCGCCGCACTGGATCGGTTGAATGATCCCTTCTTCCTCGGCAACGTCACTGCTTCACGGGTTTCCAATAATAACCACTATACAATGACACTCGCATCGTCGTGGTCGGTAGCGCAGCGCACCAGCCATCCCTCACCTGATAGGATTTGTTCTGCTGGCATGTTCGCACTGGTCCAGTGTGGCAGATGTGCGCAAGTTTTCACAGCTACACTGAGCGTCGTCGAGGCCGTGAAAACATATATAAAGGGTACATCCTTGGACTGAAGAGACCATCAACCAAATCTCTGGTTTACGCACAGTCGCCTTCCAGCACACTTCACCTCCCTAACCATGTCTTCTGCCCGTGCCTTTTCTCTCGCTGCCCTCGCGGCTGTCGTTTCTGCGCAGTCCCTGAACGTCGTCAACAAGTGCTCCGACAGCGTCACGCTCTTCACCCAGACCTCGTTCGGCACGATTGACAACAATGTCAACGTCGCTGCTGGCGCCACCACCGACATGAACATCTCCAACAACTGGGACGGTGCCATCAACGTCGGCACTAGCTCGACCGGTGGCCCGACCTGGGACGGCACCACGCCGTTCTCGCGTGCTGAGTTCAACTTCGTGCGTTTTTTCTTTCTTCTCTGCTGTGCCAATCGAGTTTGAGTCTGAACGTGGCTTCTGCAGTACGCCGTCCCCGGCTCCGTCACCTACGACATCTCCTTGATCTACGGCTACAACGTCGGCATGGAGATCTCCTCCTCCGACTCCGGCTGCTCTGCCTTCGCCTGCACCCTCCCCTCGGGCTGCGTACGTCCCCTCCTTCATTTCTTACGTTATATCCCAGCCCTAACCGCTCCCATTCTCATATCACAGCCCGTCCCCGGCCCTGACGGCTCGTGCTACTCCCCCTGCTGCTCGTCCGTCTCCGCCTGCTCGGGAGGCGCGCTCCCCGCCGGTGGCGGAGGCTGCACGAGCAACGCCGGCCCCGGCCCCAACTCGCCGTTCTACTACAACAGCTGCTACAACGCGTACGCGTTCCCCGACAACGACGGTGCTGCCGGCTACACCCCCGCCGACAACGTCGACTTCACCTGCGGCAACACCGACATCACCCTCACGCTCTGCCCTGGCACCACCTCCAACATCCCCAAGTAAACGCTTAGTCCATGTGGCTCGCGCTTTGCGCGTTGTAGGGCAGGGACGGGAGCGGGGCAGCACGCCTCCGCGATCAATCGCTGGCCTATAGAATTACTTATTGGTGGGGGTTTTTATGTATTCCTTACGGTACCCAGACGACTGTTTTATCACTGGTTTAATGATAACGGTGTATTTATGGTGGTGTTGTAATTCTTTGTGTGGATACGGACGCGTCTGCGATGTGTAGTTTCACACATCTATTCGGATTGACAGACGTGAAGAGTTCAACGATCTTGCGTAATAAGGCTGCTCGTCGATTTCTGCTGGGTTTTGACCGTTCGGGTGAAGGGGTGCGCATTCATCGACATCCTTGGCTTCTTCAACACGTGGAAACATGCAAGCCAATTTAACCGCGACGTGTATCATACCGTATCATATCATACCGTATCTTTACTCAGGTGCCCGGCTTTCGCTTGGTCGTGTTTGTCCTTTCCTTTTTTGCGTTATCTCTTCAACGCTTCTTGCTTTCTCTGCACCGTTTTCGCCTCAGCTGTCCATGTCTTCCGTGCACGTTCCTGGCATTGTAACGTTTCCCTTGCATGTCGACATGCAGTCCGTCATGATGCACTCTCAGTCTAAACCTCTTCGCAACTTAAATGTCTAAATTTCTTTTCAGTTGCGCATGGGTCGTGTCTCCGGTTGGCTGAATACTTATCTGTCACGCGCTGATTGGCCAATGCTTCTCCTCATGATCTCTCGTACGCTTTTCCGCTATCTTTCTCTTTTTCCCTACTTATACCGCGGCTGCTCGCGTCCTTCCGACCATCTTCTTCATTTCCTTTCCTCCCTCCCTCACATTTGTTTCCTCATCGTCTTCATTCATGTCTGTGTGCCACCTTCATGGCTACGTCTGCGTCGATCAGCCTAGGTGAACGTTCGTTAAGAAGCCATCCAGTCATATCGCTCACTACTTCAATTATGAATGCACTCTCCATTGTGCAGACAACTCCTCCGTCGCTGCCGATTTGAGAGTTTACGCCCGGTACACTGACCTCCTACTCCCTGACGACTCTGTCATCGAGGTCATGGCGCAAGCTTTCTTCCCCGCTGATCGCTCTACTGTCCTAATCTTTTGCAGGGATGATTTCAGTTCTGTGTTCGAGCAGGTGGTCGAGTGGTGCCTAACGGTGGAGAACGGATGCTTCACATCGGACACCAATGTCTGGGGACCACTGTTGCCCCACTCCGTTAACAGAAGCGCTGCTCGTTTAGATGTTGTCATCGACCGTTTGGCTTGGGCTTGGAACTGGGAGTACCCTACCGGGACTTGGTAGCATAATGAATATTATTTTAGCTCGTGGCCAGCCCACGCATGAACCTATCACACCACTATTTTCTCTCTAAGTGTGGGACTTAATTTCGGAGCGCAGCGACGGCTCTGCCTTGTGGTGAGAGACTGAGAGTCGGAAACAGCCGCGAAGTTGGTTTCTCCCCGAAACGTTAACGTCTAGATCTATCTTTACCCGTTAACCAAGTTTCCGTAGCACGGCAGAGGGCTCTACCCTATTCTTTCTGGCTTGTCAGGGGGACCGAGGCTCCTATCTGCTTTTGCACGAGTGGTTCTGACTGTTCACTGTCCGCTCCGTACGAGGCTATCCGAACTGAAATGCTGACTCCTGAACTTGGTCGCGGTCTTGGCAAGTTGCAGTTGCCACTACTGTATAATCCCGTAAACTTGCAAGATGCTCCGGTATCCCAAATTAACCTATCCTGACTACATCTGCTCAAGCTGAATTAAGTACGTGAAGTGACCCTTTATTCTCCATTTCGTTGTATTCATTCGAAGAAAATCATCACGGAAAACCTGCATAGGAGTGTCCGGCCGGTCAATTGCTGAACAGAGATTCATGCTGCTGGATCGACAAGACTGCGCACCTTTCAATGGTTGGCGATGTCAGGAGCCGAGTCCACAAGCCAGCTTTATAAGACTGCTTGACGGAATTGTGCACGGCTAGACCCCCCGAATCAGCGTTCAGCAACCTCCTCTGCCATGGCTTTGTTGCTTTTCCTTGGGCTCCTACTTGCCTCGTTTACTCTCGCCACGCCTTCCATCGACAAAAGAGCGCATAAACTTGTATCTCGGAGCTCGATCTTCACTACCAACTGGGCAGGAGCCGTGATGAACGGCACTGAAGCGGTAGGTGGTGGCTCCCAGAAACGGTTCCCGTAGCTCATGAACCGTCCAGATCAATAGTGTGACTGGCACGTTCAGCCTTCCCAAACCGACGGGAAATGGATCGGTGGCTATCTGGGTCGGCATGGACGGAGTATCATGCAGCACCCTCTTGCAAGTGGGCATCATTGTGACTGTCAACAACGGGGTAGTATCGTACATCCGTAAGTAGCCATACGCCAGAGAGGAGCATGCTGCACTCCTATTGACCCCTTATCTTGCAGCCTGGTACGAGTGGCTACCAGACTATGCGACGCCTCTCGAGACGCTCAGGCTCGACGCGAGCGATCAAGTGACGCTCACCGTGACCGCAACCTCGCCGACGAGCGGCGAGGTGAAGATTCAGAACAAGTCCAAGAATCAGGAGGTGTCGACGCAGGTGAGCTCGAGCGCGAAGCTATGCCAGAGGAACGCGGATTGGATCGTTGAGGCGTACCACAACGGCACGGGGCTCGCGCCGCTGAACAACTTCGGCACTGTCATGTTTACACAGGCGCAGGCGGGGACGTGGGGCGGGGCGATTGCACCCACTACGGACGCGTCGGTCTATAATATTCAGCAGAATGGGCAGGCGGTGGCGTGGGGGTCGGTGCAGAATGGGAACGTCATCGTGCAGCACAAGTGAGTACGTCGCATTGATGGGTGGTAATAGTGCAGAACAGTGAATATGCGGTGTAGACGCCATCCTCAAATTTTGTAATAAGGAATTTTAGCCAAAGTTTGTTACGCGGATCAAGTCTGGATATATGTTGCTTTTGTTGCCTTGGACAATTTGTCGACACAAAGGGCGGATTTTCGTGATCCACACGTATCAGCTGATGGAAGCGATTATATTCCTCACGGTTGATGGTCTGAGCAAGGTGCGTTGCGAGAACTAGGGTATAGAAAGCATCGACGTATATCATATGTTGGTGGAGAAGGCTCGACTGCTGCCTGAGCCAGGCGGGCCACGGAAGCCACGACATAGCCAGTAACCCTCGCTCGAGTCCGATCGGCTGGCGTCGGGTTTGACGTAGTAAACATTGCGAAACTGGGGTTCGAGATGCTCGCGGCGGAATTCAGTCAGCAAAGGGTGGTTGAAGTGTTTGATTCTGAAACACATCGATCGCGGTTTAGTGCGTCAAAGGAGCGAGGAGCAGAGTAGGAGCTTACAGGAGCGCACCGCCTTTCCTCCCACCACCAGGTCGATCGCAGCCTGGTTCCTCTGGGCGCAACACGCCGAGGCAGAACTCATATACGCCCCGGCAAATGTCGAGGCTACTCTCAACGTCGCGAGTGCGGTTGCCGCTCATGTTCGCAGCGATGTCACTGAGGACGACGTCCGCGTAGTCGTGCCCTCGGGCAGACAGAAGGGACCTCAGGGCCGCTGGTGCGTCTGGACGTAGGAAGTCGAATGTTAAGGAGTGTACGCCTGGTATGGGAAGCATTGGGAGGATATCAAGGGCAAGAATAGTGGACTGTTCCCTGCTTGTATTAGGCTCCGGAAATGTATCCTGAGGAAGAGAGGAGGGAGAGGAAGACCAGTCGTCAGAGGGTGAGGAAGGATCACCTCGGCCCATACCCTTTTCTTCGAAATCCCACCCTGTCGAAAAGCCATGCCGCTCAGCTACTACCTGAGACCAACCTCCTGGTGCAGCACCCAGGTCGACGACAGCACGAACAGAAGGCTTGGTGAGGAATTGATGGTACTTGTCATCGAGCTCGAGAAGCTTGTAGGCAGCACGCGAGCGGTAGGAACGAGGCAGGTCTTCAAGTGGGGCAGGTTTTGAGTTTGACTTGTTAGACTTGGAGGGGCCGTGTGATGCGACGCGTTGTGTGACATAGGGATCGCGTCCTTGGCGAGCGAGCCATGCACGAGAGGATTTAGTGACCTTGAAGAGCGGAGCGGTGGGTCGGAGCATGGCGTTCACGATATCAGTTGCCTTCACGAGTATGTCGTATGCTTGAGCTGGGCAGCGACTAGAGGACGCGTCGAGACGAAGGGCAATGGCTGCAGTCACAGTACGCGCCTTTTGCCTCCCTTGCTCCGGCGTTTTCGGACCACTCTCCGACCTTGCTCAGTCGCCGCTTCAAGTCTCGGCAGTGTCCGAGTCCTCGCAAACGCACTTACCGATAGCGAGGAGCCCGTACTCATCACTCTCGGCGTCGTCCTCAAGGTGAGTTTGTGTCAATTTTTCGCTGTATCTGCCGCCAGTGGGATCCATGCTGCTGTGTGGAAGGAGAAGGAAATTATGGAGGTTGGATTAAGCGGTCGAGGGGCTGGATGAGGTAGTGGAATCTGGATGCACCTATATCTCTTGATCTTCGCGCCCAAATCCTCGCGCACTCTTGCTCATCCATCGCCGAATAGACACACACCGCTCGTCGGCCTCAAGACTTCAAAACAAAAGAGCGTTAAACGCGAATCAAAATGTCCGCCCAAATCTCCAAGAAGCGCAAGTTCGTGGCTGACGGTGTCTTCCGCGCCGAGCTCAACGAGTTTTTCGCCCGTGAGCTCTCTGAGGAGGGCTACTCGGGTTGTGACGTCCGTGTCACCCATGCCCGCACTGAAGTTAGTTCTCGCTCCCTGCTCCCACTACGTTTACCCATTTCATGTCATGAACAATGTGCTGACAAAACGTGAAGATCATCATCCGTGCCTCCATGACTCAGGAGGTTCTCGGTGAGAAGGGTCGCCGCATCCGTGAGCTTACCGCTCTCGTCCAGAAGCGGTTCAAGTTCCCCGAAAACGCTCTCGAGCTCTACGCCGAGAAGGTCCAACACCGTGGTCTCTCTGCCGTCGCCCAGGCTGAGTCCCTTCGCTACAAACTCCTCGGTGGTCTCGCTGTCCGCCGTGCTTGCTACGGTATCCTCCGTTTCATCATGGAGTCCGGCGCCAAGGGTTGCGAGGTTGTCGTCTCTGGCAAACTCCGTGCTGCCCGTGCCAAGTCGATGAAGTTCACCGACGGTTTCATGATCCACTCCGGTCAGCCCTCAAAGGATTTCGTTGACTACGCCGTCCGCCACGTCCTCCTCCGCCAGGGTGTCCTTGGTATCAAGGTCAAGATGTGAGCTAATTATGCGTATCTCGTACTTGTCAGCAGCTTGCTGACCCCTGTTTTAGCATGAAGGGTTGGGATCCCGAGGGTGTCCTTGGTCCCCGCAAGCCCCTTCCCGACTCCGTCCAGATCCTCGAGCCGCCCGTCGACAAGGTTGTCCTCGAGCCCTCATCAGAGTCGAAAGAGCCATTTGTCGCCGCACCCGTTGCCGTCCAGCCTGGTGCCGCTGCCGAGGGTGAGCAATATGCTGCACCCGCGGCTGAGGGCGCCTACCAGGAGGGCTTCGAGGCTCAGCCCGCGTTCTAAGCGGACTACCTGGGGATGTTGTAGGATTTGTGCTACTTTTCTCTCTTTATCACGATGCTATGCGCTTGAGTAGGCGTGTTTGCATGCTTTGCCATGCCTCAATGAATATGCTTAAACCTCTCTTTTGCTTGAACTCAAGCTAACCGCTGTCAAGTGCGCCATGGGATTGCACGCAGGTTTGGTTATAAATGTCCATGCATGCATGTCCATCTGGCCATTCGCTCCCTGAAATAAGTGTGCCTTCACTGACCGAGGGCTGCCAGGTTGCGCTCGTGTGAAAGGCGGTGCCAGCATTGTAGGATGTTTCGTACTTAGACAATCAAGTCTTCGTAACATGTCCACTTCGAGTCGTAATGGTAAAGGGTTCAGATTTTGATCAGACCAGGAGACACGTCGCCGTCTCTACATGATGCAAGCCTAAAGTAACAAGCAAGATCTAGCTTCTCAAAGTACAACCATCCCTCATCTCCTTTTCTTCTTCTTGACCGGGCCAGACTCGTCGTTGCTCCGTTTGCCCGCCTTTTTATTGTACGCGCGTTGCAGGGCACGCTTCGCCTCGCCGTCTGGGAACGACTTGAGATCAAAGTATGAAGGCGCGTACTCAAGCAACCTGGTGAATGGACCTAATCAGTGGCCAGTCATTTCACGAATATTAAAGGCTGCCCACCATTCTGCGCGCACTTCGGTCACAGTTCGGATGTACGGCCTCGTCGTGAGCACAAACTCGTTGAAGATCACCCATTCAGGTTGTGTCTCCATCCCGCACGACGGATGAAGATTAACCACCTAAGAATGCCCATAAGGTATTTGTCCGTGACAGATCGATTAGTGGCACGCACCTGGTTATCTTTCAGCGTCATATAGCCGCCCTTCTCGCCTTGCTTGTGCGCGACCTGCATGAAGAATCCGTTGCACAGCGCCTGGCGCACGGCGAGGTACAGCTTCTTCGGGTCTTGGATCGTCACTAGATCAATCGCGTACCGCTCCATCGTCCGCTTCAGCTGCTCGCGAACGTTGTCTACCTGCATCAGCGCACGCGCTGACACATAGTTAGTACAAGTCCAGTTTTTATCCCACTCATCTGCAACATACGGTCAACGATGATGTTATGGTCAATTCGCTAGGGCTCACTTTGCTTGTAGCTGTTGTAGATGTTGATCAAGGTAAGGTGGTCGCCTTCGGGAATGCTGAGAAGGGCTTTCGCTGCATCCGCCTCCTTGCGTTGGTCATTCGGTCGGACAAACACATTTGGCACTCATTCGAGATGTTAGTAGATGTACATTGCAATGCATGAATGCCACATACCAGACAACATGGCAGTGAGCGTCAATATCTCGTTACTGCACTTGAACTCGGGGCTGACGATGAGCATCTTGGCGAGCTGCGGGTCCAGAGGGAATTCCGCAACGATGCTGCCTAGCGCAGTGATGTTCCCTTCGTCGTCAAGAGCAGCGATGTAGTTGAGAAGCTCCAAAGCTCGCAACAGCGCTTCAGGGGCGGGAGTGTCGACATAATCGAATCGGACAAGATCCTACGTTATGTTATTATCACTCAAAGATCACAAGCTTAACGGGAGGAACAGACCTTGACGCCCGCCTTCATCATCTCCAGCACCGTGCTAGCCAAATTACTCCTCAGAATCTCCGGGTGTGTCTGTTCCTCCAGCTCCTTCATAAAGTCCTTCTCCGTGTACAGCCGGAAGCATTTCCCTGGCCGCGTCCGTCCAGCTCGCCCAGCACGCTGCTGAGCCGACGCTTTCGATATCGGGCTGACGAGCAATGACTCGACACGGATACGAGGGTTGTACACCTTCTGCTTCGAGAAGCCTGGATCAACGACGTACACGATACCGTCGATCGTCAATGATGTCTCCGCAATGTTCGTCGATACCACCACCTTTCTCCCCGGCGGACCACTCCTAGAGCGCCGGGATGGCGGCGGATCGAAGATGCGCTGCTGTTGAGCAGGTGGCAGCGACGAATACAGCGGCATACACACGAGCGGGCCGACCGAGTCCGGATCCTGGTTGACCAGGTCATCCACCTCAAGCTTGATCTTCTTGCACGCATCCTCAATCTCCTCCTCACTCGTGAGGAACAGCAAGACATCTCCGGGGTCCTCCGCGCGGTGGATCATCAGCACCGTCCGAATCGCTGCCTCGACGTAGTCCGGTTCCGGCTCCTGCGTGTAGAACACCTCAACGGGGTGTGTCCGGCCGGGAACCTTGAATAGGGGCGCGGGCTCATTTCCGCGAATACCAAAGTACTTCTGGAACTTGAGCGCGTCGAGCGTTGCGGACATGACGATGAGCTTGAGATCAGAGCGCCGCTGCACAAGGGCCTTGAGCAGCCCCATGAGGATATCGGTGGCGAGTGTACGTTCGTGGGCTTCGTCAAGGATGACGGTGGAGTATCGCGAGAGGTCCGGGTCGTGCATGGCTTCGCGGAGCAGCACACTGTCAGTCATGTACTTGAGGAAGGTCGTCCCTGGCTCCGTCATATCTTCGAAACGTATCGAATATCCGACTTGACGACCAAGTTGCACTGGATCGACCAATCAGTACGCGACCAAACTTCCCCCCACATAACCTACACACCGTCCATTTCGTCAGCTACACGCTTGGCCACCGACGTCGCAGCTACACAGCGTGGCTGGGTGCACGCCACCATCTTGCCCCTCGTATGGGGGAGATCCGAATACGCGACGAACTGTGGTATTCTATCGAGTAAAAGAAGAGACCCGTCTGTAAGTCACTGTTCACGCCTGAAACAAACGGAAATCTGCCCCAGACACCAACTTACTGTGTCGTCTTGCCCGAGCCGGTCTCGCCGACCATGACGATGACATGGTTGTCGGTGAACTATCGACGAATGATCCAGTTAGTATGCAGCCACATACAGCACCTAGAGCCTCGAAGGAAGAGGAGGCAAGGGACGCACCATTTTGAAGAAATCTGTCATCTGAGCGTACACCGGCAACTTCTTGCGCGCCTCCAAGATCTTCTTGTACTGGGCCGAGTGCGGCTGCTTCGTGAAAGGGTTTATGTCATGGTCCTAGCACAGAAAAGTGAGGTTCACAGCAGCTTTACAGAATCATGTCAAGTGCGCTTACCAGAGCCGATTGGGCCTGGACTGCCATCACTTTTCGTGGCAGGAAGCCATAGAGAGGCTCCTTGGCAGTGTGAGACCTGTTTCCCTTCGATATGCTGAGCTATCGAGTTTACGAGACGAATCTGCCAGAGAAAGGAAAGTGGTGAAGGGAGCGGGAACGTACATACCGTAGCCATTTGCACCTGTGCCTCCCTTACGTTTCGTGGCGAACATCCATGAAGTGGATCGATTGCACTTGTATTGCTATCAATCCCCGTCATTGAGGTGAGCAACCGACTCAAGGACGGCGTGAAATAGAAACCAAGAAGAAAAGAAGGCGAAATGAGCAAAATATAAAGGAGGCGACACAGAACAAGCCTTGGGCACGACGTGAATAGATGGAGATTGAGCTAGGGCCGATTGTGAGCAAGGTTGTACTAGAGATGAATTTGCCGAACACACTCGCCGCTTGTGTTGACAAGCAGTGCGACTTGGCTGTGCTGGGTGTCGTACGACTTCTCACTGTACAATGGCAAGTCGTCGTTGTTTGAAACTTCGCCCGTTTATCTAAGCGCTCAAGCTATCGGCCGTGGTCTTAGGGTTTGTGCATGTGATGAAGAGGATTGAATTGAATCCCTGGAACTTGATGCATGATGGCCCTGGGCCGAAAGTGTGTGAATTGTGGATAGTTGGGGTCTTGCAACTGCTCAAACGGTGGAATCAAGGAACGCAAACACGGCTGTGAGTACTTAGTACTTATCTTGAACGTTTCAATGACTTTCAATTGGGCGCCCACCAAAATTTGCTCTGAGTCGTTGCTGAGTCGTATCACACACGAGCTGGCAATTCGCCAAACAAAACAAAACATATTTTTCTCACACTCGTCAACTCTGGGCGCAAGTCTACCGGATGTAGAGGGATGTGAGTGTTCTGGTAAGACAAATCGGAGTGTGCCCGCCACACAGAGTAGCTTTGTTGAACAAATGTGGAGTGGATTCAAGTCGAAGCTTGCAGGCGGCGATCATGGACCAAGCTCCTGAGCCCGGTACTCACACCAGAGATGATCCTTAGGAAACCAGATCAACACTTCATTGCGTGCCGAAGCCATCTCAATTCACCAACTCTCGGAAAGGACTCGGACCGCTACGATTCTTTTCCTCTGTCAGCAGTCAATATTTCAATGTCGATGCCTCCCCATTACGCATGCAGTGTATGAACAGCAGGATTTTGCATAGCCCGACAAGTTCTCACGTTCACCTTGTATTAGCTTCACAAGTCTCAGACCACGGTTCGAGATACAGAGTGCGATGTCATTATAGGGATTTCGGGAGGGACATGTTTCTACGACACAAATCGGGCTCCCTTTAGGTTGCCGGCGAATACAATAAGCACTTGTGCGTGGTGTGGGTTTCATGCAACCATCCAATAATGTTCACCGCTTCATATCATCAAACCTGTGCATGTGCGTGCATCGTCAAATCATAGCATCAGACAGATTGCCTTGCCGAGCAGTGCTGCTATATAAACAGACAGGTACTAGGGTACTTGGTTCCAACGCTTCATCCCGGTGTTCAAAGCTGTCTCCAGGTCGTCAATACTCTACCACCATTACGCATCATGACCTCTCTGATTGTTGTTGACGATCACGACCCCCAAATCAACTACGAAGGAAATTGGATCTTCGATGAACCTGGTGTGGCTGGCACACAATACGAATATCAGGAGACAGATGCTCGCTCAAACCGAACGGGGGACACCGCGACGTTCACGTTCACTGGTATGTGTTTTACTAGACTGTCGTTTTTTCTCATCGCCATAACTCTCAGGGATATGGGTCTCTGTGTACGGCACGACTGGGGACTGCTTCAACCCCACGCTACCCAGAGGGAACTTCTCCATCGACGGAGGCGAACCGTTCCAGTTTGAAGCGCCAAGCATAACCAACATCTCGGTTTACTACCAGATGTTCTACTCTGCCATTTTGCCGGAAGGGAGCCACACGCTACAGTTCACGCGCGTAGGCCCAGATACTACGTGCGATCTCGTGCTCGACTTTATCGAGTATATTCCTTCGGTGCCGCAGAGTATGTATGTCTCGTCACTCTGCGTCGGTTTTCGTTGAGTGACAAGTTCGCAGATACAACCACTGGCACCAGCACATCATCTCAAGGCGTGTCCGTATCAGTGCTGGCAGGTAGTATTGCTGGAGGAGTTGGTGGCGTGATACTGTTTCTTGCACTAGGCCTCCTCTTGCGACGGTACCAGGTAGTAAACCAGAGGAAGCAGGATATGATTGACGGTACGATGAATCATCTTCATGCTGTGATTCGTTCTCAGTGCTGGATAATAGAGCTGATCGCTGCACGATCTCGTGCAACACTACCTGAAGAGAGGCAGGCAGGCGCGGCCGAAACACCACCTCACAGAGTAGCCAAGAGATTTATGATTGACGATTCATCTTCAATATCACCAGAACCATGATCACTGGATGAACGCACGGGGAGGGGACTAAACTCGATCGCGGAAAGCTCGTGCATGTTATGCGCTCAGGTGCGAGGTATCGCATACTTCCGCCTCTCCGAGTCGTATGAAGGTACTGTCATGTGGACATGGCGCTGAGCGTTCATTTAGATGCCTGATTGGCGCTCAGGCCTAGGGACAGCATGTGTTACTCGAGGGTAAATCGGTAGACAGTACCTTAGGCTACTCAGACGGCAGCCTCGGCCTCCGCTGCTACTCGTAAGAGTTGAGCTGCTGAAATACTAGAGACTGCCTGCGCTCCCAACATTCGGTAAACTTTCAAGGGTAAACGTCGGATGCACAGTCTTGCGTGCCCATGTAGTGGCTGATACCAGCGTTAAATGCTTCCGATCGCTCCTTCGGCGTGGTTCGGGGAAGTTGTTCGCTTCCGCATTTTCCCCATGCGTACACATGTGTACCGCGTCCATTTTGGCTGTCGGCAACAAATGCCCGCCCCGATCCTTCGCTCTTTCTCAAGGCAGTCAACATCACTGCCTTGCAATCACGCACGCTGTATACTCAAGTGTGGCGCTGTTAGTCCAGCAACACTCGATGTCTCCAGATTCCTTAAACAGCATGGCGTTGACAGTCGCAGGACCGAGGGCTCTATGATGATCGGCTTCTTTCCGTCACCGGTGAATACAATTAGCACTTACACATCGTGAATCAAGCAGGGCGCCTTTTGATACCTGTGTACATGTTGCATCATGAAATCAGTGCCCCAGGAAGTTTTCGGGCCGAGTGACGCTAATATAAAAGCGTCTAGTGGCCTACCCATTAGTCCAAATGTCACATCTCGTATCCATACTCTGTCGCAGCCCACAACATGACCTCTGTGGTAGTCGTCGATGATCAAGATCCACGGATCCAGTACGAAGGAAACTGGCTGACAGGAGTCAACGCATCAGAATACGAATACGACCGCACGGAGATGCGCTCAAATGGCATGAGCGACACGATGACTTTCAGTTTCACAGGTACGTTGAGATGGGCCTAGCTTAGAGTGTACTCACTGTCGGAACTTCCAGGCATTTGGGTATCCGTGTATGGCACGACCGGGTTTTGTCTCAGCCAGCTGCCCAAAGCGGAGTACGTCATCGACGGAGGCAGCCCGGTGGTATATGAGTCACCAAGCATGCCTCAGGTAGTGTACCACTACCAGATGTTCAAGTCAGATGTCCTGCCGGATGGTAACCATACGTTGGTATTCAACCGCACGGACCCAGACACTACGTGCGACATAGTGCTCGACTTCATCCAGTACATTCCATCGCCGCAGCAGAATGATAGTACGTTGGAATCAGCTTCGCATCGGTCTTCACTAATGTGACGAATGATCAGTGAGCACACCCTCGAAACACATTTCTGCAGCAGCACTTGGAGGTGGTCTTGCTGGAGGGATCTGTGGTGTGATATTGTTCGCTGTGATGGGCTTTCTCTTGCGCCGTTCCCGTCGAGAGATATATCGAAAGCAGGACATTATTGACAGTAAGTGTACATGAAGCACATCTGAAACATCACTCTGACCCATGTTGCCGTAGGTCTGATCGTAGCACGCGGTTACGAACCTGTGCCTGATGATGCGCAGTCCGACATATCTGAACCACCACCGTACGTAGCGGATAGGAGAGTTCGATTTTATGGTGTACCTTCAATCATATCAAGAGCATGATCACTGGAATGGAGCGTTCGGCGAAGGTTGGATCCCAGAAAGCCCGAGCTTTGTTTGCGTCAAAGTTACCTCGAAAAGATCTGTCGCGGACGACGTATACAGGGAAACGGTTGTATCTATACCCGAGCGGTGCATCAAGGTGAGATGGGTAGACCGCGCATCAGAGGAATGCATAGATAGGTCGTACCCTAGGCTGCTGACCATGACTACTCGTTGAATCGAGTTGAGGTTATCAGTGTTTCCAACCTTTGGCCAAGGTTTCCGAGAGAGCAGCTTAACAATGGCCCTCGAGTCTTGCAAGTTGACCGTAGTTTCTGAAAGAACGCATCGTTGTTATGTGAATGTGGTTTCGCATCAAGCTACAGACGGTGTCGCGTGAGATGAGAGGGGACACGCCACTGGTAGCAAACATGGCCAAATAGTGGCGGCGGAAAAGCTGGTCTTAGTTTGGTTGCTCAAAACAGTTCACGTTCGCGTCGTCGTCGAGAACAACCCCAACACACGAAATGGCCTCCCCCGCACCCCCCGTCGATGGCATTGGTATCGCCAACCTCCCCAACCAGGTGTGTATCCTGTGACAGACTCACTATTGCTGTTTAGCTGAACAGTCGCGTCCCTTTTCTTCGCGTTGTAGAGGCACAAGATTGTCGCCAAGAGCGGTGCACACTTCACCATGATGGTTGTTGGTGCGTCTCGTCATGTGGGGGTACTGTGAAGGATACCCGCTTACTCCTTTATCATAGGCGAGTCCGGTCTGGGAAAGACGACGCTCGTCAACACCCTTTTCACAACCGAGCTCTCCCCGGCGAAAAACTACACCAAGCGGCACTACAAGCAGCTTGACAAGCTCACCGAGGTCGAGATTATCAAGGCCGAGCTCGAGGAGAAGCAATTCAAGGTCAAGCTCTCCGTCATTGACACCCCCGGTTTCGGCGACTACGTCAACAACCGCGACTCGTGGTCGCCCATTGTCGATTTCATCGACGACCAGCACGAAGCGTATATGCGCCAGGAGCAGCAGCCCGAGCGCGAGGAGAAGACCGACCTCCGTGTCCACGCATGCCTGTACTTCATCCGCGCTACCGGACACACGTAAGTCCCTCCCAGTTATGGGAGGCGCGGAACACGAGGCGCTGACCAAAAAACCGCGCGCAGGCTCAAGCCGCTCGACATCGAGATCATGAAGCGCCTCGGCACGCGCGTGAACCTCATCCCGGTCATCGCGAAGGCGGACACGCTCACGCAGAACGACCTCGCCGTCTTCAAGCAGCGCATCCGCGAGGTCATCGCCGCGCAGGGCATCCGCATCTACCAGCCCCCGGTGGAGGCGGACGACGACGCGGCCGCGGAGCACGCGCGCATGCTCTCGGAGGCGATTCCCTTCTCGATCATCGGCTCGACCGAAGACGTGCAGACGCCCGACGGGCGCACCGTCAAGGGACGCGAGTACCTCTGGGGCGTTGCCGAGGTGGAGAACGAGAACCACTGCGATTTCCGCAAGCTGCGCTCGTTGTTGATAAGGACGCACATGCTGGACCTGATCTCGACGACGGAGGAGCTGCACTACGAGAACTACAGGCAGCAGCAGATGGAGACGCGCAAGTTTGGCGAGCCCAAGGTCAAGAAGGTGGATAATCCCAAGTTCAAGGAGGAGGAGGAGCAGCTCCGCCGGCGCTTCACCGAGCAGGTCAAGGCTGAGGAGGCGCGCTTCAGGCAGTGGGAGCAGCATGTGAGTTTTTTTAGTTCTTTAAAATATTTCCCAAGTGCTGACGTGTTTTCCACCCAGCTCATCGCCGAGCGCGACAGACTCAACAAGGACCTCGAGATGGCGCACAGCGCCATCAAAGCCCTCGAAGCCGAGCTCGACAACCTCCAGGCCGGCTACGGCCGCGGCACCACCAGACGGTAGACGACTCGGCGCCCTACGTCCGTGTTGTTTTCCATGCCGGCGTGCAAGCTGTTTCATTATACCCTACGCACATATCCTTCGACGCTCGTTTATTGGAATGGAAGCGGTGCCTTGACTTGTCGAACACTCCATTCACGTTCTCACTCTCGTTGGTTTCCCCCCCTGGCCCATTGGATTTCCTTTCTAATTACCTCGTTTACTTCGCCTACCGTACTTCATCTGTTTTTCTTTTTTGCAGCACTGACGATATATGACGGTAACTGCACGCACGTTTCCTGCGTTCGTCTACGCGAAGAGAATTATAAGTGACGACTGCCGAAGTCCCCAATGCTCAAAATTGAATGCAAATGTGTTCGACTGCAATTACTGTTGGTAGACGACCGACATGGGGAGAGCAATGTCTGAACAGCGACAAAGGTATAATACATGAATTACTCTATGCGTGCTTCCACAGCACGAGTGGCTTGTTGGGAGGAATGCATTCGTTCTTTATTTAAGAGTGCGAGTCGAGGAAAAGAAAAGAAAACAATTACTTCAAAAAGGAACGGATAGCGTTCAAGGGTGCACAATGCTGTTAGGCCCCTTGGCGAGGAAGCGCGCGAGCGCGTCGGGGTGCTCGCGCGCGACGGTCTCCCTGCGGACCCTGCGCTCGTGGCGCAGGCGGTTTACCTCGCCCGCGGTGAGGTCGCCGTGGTCCTCGGCCCAGTCGAGCCGCTTGTCCTCCTTGCGCGCGCGCATCTCGTCCGCGATCGCCCGCATAATCGGGCTCGGGCTCGGCTTGGCCGCGTACGGCATCTCCGCGCCCGTCTCGTCGCAGATGCGCCGGCCGTGCTCGTCCAGGCCGTACACGCTGAGCGCGCCCTTGTCCGCGGGGGCGCTCGAGGAGGTGTACGCGGCCTGGACGTCCTCGGCGGCGGCGGCGCGGAACGACTGCTTGATCTCGGGTGCGCGCGTCTGCCAGTTGCCGACGCCGACGCCGATGACGCGCTTGTCCCAGGGGAGCGTGTCGTCGAAGCCGTGCCCGTCGACGCCGCGCGCTGTGTCTGCGGGCGAGAAGCGCAGGCCGGTGAGCCCGCCGCGCGCGCCGGCGAGCAGCTGCGCGAGCTGCACGGCGAGCGTCTGCATGCGGTCGAGGCGGAGGTGGCGCACGCGCGCGTTGAAGGACGGGCCGCTGCGTCGGTCTTCGGGCGGGATGGAGGCGTAGAAGGGCAGGCCGCGTTCGAGCGAGCGCGAGAGGCGCACAAGCGTGGCTGCGAGCGGGCGCGTGGAGACGCTGAGGGTGAGCAGCGGGCGGAAGAAGGGCTTCTCGGCAAGCGTGGGCATGTACGCGTCGCGCACGGCCTTGACCTCGGGCGAGAGCGGGAGGGAGCGGCGCGGAGCTGTGGGGTCCATCACCGCGGCGTGGTGGCTCTCTGCTTCAGATTCAGCCTCGGCCTGGATGGCCTTGGGTGCCTCGGGAGGTGCCATGGGCAGAGGGTGGTGGAAGGCTACGGTGGCGCGGGCAATAGCGGTAGTGTGGATACCGCGACCGCCCTTGGGCGTCGAGGCGTCGCGCTCGCGGGCACGCTGCCTGCTGACGGCGGAGCTGAGATCGCGCTCCAGGCTCGCGCTGTCCGAGTACTTGAACTCGTCAGCGGGCGTGGGCGGGGCAAAGCCGCTCGGGTGGAAGACCTGCCCCTCAGCGTCGCGCACTTCAAAGGGAACCTTGTGCGGGTGAGGGCGCGTGCGCACGGCGCTGAGGGTGTCAAGGTCGGACTCTAGCACAGCCTCCGCGACAGCGGCGGTCTGCGCGGCGTGCTCTTCTTCCTCGTCACGCAGGTTCTCCTTGCGGCGGTGGGCACGCGAGTGGCTCGAGTGCCCCTGCGAGCCCGGGGTGACGTAGCCGCTCGAGTGGACGAGGTTGCCGTCGGCGTCGTAGTGCTCAACAGGGATTTTGCCGCGCAGACGGCGAGTGCTCGCTGAGATCTCGTCCGACATGAGCGAGTCGGAGAGGTGGGGCATGAGTGCGGCTCCCTTGTGCGAGCGCTTGCGAATCCCAGTGTTGCGCAGCGATGGGTCGCGGACCTGGGTGTTTTGGTCCTCTAGATGGTATTCGACCGGAACCTCCTCGGCCTCCTCGACGGCCACCTCCTCGCCGTTGCTGTTAGTGGCCTTCTTCTGCTTCTTATGCTGGATGTAGAAGTCGGGAACGATGTGGTCTGCGTTATACGAGTTGGTATCGAACGCACGCGCAGAGGTGTGGAAGGCGCGGGCCTGGGGCTGCATGGGGGACCTAGGAACAGTAGGTGGAATGGCTGAGCTGGCGTGCCTGGCGGCAGAGTCAGCAGGCTCTGATGCAAGTTCACCAGTCATGATCTCCCTGCGGATCGCCTCGGCATCCTCGCCCTTGGCCCACCAGCTGATACGAGTGGTGTTACGCTGCTTGCCCCAGGGCCAGCGGGCGTTGTCCATGGACTCGAGCTCGCTGGTGGGAGCACGGGGGGAGTTGTACTTCTTGAGGACGTCGGGGAAGTCGGATTCGCGGCAGAAACCGACGACGTGGTCAAACGTCTCTGGACGGCCGAGTCCATGGCGAGTTTCATAGCGGCCCTCGAGAAGGAAGACGGTGTGCGGCTCATATGCGGCCTCGGGTGGAGCTTCAAAGACCTTGCCGAGACGCTGGAAGCGGCCGCCCTTGGACCAGTAGAGCGCGCGAAGATCCTTGGGACGGGTGAAGCCACCCATGTAGCTGCGGAGGGAGCGAGGGTTAGACTCAGTGGTGCGGGGGCAGGACGATAAGGTAAACATACGTCTTGACCGGGGTGAGGGCCATGGTGATGTCCATCCGCTCGTCGCGCTCTGCCTTTTCGATGCGACGCTTGACGATGCGGACCTTTTCCTCCGCGGTGGCCTCCAGGGTGGGTGCGGGGCTCATGAGCTTGCTCTTCTTGTGGTTGCGTGCCTTGGAACCCATGAGCCGCTTCGTGACAAGCGGAACGGTTGCTGGTTGGCGAGCCATATTGACTGTGCTATGTTTGAGACGAGAAAGTTATGATAGTTTATGAGAACATACGAGAATGTTTCTGGGTGGTGTCGTGTCTGTGGGTTGGTCGGACGTTGAGGTCGACAGCGGGAGTAGTAATGGACTGGTCCGACCAATCAAGACAAGTAACAAACTTGTAACCCAAAAACTGAAGCCATATACCGACCACCTCTGTTTGTTCCTGTTTGCCCCCTATTCATCCCCGGCTTTGCCCCACTGATTCTGATGACCTCATCGCACTCACCTTCCTTATTGAGAAAACCCACCTAGAAAGTGGACCACGACGAGGTGAAAGGGGCCGGATGAATATCGATGGTTACACGCTCGCCTATAAATTCGCGCACGAACATCGTCGGGGTAACGCACTCTCACTCGCATTGGAGCAAGAACAAATTTCACTTTTCCTCCACCTGTACCGACGGCCAGCGCCGTTGGCGTGATTGATTCTATGCCTCAGTTGCTCGAATCAATGACCGCTAGGATGAAATGTAAGTAGGAGTGTACCGTCAGCCGCAAACGTCGTTCACAAGGTTATACATGACATACTGGGTAACGTCTTTCAACTTCAAAGTGATTACATGGATGCCCTCAGAATCATGTGCATCATGATGCTGGCTGCCCCTGAATTCAGATGACCTTCGCAGCGAAGGTTCTACCTAACTGCTTTGTCTGGGGACCAACGTTAAGTTTTCTCAGCCGCGTACCAGATATGGGGTTCTCCCGGTATGCCCTCAGGCATAAGCTTAATGCACCAGATAACCATACTTATCAAACTAGCTCCGCAACTCTGGCAACTGCATAGATAAAGATGCAAGACGGCCAGGAATATTTTTATGACTTACAAGGCGGCGTATCAACTTATCGTTTATGCCGTCATACAGTGTGCATGATGGTTTGAGGTGCTGCCTTGACCTACTGACTTTTCCCAAGTGTATTCGAGCTGACCCTAGGTGGGGGATTAGACTGACCAGACATGTGCATGATCACCCAACTACGATTTTTGCGACAATTTTCATCAACGGGGCAGCTCACTCTCACTCACGCATTGGAGCAAAACAGATCTGATATTTCTCTTCTTGTACCCATGGCCGCCTTCGGCGGCGTCGACCCCATCTTTGCTTAAATGAACAACCGCCAGGAGAAAAGTCCTGTACTATAAGCCGCAAACATTAACTATTCACCGGACTATACGTGACAAACCAGCCGCGTACCGTTGTTCAGCTTCACTATGCTTACAGTCAAGTGCTCATAGTTATTTTAGCTCAAAGTAATCATGCACCATGATACTAATTGCAATCAAAATCCAGATGTCCATCACAGCGGAATTTCTGCCTCTTATAATCTGCTTTGTCCGGCGGGCTAATGCGGATGGGTTTGCTCAACTTCTTACCATGTTTGAAGACCCTCTGCTTCATGTAACTCATGTCTTCAGGGTAAGCTCAACGCGGCAGACATAGCTCTGGCAAGTTCTGCGTAGATAAGGTTTGGCTGACTCGGGAATGTTAGTACTGACAGCAGGACCCGCAGATTAGGCATCTCAATATTTGCCGCCAGCCTCACGCCACGAGTGGAGCAAGATCCCAGCGAGACAAGGCCATGTATACTTTTAGTGGTTCGAGCTTAAGGTGGAGTACGGTCATCATACAATGTGAACGACCGTTTGAAGCGCAGCTACTAATTCCATGGAAGATGGCCATCCTCCTCTCCGGTCAGCCAAGGTTAGTTTTACATATTAGTGGCGCCTTGCTGAATGTTCAGGCCTAGGATTGATGACCACGGAGAATGCCAGCGGGGCATAACTAGCATGATACTTAAAGGCGGCGGAATGAGCACATTGCCCGCCACTTTAACATGTCCACCATGGACCCCTCCGAGTTCATCTTGCCGGATTTCTTTGCGACATGCCCATTCGCTTTCGGTCGTACCAACCCTCACGCCGATGTGGTCATTCCAGAAGCGCATGCGTGGATTGTCAAGCATGTCCCGTTCGTCGATCGCAAGCGAGACGAATTTATCCAAGACGGGTTCCAAGATCTCATGCCTCACTGTTATCCATGGGCCGGGAAGGAGACTCTCCGCACCATGTGCTACTTGAACAACCTTTTGTTCTTGGTGGACGACTTGACGGACGACATGAACAGTGACGAGGCCCGTGGCTTCGGCGAGTCGTTTATCCGGGTTTTGAATGACCCTGCTGTACACGACAGCTCGCAGGTTATGCAAGCAACAAGAGAGTAAGCAGGCGCCCGACAGACGCTTGCCATCCCACAGTTCACAAAGCTCACATTTCGTCCTCGATTACATCAGATTTCGCTCCCGCATCACAGGCACTGGTGTGACCGAGTCGCGCTGGTTTGGCCGGTTCCTGGCCATTTTCAAGTTGTACATAAACGCCGTATGCGCTGAAGCAGAGGACCGCGAAAATAAGCGCATCCTAGACTTGGACACGTTCACTGTCGCTCGTCGGGAAAACAGCGCCGTGATGGTGTTTTTCGCCATTACCGAGTACGCGCTCGGTATTGACCTCCCGGATGCAGTCTACGAAGACCCTACGTTCCTGCGGGTGTATGCTGACTCTGCGGACATGGTCATTTTGGTAAATGTATGTTGATGCACGGGTTTATTACCGTCTTTCTATCTTGTGGCGCTGATTCTGTGGCTTTTATGCGATAGGACGTTTTTTCCTACAACAGAGAGCAAGCTAAAGGTCTTGATGGCAATAATAACATCACTGTCTTGATGCAGACTCTCGACTTGGATCTGCAGGCCGCGGTGGATCACGTCGGTGAGATGTTTTCCCAGAAGATGGAAGGGTGCATGCGTGGTCGTGCGATGCTCCCCTCGTGGGGCGTTAAGGTTGATGCAGACGTCGAGCGCTTCTTTGATGCCCTTGATCAGTGGGTCGTGGGCAATCTCGAATGGAGCAGTCAGTCACCGCGCTACTTGGGGCCCGAGCATGAAGAGATTATGAGGACAAGACGGGTTGTGCTCAGGAAGGTTGAGACGGAAATCGAGTAGAGAAGGGAAGGACCAGGACAAGCGACGATCGGTGCCATGTGTGACAGACGGCTGTAGATATGAATAAAGCAATGAGAGAACCAATACTACATGACTTGTTTTCTTTATAGCGGGTTGAACTCACGTTGCTAGTAACCCCAGTGCTGCATATGTATACCTGTACCCATTGAAGCAAACCCAAAGCCACGGAGTAAACGAGTGCTATATGAGGACATTCGGCACTACTGTACCGAGCACCTCTGTCGCGTTGTCTAACAGTACGTCGTTGAGTATATTCATACGAGATGGAAGACAGACATCAGGGTTTCTATGGTTTGGTAACCCAGAGACTCGAGTCTGAGGATACCATGGCCATGAGACTTATTGTATGGTGCTGAAGGGGATTGGTTGGTTGGTTGGTGTATCATTTTAATGTCCTGGGGGGCGTGTGGCCCCAAGGCGGACAGTCCTACTGTAGTGTAATCTGTATCTAGAGTATGTATGTGGGGGATCTCCCCTTCTCTGGTTAATCCGTACGAGGTTTCAAGCTGACACGTGCCCGCCAGCCCGAGGGGCTGTTAGCACTTGCGAAAATAGGTTGACAAAATAAACTGAGGTCATCACGCCGTCTCCTAGGATGGATCACCCTTTCCCCTCTCCCGTGCTCCCCTGCTCCTCATCTCGGTCCCCAGTCCTTCTGTCGTCCAGCTCCGGAGTGTAACGGGTGGCTGCCGTTGCGAGACGGCTAGGCGGCTTACGCCGTGTATTTTGTTCTGTAGAGGTCTCCGTATGTTTTTCTGAAGCGTCCTGTTGTGTTGATGAATCTCATCAGCGAATGTATGGCCTTCTCGTCATTCAATAAGTGAGAAAGTGACTCAGCTTGGCGCCCGATCGCCTGTACCAGTCGACGACGGGCCCTTTCCCATGCAGGGCATTCAAATAGGTAATGTCTGATCGTTTCATCCACTTCTCTTGCGCAGTGTGTGCACGTCGCGCTGTCTACCGCCTTGATCCTGCTTAGGAATGCGTTGAGGGCGACGTGTTTTGAGCGTAGGTGCGTGAGGATCGCGCCTTGGCGTCGCGGGAGTTCGCTGAGTTGGTCCATGTGCTTTTCGGTCGCTGGTTTGAACCCTATCGCTGTGAGCCGTTGCGCTCGATCCGATGCCGTCCATTGTCTGATCCAGCTGTCCTTGATTCGCTTCTTGAGGTTTTGCTTTAGTGCTGAAACGCTCGCTGGGAGCTCCCCTTTGAGGTGGTTCGGTAGCTTTCTATTCTCGTTCGCCCTCTTCCCTTCCGTCGCTGCGTCCTTCGCGGCCTTGTCCGCTTCCTCGTTCCCTCTTATCCCCTTGTGCCCCGCTAACCATACCATTTCTATCTCGGTCCCTGTCATCTCCGTGCTGATTTTCTTCGCCTGTCGCCAGATTGGGGGGATCAGGTAGTGACCTGGGCTCGTCGACGACGGCTCTCGTAAAGCCTGGAGTGCCGCCTGGCTGTCAACGTATACTGCGACTTGGCACCCTTCTGCACCTCGTTCTTTCGCTAGCATGTCGAGTGCGAGCGATACCCCGACGAGCTCGCCCTCGAAAACGGTGTGTCGCGACTCCGAGCCTAGGTGGTATTTGGCCACTTTCTCTGTTCCGTTAGGACGGCGGATCACCGCTGCCGCCCCAATCTTCCCTTGGTATCCCGATCCGTCTGAGTATATCGCCCATCGCCGTGCTGGTAACGCGTTGTGTTCCGCTAGCGAGGTCGGCTTGTCTTTTGCTATGTGTATCGTGAAGTGCTGTGCACAGTTTCGCATGGGTGCCCGATGTAGCGGTTCGAGGTCGCCGACTGGAATGGATAGCCGGTGTGCTAGTAGGTGGAGCGCCGAGCGGTGCCGTTTCACTAGGCGCTTTGCTGCGTTGGTGAATCTTGCGGCCACCGGGTTCGTCGCCGGCAGGGTTGCTAGTCGGAGGGCTCCTCTGTGGAGGATCTTCTGTACCGTGAATGCCACCGGCGTGACATTGGCGAGGATCTGAAGAACGTCCGTCGGGGTGGTCCTCATGGCCCCCGTCATCGGGCATAGCGCTATTCGTTGTGCGCTAGCAAACTTGTTCATCAACCCTTGGGAGCCTCTTGCTTTTCGGAGATCAACCCCGAGCGGCGGTGGCAGCCAGACTTCGCTAGCGTAGAACATTTTCGGTAGGACTACCGCGTTGAATAACTTGCGGACCAGCTTGAATGGCATTCCTGTAGAGGGGCGTGCGAGACGACAAAGCTGCAAGGAGTACGTCGTACCTTTCTTTATCGCTGCAGCGGCTTGCTCTCGCCACCGCAGTTCCTGATCCATCACTACTCCCAGTAGTTTGTGTTGTTTCTTCGGCGTTATAACGTGACCCTCTACCAACATATCCGGGCGCTCCTTTGCCCGGTTGTGCCCAAAGTCAATCAGTCCGAATTTTGATACCTCAAATTTTGAGTTATGTTCGCGTGCCCATTGCAGTGCCCCTCCCGGGCGTTCAAGCATGTCCCCCAGTCGTCGATGCGTGTCGTGATAGGTTTTGCCCCGCGCGAGGAGCGTTGTGTCGTCAACGTATCCAATTACCAGTTCATTCCGGCGGTCGGTGTCTGCAATGCGTAACATCCGCGAGCAGTAGATCACATATAAGAGCATAGAGAAGGGGTCACCTTGTACGATCCCATTGCGTATGGCTATCTCTGCGGACGTGTAGTCATCAAATCTGAGGCATGTTCGGCGGTCTGTGAGCATTGCCTCTGCGAAGGCGATCGTATCTGCCGGTAGGCGTAGTAATTTCATTTCGTGAATTAGCATGTCGCTCACCGCATTAGGGAACGCCCCCTCAATGTCAAGGAAGAGCACAGAGATCACGTCGCCCGCTCGCCATGCCTTCTTGATCGTGTTTTCTAGCGTGAGGAGGGCATCCGTGGTACTCCGACCCGGGCGTCCCCCGAAAGCCGTTTCCGGCAGTAGATTTCTTTTCTCCAGTAGCGCTGAGGTCCGTGCTGTGATAATGGCTGAGTAGAGTTTTGCTATGGTGTTGACCAGTGCGATTGGACGGTAAGCTTTCGGGATCGTGTAGTCCGGCTTGCTGGGTTTTCGAAGGACCACCGTGGTGAAGACACGCCAGTCGTCCGCAAAGAGTCCATGTGTGAGGGCAGCGTTGAAGATACGGAGGAGGTGGGGCGCCAAGAGGTCTATGCAGCGCCTGTATACCACGTTTGGTATGCCGTCCGGTCCGGCAGCCTTGTATGGGCTCGCATTGTTGGCTGCCAGTCGTAGCTCCTCCTCCGTGATGAGGCCTTGGCTTGCGTAGGGCGTCCCGTATTCGTATCCCTCTGGTACCGATGAGGCTTCGGGTGGTGGGGGGAAGAAGGCGCTAGCGAGAGCCTCTGCCTTCTCGCTGTTCGTTGTGCACGTGTTGCCATGGTGAGTGAGGTTGGGTATGCGGGCCCTGCCGCCATCTGTCGCTGGGGTTACAATGTACCGGTGCGCCGTCCACAGTGAGTGGGAGTCCAACTCCTCGAGGAAGTCCTGCCAATGGTCTTTCCGTGCCTTGTCAACCGCATCTGTGAAGTCCCGACACGCCCTCTCGTAGTCTTCATGGGCCGGGTGTTCAGGTACGCCGCGCATAGCGTTCCTCGTACGCACCAGGTTGTTTTTCTTTTCCTTCATCTTCTTCAAGTCCCTGGTCCACCACCTCTTCGAGAAGGGGCATACCTTTGAGAGGGGCACTTTCCTCTCGATGGTCGCCTGTACCGCCTCTTCCATCCTCCGCCCATACTCGTTCAACGCCCGCTGCGTTCCCGGCACCCCCATCTCTCCCATCCTCCTCAGTTCCTCCGCCAGGTCCGTCTTGAACTCCTTCCACTCAACGTCTCTAAAATCCCGTCTCGGCTCCTCCTCCTGCCTCCGCAGTCTCACATCCACCACGGTCTTGATCGGGACGTGATCGGCACGCACAGCGTGCAGTCCCGGGACCACGTCGCACTCGATTATGCAATCGAGTGTGTGCTCTGAGCACCATACGTTATCGGGGCGAGTCCAGTTCTTCGTCCTGGATTGACGTAAGGTGGGTATGCCCTCCGGCAGAGCCATCGTGAGCCCGTATGTTGCCACTAGCTGGATCAGAGCCTCCGCCTCCATCAGAGCCGCTGCCGTGAAGAGCTGTGTGTTTCGCGCTTTGTCCCACATGGGGTGGTGGCGGTTAAAGTCCCCCATCCAGAGTAGGTGATCCGCCTCCGTGAGACGTAGATGGTCTTCGTCCATGAACGTCTCGAGGGTCTCTAGCACTGTCCGTGAATCTCCCGGATTGTAGATATTGAAGACCACAATGCGGCCGCCTGTCGTCGCGAATTCCGTGAGGACAACATCCCGAGATGGGAAGGGTGTCCCCGACCAGTCATTCGTGACCAGCTTCTTATTTACGAGCGTGACTGCCCGAACTTTTCCTGTACCTGCCGAGGAAAACTTGTCAGAGGGGTAGATGACTCGCCACGCTGACGTAGCTCTCGTGTTGCCTAGCTTATCTAGGCAGGGTTCCTGTAGCAGAATGACGTCCCAATCGTTCGCCAGCGATCCGTTGAGAAGGTCCTCGTGTGCGTATCGTGAATTATTCATATTTAGTTGTAGTATTCGCATCGGCGCGTCGGTGGGTTCGCTATTCATATTGACGGTTCAGGTGTTGCTGGCTTGGCGCTAGGACGTTTCAAGGAGGATGACGTGGGCGCAGCAGGGAAGAGGCTGCGTAGCGATTTCTGCTTCATCGTGTTGGTTGTGCTGTTCGACTTGGAGGTAGTCGCCTGCTGCGTCCGCTCCGGCTTCTTCGTCGTGACCGTCCTCTGGTCCCCCTTCCCAGTACTCTCCGCGAGCACTTCTCCCTCCGCTGTCTCCGCCTCCCTCCCTTCCGCTGTTGCTTTCTCCCTGCCCTCCTCCACCCGTCCCTTCTCCTTGTCCACTCGCTCACCGACCCCGGCACCCCTTCCGGTGCTCCCTCCCTCTCCAACCTCGGCACCCTTCTCGGTGCTCCCTCCCTCTTTTCCTGCCACTGTCCTCTTCCCTGTCAGACCCGAGAACGAGAGTGCCCCTAGTATATCCTCGCTGACCCCCATCTCAGTTGCTGTGAAGGGCGCCATAGGGGTGGATGCCGGTGTGGTGTACGTGGAGGGGGGGAGCATCTCCGTCTCCTCCTCGCGTTGGTGGCATTCCGGTCGGGCCCAGCTGCCCACCGTCGAATAGAGGGGGAGGCTGTTCTCCGGGTATTTCGCATCTAGTTCCTTCCGCTTCTGTTCGGCCACCGGGCAGTTTCTGTCCCAGCTCGCGTGCGTGCTCTTCTTGCATGAGGCGCAGTGCATGGCGCCGTGATTGTTGCAGTTGGCCGTCCTATGGTCCTCCCCGCATTGGGCACAGGTGTCGCGCGGGGCTAGGCACAGCGCTGCGACATGGCCCCACAGTTGGCACTTCGCACATCTAATCGGCTCCTTTTTGTCTTTGCGTACCGAGAGCTTGTCGTGGTCCGCTACCATTCCGTTCATTATGAGTCCATTGGCGGTGATGGGGTCCCTGCAATAGACCACTGCGTGAGCAAACCGTTGGTCTGGACGGCGCTTGATGGGTGCCCTTGCCCATCTCGCTGCCATGAGAGCACCTCTATAGAGACCATTCGCCTCCTCGCAGCTCCGTAATACGTCTGGCGCCGTGATCTCTGTCGGGAGGGGAATGAATTTCACGAAAACGTTGAATGCCTGGGGCCGGTAGTGGAGGTCGTCACCGAGGATGGATGCCAGGCTCGAGGCGCCAGTTGGCGAGCGTAACCAGTCGGCCGCGTCTTCCGTGAGCATCTCCACTAAGATGCAGGTGCGTTGGGGCCGGGAGACATTTCGAATCTTGAGTTCGGGGGACTCGTCCATCTTGGTCGCGTCGAGGATGAGCTGGAGACGACTCGCCGTTTCTTTAGCTGATAGGGTAGTGGGATATGCTGTCGCCTCTGGGGGGATGTCGAACATGATTTGCCGTCGCTTGATCGATGCCTTGGCTGCTTGGTTGAGCTGAGCTTCTGACTGGGGATCCTTGAGAGCCTGCGTGACGACGTCTCGAAAGCTCGGACGAGGGCCGGCCTTAGGCGTGGATGGATTGCCAGTGGTTATATCCGTCCGAGTGGACGTCTCCAGTCGTTTGTTGGTGTCCGCCAGCGAGATGGCTGCGTCTTGTACTCTCGCAACATGTGGCGAGAGGCTGGCCACCAGTGAATTCGTCGCTCTCTCCACCACCGCCTCTATCGCCTTCTTCGCCACCACCTCTGCCCACTTCTCCGCCTTCGCCTCCTCCATTTCCTTCTCCACCACCACCGCCGCCGCCCTCAGTGTCGTCCTGTCTTGCATTGGAATGGATGACAGGTTCGCTACGTTGAAGAGTATTGTCGCTATCGTTTGAAGGTTGAACTGCTGGCCATGCGGGAGCCAGCCTTGCCTCTCCAGGTGTTTCTTTGCATTCTGCAGCGTAGGCCCTTCGGGGGTGTCTGTCTTCTTAGCTGTAGCGGATTTGGTACCCGCCGCCGTTGGGATTCTACTGCCGTTGTTGCTGGGTGCGGGTGATGAGTTTCTCGTCGTTCGCCTAGTGTCAGCAGCCTCTAACGCTGCCGACTGCATGCCGTCTCCTTCCTCGGTGTCCAGTGTGTTAGTTGTAGTGATAAAGTTCTACGAGAGTGTTTTAAAGATATGTTCTATTCCAATTTGTAACCACAGAACTGTGCTAGAATGGCTGAGGGCGACGTCGGAAGTCGGGGTCCTCGGGGTGCCGGAACTAGCAGGTGGTGGTTACTGAGAAAGGAATTGCTGAAGGGGATTGAGATGGTAGATAGCCCATAAAAGCAAGACAGGGAAGAACACAGGACAACTAACCATGAACTCTTGGATCGTTTTGGCAGGGCGTCCGTACCATTTCTTTAGGACTTGATGATTGCATCAAGAAACGAATATTCGACGTAGAGAAACGAACGTGGGATATCTAAGCGGGGAGATTTCGGACTCGATCCTGCATGGCTCTTTCTTCGGGACTTGCCACAGGTCTGAATAAGCTGTGTCTAGCTGTCACATGTTATACCCCAGAGCGCTAAATTTTTAAACAAGTTGCGGTGTTCTAAATATCCTCCTCGTCTGTATCCTACTTTCGGATGACCATCACACTATTATCTTGGGGAAGCTCTGCTCGTTGCGTCGCCGATTCCCCGTCCGCTTCAATAGCGTCAGTTCAAAGCAAGATTTGATCGACATTAACCCAAGAGCGCCACAGCCATCGTACTAGACCAGCAACCATTAGGACAAGCCCTGGATCATCCACCATGCATCGAGGAAGTAATTGGAGGGATATCTCAGCATTCTCCGCCGTCGCATTAATGAAAGGGCCGCAGGCGCCTGCAGTACAAGCTTTGGACCTTACCGTCTATTCCTTGCAAAGTTGTTGCGGGCCCTCGAGCCGGGGAGTTGGCGCCGTGCCAATGCTGTGTTTTTGATGACCTCTCTGACCCAAATCTGGCCTTGCCGGGGTATATAAGGCCGCATGTGCTGACCATCATCAACGTCTGGAACCATTCAAACCCACACCGAGAGCATGACATCTATCGCGATTGTGGACGATCGCAGCGCCTCCATACAATACAGCGGAAACTGGGTGCCGGGGGGCACCAGCTTTGAATACGACACCACTACCACGGGATCGAATTCAACCGGGGACACCGCGACCTTCACGTTTACAGGTACGCGCTCAACTGCTCGAGAGATGTAACACACTCTTCTCACAAGACGTTTCACTAGGAACGTGGGTCTCGGTATACGGAACTACAGGATCGACCTCTACTAACGGGATACCTACGATTCAATTCACCGTTGACGGAGGAGCTCCGGTTTTGTTTACGGCGCCAAACGTTTCTGTACAAGCCCTGTATCATTATCAGACGTTTGCATCTGATGTTCTGGATGACACGACTCATACTCTAGTCATCAAAAACACGAGCCCAGGCTGCCCGCCGGCGCTGTGCACAGCGTGGATTGACTTCATCGAATATATCCCGTCGCAAGCTAGCTGTATGATTATTGTTTCCTTCATCCGATCTTCATCCTCTGACAAAGTTTGGGGGACAGCGTCCACATCAGTTCCGTCATCATCGCCGTCTTCGCCTGCAACATCATCCTCTGGGACCGCCAGTCATACGTCTAATGTGGCACTTGCAGCCGGCATCGGAGGTGGGTTGGGTGGGGCTATCCTGCTTGCCGCGTTAGCCTTGCTGTTATTCTACTATCGAAAATATCGCAGGGAAAGGCGTCAGAGACTACAGTTGGTTGATGGTGAGTAGCTCTCCATTCAGTATGACCTTGCTTCTGAGGATATAGCAGAAATGGCTGCTCGTACTTACCAACCAATTATCACGGAGCATCAAGCGTCTGAGGTCTCCAGCAGCTCAGCTGGACGTCTGCAAACAGCGATTGAACGCCTACCGCGTCGAAAGGGTTAACACGACAAAAGACGAACATATTGTCGATTACGATTTTCATTTATTAATCCCCTCTTCCTATCGTGTCCATCGATTCAACGCTACCTATGTGTTGGCTCTAATACAGCTTGCTTTGGATGGTACGGCTATGTCTTATGGTGAGTGTACAAAAAATTTCTTTCATTGTGCTAATAAAGGTGTTCGTTGGCACTGAGTCCGTCTACGCGAAGACGCTTGGTGTCATGGACTCCACGTTTCCTTTGTGCCCAACCAATAATCGTCAGTAGATTTGTGTTTTGGGACGGCTGGGCGACTTTCGTGCTTCTTGCTCTCAGGCCCTAGACACGATATAAGCCACCTGGCAGTCATGAGGTAGACTTTTTTGAGCTCTCAGAGCTCGTTATCAAGTCCAGCGTCCCCGGCTCAGGCTTTCTGAATTCGGATACCTATCTGTTCCATTATCCACTAGCGGTACGCCTAGCCGCCTCCTTCCTGAGTGTGCTCGCTATGTCGAGCCACCGGTAACAAAGTAAGATCGTAAGTTCTCGTACTTGCTCATCAGCGTACACAATATATCTATCCCTGACGATGCTGCATGTCAGTTGACTATGCAGGCCATGCTAAGCAGTTCTAAACAGGGTAGGCTAGTGTTCGTATCTGTAACATTGGGGCCATTTGATCAAACACCTCGGCGATGGCGCCGAAGACGTGCATTTATCGTTAGTGGGGGCTTCATATTCTCATTCTCGTTATGGTCCTCTTCACGCCTGCTGTCCACTTGCATCTGCTAGGACGTTATAAACCCAACGAGGCTTCAACGTCCGCGCTTATCTGCTCAACTAGGTGATGAAAGTCACTTCGCAAGTATCAAAAACTGGATGACTGTCCTGTTCCATTCCCCGTTCTACCACGTCTTGTCGACGTCTTGGTTCAAATTAATTGAGTAAAAAGCAATGTTCAAGATATCCTGTTTCTCAACGCAGATAGAATTTTCTTTCCAATCTACGAGTTTCGGTCAAAACAATTATCTTTGAATTTTGCGTACAACTCGCACGCTTTGGGTGAACGTTAAGACAAAGTTCTGAGTGAAACAGGGCAGCTTTGAAGCAATTTCTTTATCTTTATCCCGTAGAGCTCAGGTTTCAAATACCATAATCCTTTCCGGCCGCAGGTTTACATAGGCTAGTGTGCTCTGCTGAAGTATATACCTTTATACCTTGATTCGTGCTTGATTAGGCTTGTCATAAGTTACGGGAATATAATTGATTATCTCCCACATCACTCAGATCAATGCTGTGCTACACTTTATTGTTGGGTAGATCTCGAGCCCATAAACTAAACATTTAGATAGTACAGAGCAAGAGCAACCAAGTTCATGTTTATTGCATGCTTCGTTAAGGGTGCCCTGTTTCAAGGCCCACGGATAGTACAGTTCCTGGACGCGGAAGATTATATGTTTCACTAGAAATGAAAAGTGCGGGTGGAGCAGGGCCTTGTCGCAAATGATATTGCAGATACATGGGAGCACCCCTGACATAAATTCAGCAACCACTCAGCGTTCAAAACATACAGCTAGGTTTTGCTTGCCCAAAAAGGTATGTCTTAACGATATTCACGGATTGTATCGAATGGAGTTCGTCAGATCAAGCGCCTACTAAGTTAGATAAAAAGCAATGAAACTGGAGCACTCTCCTCCAGACAAACATCCTCACCATGGGTTTGCCTCAAGCCACCGAGTTCGTCTTACCCGACTTCTTTGCTCCCTGCCCATTCACTCTCGGCCTTACCAACCCTCACGCTGATACCGTATTTCCAGAGGCGCGGGCCTGGATTGGCAAGTTCCTCCCGTTTTCCGGTCGCAAGTGACGCGAGTTCGTCCATTCCGAGCTTGAAGGTCTTGCCTGGCACTGTGATCCATGGGCTGGGAAGGAGGGATTCCGCACCATATGCGACTTTCAAAACCTGTTATTTCTAATGGACGAGCTGACCGATGAGATGAGCGGCGAAGACGCTCGTGTTGTTGGAGAGTCGTTTATCCGAGTGTTAAAAGATCCAAGCGTAGATAATGAGTCGATTATCGCTCAGGCGACCAGAGAGTAAGCATGAATCTAGCAAGCGATCATTGAACTTTCCAAAGCTGATGTGTCTATTAGGTTTCGCACTCGAATCGCAGACGACGTTGCGACGAAGTCGGTTTGGTTTGGTCGATTTGTAGCGATCTGCAAGTCGTACGCAGATGCCACGTACATCGAGGCTGAGCACCGCGAGAATAATCGCGTACTAGACTTGGACGACTTCGTTATTGCCCGTCGCGAGAACAGCGCCGTGCGGTGTTGCTTCTCCATCAACGAGCACGCGCTCGGCATTGATCTCCCAGACTCTGTCTTTGAAGATCCTGAATTCTTGCGCATGTATTTTGATGCTGTTGATATGATCGTCATCGTCAATGTGAGTAAGCGGGCCTGATTACCACCGCCTTCCATTCTTGTAGCAAGTACTGACCTCGTCATGGATCAGGATGTGTACTCCTATAATATGGAACAAGCTAAGGGCCTCGCTGGCAACAATGTTGTTACCGTACTTGAACAGGCCCTCGGCGTGGATCTTCAAGCCGCGGTGAACCGTGGAGGCGAGATGTTTGCGCAGAAGATGGAAGGATATGTGCGTGGTCGTGGGGTGCCCCCTTCGTGGGGCGCCAAGGTTGATGCAGACGTCGAGCATTTCTTTGACTCCGTTGATCAGTGGATCGTTGGGAATCTCGAGTGGAGCACCGAGACGTCGCGCTACTTGGGACCTGATCATGAAGAGATCATGAAGACGGGGCGGGTGGTATTAAGAAAGATTGAATCAAAAACCAAGTAGACCCGGAGAAGGGGAGGGATAGAAGATAACTTACTAGTACTAGCACAAATTGTGATAGGCAGCTTTAGACAGAACTGAGGCAATGAATGGTCTACAACAGATGACCTAAGTCATTCAACGTATCCTGTGTGATATCCAGGGCACAGTTGAGGAAATCACGTTGCTGTTAATCAGAGTGCTGCACCTGCATTGATGTTTGGGATTGTCCTGCCAGTGGATTTGTACCTGGCAAGACGCGAACGGACATGGGATTTGTAAGTAGAAAGATTGTCTAACACATTCCCACGGATCTTTCTTCCGGACTTTAACCTGCGGTCCGAATCAACTGGGTTTGGCTGTCTCACCCCAGGGCGCTACGTCGTGGCTCAAAACTGTAATAAGGCTCTAGTAGCTCTCTGCCTTTATCGTGCCTGACAATGATGCCCTGCTCTTTCATTTGCTGTACGTGGCAGCAGTACCATATATGCTGATTCGGTTTCAATCATCCTTAACCCTAGAGCCACCTAGAACACATGCAGCCATCCTACACCGGCGATGTTTGGGACAAGCCACTGGCTGTGCGAAGAACTACATTGAGATTGTCTACTAGAGGGAACCTCAGGCCTCAATGTTTATCGCTCAACAAACCCGTCATTACAATGAATGGGTCGCCGAGGGTCATCGGTGGCTTTCTGGAAGGTCCGGATCTTGCCGCCCGTTCCTTGTGAATTAATTGGTTACTGGCCATACGCATGGCCTGCGAGCTGAGAGCCAGTGAGTTCTCAGCGCTGTGTTTTGATGATTCCTTGGTACCTGGCTTTCCAAATCTAGCCCTGTCTGGGTATATAAGACGACGTGTACCGATCGTTTTTAAGCTCGAAACCAACCACTCGAAGGTGATGGCATCTATCGTGGTCGTCGATGATCGTGACGCCTCCATACAGTACAATGGGAACTGGGGGACCGGTGGAATCTACCCTGAGTACGAGAACACTACTTTCAGTTCAACTCAGAATGGAGACACCGCGACGTTTGCATTCACAGGTGCGAGTCCAACCCTTCCAGAGACGTAACGTGCCTTATTCGCAGGGTTTCTCACTAGGCACATGGGTCTCGGTATACGGAACTACAGGGTGGACTAGCACCAACGGGGTGCCTACGACTCAGTTCACCGTCGACGGAGGGTCGCCAGTTTCGTTTACAGCGCCAAATGTTACTGGCTGGCCCTTGTATCATTATCAGATGTTCGCATCCGATGCTTTGAATGATACGACGCATACACTGGTTATCGAGAACACGAGCCCAAGCTGCCCGTGCACGGCGTGGTTGGATTTCATTGAATACATGCCGTCACAACCCAGTAGTAGGTGGACCATTTCCTCCATCAGGTCTTCGTTCACTAACAAACTTTGACTAGCAGCATCCAAGTCAGCAAGCTCATCATCATCTCCGTCGCCATCCGCGGCATCACCCTCTGGGACCACAAACCATAGGTCTACAGTCGCACTTGCAGCCGGTATCGGAGGTGGGCTTGGTGGAGCTGCCCTGCTTATCACGTTAGCCTTGCTATTTTTCTATTACCGCAACTACCGCAGGGAAAGGCATCAAAGACTACAATTAGCCGATGGTGAGCAACTATTTGTTCTTCGTAGTCTTGCTTCTGATGATATACACAATAGAAATGGCGGCTCGTGGTTACCAACCGATAAGTACGCAGTATCAAACATCTGAATTTTCTAGCACCTCAGCTGGACGTCTGCGAACAACGATCGAACGCGTGCCACGATGAGAAGGCTAATACGGCAAAATATGAACATTTTGTCAACTACAATTTGTTTATTTATCTCTTCTTCCTATCGTGTATATCGATTCAACGCACCCAACTATATGCTGTCTCTAATACAGCTTACTTTGTATATAGAAGTACGGATAGAACGTACAGTGGGTACACAAATCTTGACCTTGGTTTTGCGCTAATAAAGGCTTTCACTGACACCGAAACCTACTGCGCGAAGACGCTTGATGATGCCACGCATGGCGCTATTCTCAGCCGCAGGCCTTACCCCGCCCTTGCGCCCAACAGTCGCTCATCAGATTCTCAGATACCATGTTGTGGAACTTCTATATGCTTTTTGCCGCTTCTTGTTCCCAGGTCCTAGCTCACGATTTTAGCCACTCGGTCATGAGGTGTAGCTATTTTTGAGCTATCAGAGCTCGTTATCAGGTCCAGCCTCCCCCGACTTTCTTCATTCGCTTACCCATCTGCCCCAACATACACCAGCCGTATGCCTAGCCTCCTGCTTCCTGAGTGTACTCGCTACGTCGAGCCACCGACAACGAAGGAATATCGTAAGCACTTGTGCTCTCTCTTAACGCGTAATATAGCTGTTACTTATGATGCTGAGCTTCAGTCGACTATGTGGACCTTGCTGTTATCGACCTTGAGAGAGCCAGTACACTAGATGGCCGTGCAGAAGCGATCAAGCAGCTTCAGGGCGCCCTCCAAACCCAAGGCTTTGTGTATGTCATTAACCATGGGTACACCAAGGCACAGGTAAGTTTGCTTAGGAAAATATACAACCTAAGGTGATAGGGCATGCTGAATTGGTTCCGCCTCGACTTTGGTTTAAAGAGGGATAGAATGTTTGACATAGCCGATGTCGCGTTTTCTGCCGTTCCCATTGAGGAAAAGCAAACTTATGCAGCGAACATTGAGAAAGTAGGGTATTATCAGGGATATAAGCCTCGTCAGTACTGGGTACGTTTCATCGTTCCTCATCCGTCGTAAGTGGACTGAACTGCTTGGTAACAGAAAGTTGGTACCGACAACGACGTCCGAGACCAGATTGATGCATACGCGAGTGAGTGCTATCGTGGCCTTAATAACTCTATCTCTTTCGCAAGGACACTGACGATAGAAGTCAACAAAAACGTGTATAGGCGTCCCCAGCCGCAGGCTCTGAGGCCATTCTTGCCTGAGATTGAGGACTTCGCCAAGCACAACCACCTTAATATTGTTCACCCTTTGCTAAGGTACACCGGACTCACGTTATCCTAACCTCATTTGAGTTTCTGATGCAGCGCCTTGCGATGGAAGGCTTATAGCACTCAGTCTCGATTTACCTGAGGATGTCTTGGTGGACAAACATACATTCGAGGGTACCAGTGAAAGCTGCTGTACGTAAGCCTCATTATCAAAGCTTACAAGCTAACAAATGGAATCTAGTCAGGACTCTGAAATAGTAAGTTCGTCTATCTGTGCACCACCAACTAACTGGTAATGCCATCAAGCTATCGGAGGAGTCCCGAAGAAGAGGAGAAGTCAAAGAATGTTTGGCTCAAGGGCCACACAGGTAAGCAGCTCGCCGAGTTGCTCTTAGGATTCAAATTGTAGCCCTAATGGTTTAATTCCTTAAGATATTGGAACGCTCTCCCTTCTCTGGAGCCAGCCTGTGAGTGCCCTCCAAATCTTATCGCCTGAGGGCAAGTGGAAGTGGGTCCGTCACCTCGACAATGCTGTTGTAAGTTACTCTGTTTGTTCATCTAGCAAATACATCTGACAGACAATCTCGTTGTCACGTATCTTTCTTAGATCGTCAACACCGGAGACATGCTCAGGTTTCTGACCGGCGGCTTCATAAAGCCCACCATTCACCGCGTCACTCAACCTCCTGCGGATCAGCAGGGATATGACCGTCTCGGGTTATTCTACTTCTGCATGCCGGACGATGATGTCGTACTCGAACCTGTGTCTGGAAGTCCTGTGCTCGACAAGATAGGGATAGAGGCACCGTTCCCTGACGGCAGAACGTTTACTGCGCAGCAGTGGCGTCTCGCCCGGATGACTACTTACGGAAGAACTGAACTCAAAAAGGGAGAAGGAAACGTCGAGACGGAAATGGTTCAGGGTGCTGTAGTGAGGCATTACAATTGACTTTAGCCGACGGAGCAAGTTACTGCACAGCCTTAAATGTGTTGACTTAAAGAATAATGTAATATTTGGTGCTCGAGGCCCTTACGCAAACTTCCATTGGACCACCGCTAATATGAGTGCGCTACTTGACATGGACTTAAAGGCAGACAAGGTCTCGCGTCGTCACCGAATAACCTAAGTCACTAGGTTGGGACCACCGTCTTATTGTGTCACCATCGCAGAAACATCGGCAGGAACTTCCCAGATGCGCTGAAATGCTACAAATAGTGCTTAATGTTGAGCGTTTAGATCCTGAATTCGGAGTCTCGTGAAAGTGTTCCACTTGGTGTCTAATTCTGACATTCGAGTTCATTGTTTCACCTATGGATGCACAGTAAGACACAGCCTGAGCTCGGTTACCATTGATCGAGATTGATGATTGGTTGCAGGGACCCGATATCTGTGCTCTTGTACCGCACGAGAACTCTACCGTCAATATTACTTCCGGAAGAAGAACAAGCGTACTACTACGCCCCGATCCTACCGTCACGTTTAGAAAAGGCTATATCTTTTGTTTCCGCAAAGATGATATAGGGCGGCCAGAGGATCCTATGACACGCACAAGAAGGTTGCATAAAACACAGGAAACGTCACTGAGTAACCTCATGAATACGTGGGGAAGGGAGCTAAACTATTGATGTGGTACAGCAAAAGCCGAAATTCGAACGTGCTTTCCTTGTTTTGTTTCTATTGCACCTCCCGGAAACATACTTATAATTCGCTAGTCTCAGCACGGATGCAACATCACTTGCCATGGATTCTGCAGTGACAGTGGATGACCGCAGTCCTCTGATTAGTTATTCCGGCAGCACGGCATGGGCACAAGGAGGCGCTTCCCCAGAGTATCACAACACCACTTCAGGCTCGTATCACTATGGAGACACCGCTACATTCACATTTACAGGTAAATGGCAGCCCACTTCAAGAGTGTCGAAGTTAACAACTTTCAAAACTCTGCATTAGGTACATGGGTGGCGGTGTATGGCACCGTCGGATGGGTGTCAGTCAATGGTCTACCTACGACGACGTTTACTCTTGATGGGAACGAGTCGATCAATTTCCAAGGTCCCAACGCGACCCTCGCGCAATACCGGTATCAGATGTATTCGTCTAGCATTTTGAACGGCGCGGAACACACGTTAGTAATCAACAACACGAGTCCAACCCAGGCTCCATCTCAAATATGGCTCGACTTTATCGAGTACATGCCATTAATGCCCCAGCAAGGTAATTTCGCTCTATATATTCACTCAAACGGGTCTGGCAGTGGTCTCATGAACATGGTTTTTTTTTTCAGCCTCCTCAGTGTCATGCACGCAGACCTCGTCACCACAGATTTCCACAACCATTAACAAACACCATGGTACATCAACGGCAGCACTCGCAGGGGGTATAGCGAGCGGCGTGGGTGGCGCCATAATACTCATTCTCTCGTGCCTGCTATTTCTTCAACGATATCGAAAGAAGCGCGAGAAACAGCAGATTGAAGGTAGGATATATCTTTCCTTGGCTTTAAGCACCCTTGTTCTGAGTTTGAATGCAAAAAATTAGAGCATACCCCACGACCTTATCGACAAGTTGAGGAGGAACCTCAGCGACTCGGGCCCGGGCATGCTCAGATCAATGCGGCCGAACCACCTCCTTACAATCTTGAGGATGCTGTCCTGGATATAAGCTAGTTATTCATGCTATCAATATCAGGCGCTAAGTCCTCTTCGGAAAATACGCTCGGAGGCGTCGATCCGAAATTTGATATGCATATGCCTGCTTACTCGGAAGACTTGCCACATTAAAGCACAGACCAAAATTGATTGTAGGACATTTACTGTTATACACATAATTTTTTAGAAGTTAAAAAAGGCAGAAAATGTATCCCGTATAATACCTGATTGGAAGTAAACTTGCTTTAAAACAAACAGATCGCGGACGTGCCATTTTGTGCCTATTTTGTGCTTGGTGTAACGCGCCGACGCGCTTGGAGAAGCAAGTCACGTGCATGTAAGCAAGGTCCACGTGCGTCGGGCAAGATGTCGACCTCGGGGCTTGTCATTTTCGGCCAAGGTTGCAGCGTATCTCTTTTCTCGCTCCCACTCCCTTCACCACTTTCCTTTCTCTGGCAGATTTCTCTTGAGGGGACAGCATGTCGAAGGGAAACGGGTCTCTCAATGCCAAAGAGCCTCTCTATGGCTTCTTGCCACGAAAAGTAACGGCAGTCCAGGCCCAATCGGCTCTGGTGAGCACACTTGACATGATTCTGTAAAGCTGCTGCGAACCTCACTTTTCTGTGCTAGGAACATGACATAAACCCTTTCACGAAGCAGCCGCACTCGGCCCAGTACAAGAAGATCTTGGAGGCGCGCAAGAAGTTGCCGGTGTACGCTCAGATGACAGATTTCTTCAAAATGGTGCGTCTCTCTGCCTCCTCTTCCCCCGAGGTTCTAGGCGCCATACGTGGCGGTATACTAACCGGATCATTCGTTGGTAGTTTACCGACAACCAGGTCATCGTCATGGTCGGCGAAACCGGCTCAGGCAAGACGACACAGTAAGTTGGCGTCTGGGGCAGATTTCCGTTTGTTTCAGGTTTGAACAGTGACTTACAGACGGGTCTCTTCTTTTACTCGATAGAATACCACAGTTCGTCGCGTACTCGGATCTTCCACATACGAGGGGCAAGATGGTTGCGTGCACCCAGCCACGACGTGTGGCTGCGATGTCGGTGGCCAAGCGTGTAGCTGACGAAATGGATGGTGTGTAGGCTATGTGGTAGAAGCTTGGTCGTGTACTGATTGGCCGCTTTAGTGCAACTCGGTCGTCAAGTCGGATACTCGATACGTTTCGAAGATATGACGGAGCCAGGGACCACCTTCCTCAAGTACATGACTGACGGTATGCTGCTCCGCGAAGCCATGAACGACCCAGACCTCTCGCGGTACTCCACCATCATCCTTGACGAAGCCCATGAACGCACACTCGCTACCGATATCCTCATGGGGTTGCTCAAGGCCCTTGTGCAGCGGCGCTCTGATCTCAAGCTCATCGTCATGTCCGCGACGCTCGACGCGCTCAAGTTCCAGAAGTACTTTGGTATTCGCGGAAATGAGCCCGCGCCCCTATTCAAGGTTCCCGGCCGGACACACCCCGTTGAGGTGTTCTACACGCAGGAGCCGGAACCGGACTACGTCGAGGCGGCGATTCGGACGGTGCTGATGATCCACCGCGCGGAGGACCCCGGAGATATATTGCTGTTCCTCACGGGTGAAGAGGAGATTGAGGATGCGTGCAAGAAGATCAAGCTCGAGGCGGACGACCTGGTCAACCAAGATCCGGACTCGGTCGGCCCGCTCGTGTGTGTGCCGCTGTATTCGTCGCTGCCGCCTGCGCAACAGCAGCGCATCTTCGATCCGCCGCCATCTCCGCGCTCTGGAAGTGGTCCGCCGGGGAGGAAGGTGGTGGTGTCGACGAACATTGCGGAGACGTCGCTGACGATCGACGGTATCGTGTACGTCGTTGACCCGGGCTTCTCGAAGCAGAAGGTGTACAACCCTCGTATCCGTGTCGAGTCGTTGCTTGTCAGCCCGATATCGAAAGCGTCGGCTCAGCAGCGTGCTGGGCGAGCTGGACGGACGCGACCAGGGAAATGCTTCCGGTTATACACGGAGAAGGACTTCATGAAGGAGCTGGAGGAGCAGACACACCCGGAGATTCTGAGGAGTAATTTGGCTAATACGGTGTTGGAACTGATGAAGGCGGGCGTCAAGGTCCGTGCCTCATGTTCAACTTTGGATCTTTGAGCGCTAACAGCCTTATGTAGGATCTTGTTCGGTTTGATTATGTCGACGCTCCCGCCCCTGAGACGCTGATGCGAGCTCTGGAGCTTCTCAACTACATTGCTGCTCTGGACGACGAAGGAAACATCACTGCACTAGGCAGCATCATTGCGGAATTCCCTCTGGACCCGCAGCTCGCCAAGATGCTCATCGTCAGCCCCGAGTTCAAGTGCAGTAACGAGATATTGACGCTCACTGCCATGCTGTCTGGTATGTGGTATTCACGCATTGCGCTCTATATCTCGGCTAACGTCTCGGTCAGTACCAAATGTATTCGTTCGGCCGAATAACCAGCGCAAGGAAGCAGATGCCGCGAAGGCCCTTCTCAGCATTCCTGAAGGCGATCACCTTACCCTGATCAACATCTACAACAGCTACAAGCAAAGTGAGTGCCTGCTATTTGACCTTGACAGTATCGTTGATCGCTTGCTGCAGATGAGTGGGACAAGAACTGGACCTGGACAAACTACCTGTCGGCGCGTGCGCTGATGCAGGCAGACAACGTTCGCGAGCAGCTGAAGCGGACGATGGAGCGGTACGAGATCGATCTGGTGACGATCCAAGACCCGAAGAAGCTGTACCTCGCCGTGCGCCAGGCACTGTGCAACGGGTTCTTTATGCAGGTTGCGCATAAGGAGGGCGAGAAGGGCGGCTATATGACGCTGAAAGATAACCAGGTGCGTGCCGCTGATCGGTATGTCACGGGCAAAGATCTTATGGGCATTCTTAGGTGGTTAATCTTCATCCGTCGTGCGGAATGGAGACGCAGCCCGAATGGGTGATCTTCAACGAGTTCGTGCTCACGACGAGGCCGTACATCCGGACCGTGACCGAAGTGCGCGCAGAATGGTGGGCAGCCTTTTGTATCCGTCGAATGATTGACCACTGATGACATTCATTCACCAGGTTGCTTGAGTACGCGCCTTCATACTTTGATCTCAAGTCGTTCCCAGACGGCGAGGCGAAACGTGCACTGCAACGCGCGTACAATAAAAAGGCGGGCAAGCGGGGCAACGATGACTCTGGCCCGATCAAGAAGAAGAAAAAGATTTGAGGGATGGGTGTACTTTGAGAAGCTAGATCTTGTTTGCTACGTTAGGCTTGCTTCATGTAGATGTGTCTCCTGGCCTAATTGATTTTTTGAGCCCTTTCCTTCGAGGCCATTGAGGCAGCTCTCCGAATAGGGGTAGAACCCGGTATAGGCGATGACATAAGCGAAAGGCGTCGCGTCCCCTTGGATTGCAGGTGAGCTTGCGCGTCCAGGATACGCACGACATTTGGTACTCTTGACCACCATGGACCACTTTCCAACAAACTGGGGACGCCCAGTGAGTATTTGATGCATGGAACTTGCCATGGATCTGGCTTGATGTTCACGATGTTCTCTAGCGACATGAAGGCTTCGACGCGTATGCGACCTATCCGATTCACGAGCGACCCTACAATGGTCCCAAGGATGCGTTTGCAGCGGGTGTTCAACGCACCCAGTACGTGTTCGCTACAATGACTCATATACATGGCCCTCATCTCGTCATAGACAGCCCATCGTCACTGGAACCAGTGTACTCGCGATCAAGTACAAGGACGGCATTATGATGGCAGCTGACAACCTCGGTGCGTCACCTCTCTTCGATCACTCCTTTTGCGCACTTGCTGATATTTCTTACAATCGCTAGCATCCTACGGCTCCCTCGCGCGCTTCAAGGACGTGCAGCGTCTCCACAGTGTCGGCTCGTACACCGTCATCGGCGCGGGCGGGGACATGTCCGACTTCCAGTACATCCAGAAACTGCTCGATGACCTCATCACGGACGAGTTCACCGCGCAGGATGGGCACGAGCTCGGCCCGGTCGAGATCCACGAGTACATGTCGCAGGTCATGTACGCGCGCCGGTCGAAAATGAACCCGCTGTGGAACTCGCTGCTTATTGGTGGGTTCAAGGACGGGAAGAGGTGTGTGTTTTACTTTGCTGGGTTTCGGAAGATGGAACGCTGATGTGTATTCGCTTCGATTTTGAATAGGTTCTTGTCCTATGTCGATCTGCTGGGCACTACGTACACCGCATCGACGCTCGCCACGGGCTATGGCGCATACATCGCGCAGCCTCTGCTGCGCAAGGCGGTAGAAGGCAAGGAGGACACTCTCACGGAGGAGGAGGCTCGGAAGATCTTGGAGGATAGCATGCGGGTTCTCTTCTACCGTGATGCGCGGAGTATAAACAAGGTATGTCGCATCGTCTATCAGAATACGAGTTTTTCTGTTAGTTTCATGTGATCAAACGCTTACATATGTCGTCGTCTTTGTTTAGTTCCAAATTTCCACTGTGACAAGCAACGGCGTGTGGATCTCGGACTCGATTCATTTGGACACCGCATGGTCATTCGCGGAGGGCATCAGGGGATATGGCTCCCAGACGCAGTAGTAGCATAGCAATGATGTACAAATTATACTCTTCCTTTCGTCGCTCCAGCTTCTATTCTCATGATCAAACCCCCCTCCTGTGTGATAGTGCCGACGGAAATGACTTTTTGTCGCAGAGCTGCGCACTTTTGTACAGCCTTGGCATCAAGCACAGTTTCATCTTTCCAGACCGCCGACGCTAGAGCTCCGAAGCAAAGTGCAGCATTATACAGCAATGCTCCATCGCGAACAAACGATAGTGGCTACTACATTAAACGGGGTACCAATTTGCGTGCGTATCTACATGAGTTGTCGTGAGCTGTGAGAACAATACAGGGTGCGGGTGTGCTCGTAAGTATGTGCGGTGAAAGCAAGAACAAAAGCGAACGAAGAGCGTATATGAGAGTCTGAGCACGATAAAGCGATCTAGTAAACAGTCCTGTGCCTTTTGAGCGATGAATGCGCTCTAATAACCAAGTGAACAATAATGAACAGACGTGTTGAAGGAATGGAGTCGTTGGCGCGCCCTCCCGCTTCCCTCCCCACGCACCCCGCGAACTATGACGATGGGCGGTCATGGATGTCATCGGGATACTGGCCCGGGTCGTCGGGGTACGGCGGCGGGACCTCGTAGAGGCCCGGGTGCGCCCCGCCCCCGTCCTGGTGCTGGAAGTAGATGGGCTCCGGCTCGTCGGGCTCGTTCGCGTACTCGTACACGGGGTAGCGGTAGCGGTGCCCGTGGTGGTACTGCCACTGCGGCTGGGGTATGCGGCCCTCGCGCAGGGACGAGAAGGAGCGGAAGCCGCCGCCCATCTGGAGGTGCATGTCGCCCATGGAGCGGGAGGGGTGCAGCTGGCGCAGCGGGGCTTGGGAGTAGGTCTGGGGTGGGTTCTGGGGTTGCTGGGGCCGTTGTTGGTGGGTACGGTGGCCGTCCATGTGGCGTTGGTGTCGGAGGTACGCGGATTGGGGGTGGGCGGCGGCGGCGCCGAGGGCGGGCGAGGAGCGTTGTTGGCGCGGACGCTTGTCTACAGGATATGTGAACGCCTGTTCTGGCTGCCGCGGTGCGCTCTGCGAGCGATGTGGTGGGCTTTGAGGCCGCTGATGTCGTCGCCGTTGACGGGAGGGTGCGCGAATTGGACTTCGATCGGGAGAAGAAGCGATGCTTATAGGCGAGGTTGGCCGCCGCTCGTGCGAGGGCAAGTACGGCGTGATGCGCGAGTTTGACTGCGGCGACTCGACAACAAACGAGTTGTTTCGCTGCGAGATATCGAACACGATAGGTGACACAGTGAGGCGCGGCAGTTCAGGAGGGTTGGGTGGTCGCGGGATATACGTTGGAAACGGATGTGGTTCAGCATCGAAGCGCTCCTTTCTGTGTCGGCGCAAAACACACCCGAGACGCCCAAGGCCGCACAGGAACATGATGCCAACGACGGGGACGACGACGGCGATGATGATGATGTCGGTCCGGCTGAGGCCCGAATGACCGCTGCTGGTTTGGGTAGTTGCAGAGTCGGTAGAGCCTGTCACCGATGGGACGCGCATACGCTGCTTGGCAGACCCTGGATTGGATGCTGTGTATGCTGTAGAGGCCTGTGGGACGCCCGCTGAGTTGGCGTCTGGGCCTCCAACAAAGTGGACGAGCGGGGTCGTCAGACCCAGAGTCCCAGTCCTAGGCAGCACACGATCATCATCAGTCTATGGCTGTCACGACCAAAAGAAAAGACGAAAAGAGGAGATGCGGCGCGAGCGCAGTACTCACGAGTCAATGACGGTGGCTGAGATAAAGCACCGAAGAGCGTGCGTGGGCAGATGCGAGAACGTGAGTAATACCGAATCAAGAAAGAAGAGGGATAAGCGTCGTGCCGAAGAGCATGGACAGTCAACTGCGAGTTCGAGGGAATGAGAAAACACGCACCAAGGACGCGCGTATTTTGGGACCCTTGATTAATATACCTTAGCACGTTATCCGGGCGCGGAACCGGGAGGAGGAGAGGACCTGGGGCGCCGAGGGCAGCAAGGAGGATGCTGTATGGCGGCGACCCTTGGGAGACGGAGATGTCCCATGGCTCCCCGAGCTGGACTGTGAGATCTGACGATATATTTGGACCCGAGGCAATTCCCGATGGTCTGCTCCTCCCGCTCAGCCTGTCAGTCACAGTACCACTGCCCATGCACGTCGGGTCCCCTTCTGCACCGATCCGGAGTCAGCATATCCGTATGGTCATTGAGTGCAATGCAGCGAAGCACGCAGAGATAACGCAACAGGCACGCACGCGAGACAGTAAACACTCTATCAAGCACTCCACCTGGACGGCCCTCGGAATCGACCATGCCCAGCACGAGCTGCGAGCCTATAATTGTGCAGCGTCAGGCCGGGAGGAACGGTGATCCCGATTGTGATAAATGGAAAAGGAGGACTCTACGTACCTGGCTGATAATTGACCACCCAGTGGGGCGAGTGCGCGGCAGGGTCTATCCAAGTGCGGCTTGATGTCCCACCTGGCTCAAACACGAACAGCGAGTAAGGTGGTACACCGAGTGCCGATGGATCATCGCTGTTGTTGTTGGAGGCCCCTGGCGTTGGCACTGGCAACGGGCTGATGGAAAGTTCGATCTCTTGACACTCAGTGAGTAAACCGCTTGTTCGCAACGACTGCAAAAGCAAACCAGAACAAACGGCCGAATGAAGTGGGAAAAATGAACTGCGGTACAATGTTGACGTACCGTGTTCGTGAAATCCCATGCAAAGGCACGCTCCGACGACGCCGATACATGGCATGGCATGATAGAGAACATAACGTGAAGAAGGAAAACGTGCACGATGGCAAGCCGGCCCAGCGGAAATCTCGTGCAGCAACAAGGCACGGCCATGGCTGCCTAGAGAGGCGAAAAACGAAAGGTCCAGCCTCCTGCGTCCAGCGCGATGACGAGAATGCTCAAGGGACAAGGAGACAATAATGAGAGAGGCGCCCGCGCAACTGCTCTATCGAGAGGAAAGAGAAGGGTCTTCGAACAAAGATCCTCTGGTTTTACGTCTCCCAGTAGCATTGCATTCATTGACCCTGGATCACCCCGCGGGAAGGGGAATGTAGCATTCACCAATCATCACTGGGCTTGCTAGCACAGTCAGCGGGACATCTGCGTGGACAACATAGCCTTGATAGCAACTTGATCAACCTGAGCTCATGCGACTGGTCGGGGGGGATCATCACCTACCTGTGCATTTGGAGTCCCACAAGTCCATGGCCGCAACTCACGACTGGTGGAACAGGCCGAAATTTCAATCTCCTCAGCACATAGAGGACACAGCCCCGACATGTGCTCCTGCCAACAAGCCGCCGGCTCCCTGCCATCATGTCAAAGTGACGTTCATTAACTACGTAACGTACACATCTAAGTATTCGATAACTTCCAATTTCGCCAAGTGCCACTGATGCAACCCATTCACTCCTACAGTTGAACGTAGATGCTATCTGCAGAGGTTGTGGTGACCTGGGTGGGATCGTCCTGGACGGCGATGAAGTCGACGTTACCATCGTTCGCAATGATCGCGTAGCGCTTGCGGGACATCAATATCCCGATCTTATCAGACGTGACACGATCTAACTCACCTTTGCGCGGGGCGCACCAAGCAAACCGGTGCCGTCGAAGAGCAGCCCAAGGGATGAGGTGAACTCGCCAGTGTCGTCAGCGATGAACCGGACGCCTAATTTCATCAAGGAAGTAAGAATAGATAAACGGTGTTATCATCGCAGAGCCGGCAGCTATTTCAAGAAGCACGCACCGGTTCCTTGGGGAGCCAGTTTCGCCTTCCATGCCCTGACGATGAGATGGGGCATCAGCACCGGAAACACCGGATAATCTGAATCAGAGACCAGATCACGGTCCTAAGACTTACTGGGTGACGAAGGCGTCGTTCACGGCCACGACGTAGATGTTCTTCACTCCCTTGGCCTTGAACTTGTCAAAGTCGGCGATGTACTGTGGCACCTGCGATGAGCAAGGAGGCGTGAAGGCACCAGGGACGCCAAGCTAAAAGCACGCATATATCCATATTAAAGAACACGAAACACGGGAATCAGCGGGCGACATAGGAATCGGAACTGGGAGTGGGACTAACGATGATGTTTTTGCCGGAGAGGTCGAGGGGTGCGCCTTTCTCCGGGTTCTCCTCCTTGACGGGCTTGTTGGCGGGGATGGGCTCGCCCGCTGTGATCTGTGCTGTGCTGAGCAAGCCTACTGCGGCAGAGTGTGCAGCCTTTGCAGCTCCTGTGACGATGGAGGCCATGATGGTAGTGCTTTACAAATTATCTGTTCGGTGAGAGATGGGATAGAGCGTGAAGAATCCCCACTAAGCGTTAAATCGCTGCACGGATGGCTGACGTCACTCCCATATGGCGAATGTTGGATCAGGTGATCGTCCTTGTATGTCCTTTGAGGAAACAAAAGACGCGAACTTCGTCAGATCGAGCGTAAGATCACATACTGCCCGGGATTGGCCTGAAAGCCGATAAGAAAGAACAACCTAATCACCCACGGTACTCAACTACTCGGAAATTTCTCGTTCGGATAGCTAACGAAAGTAGTACATCCACCCGACATGCAGCACCCGAGTGCAGATATGGCAGCATGCAGGCATGTTGATAACATCATTTCGGTTTTAAGTATTTTTGGATAAATAAAACACGGCCTCCCGAAGGTTCGCGGCTTTGAAGGAAGCTGACATATCTCACGACTAGTTTCAGGGCGGCGTAGTCTGAAAGTTAAAACACCCTAGATTACGACATTGAAGGCAAAAACACTCCCTCGAGTCGGTTAACCCAGGTGGCCCCAGGTGGGCGCCTGCGCTGCGTGATGGCCACGGCGTTCAATCATCGCCGATATTTTGTCTCCGTGAGGCGTATTCCAGTCCAAGCAACGCAATGTTCATGTTCACATTAACACTGCTGCTATAAGTAGATGCCGAAAATCTCGCGGGTAGAGACGCCGACGGACATGACGGACATAGACACGGTATGAAGTGACCATCTGCGAATCAGGCAAATTGAACGAGCAGCATCGCTACAGGGACAAATCACAAAGAGCTGTGGTCCATGGTGTCAGATGAAGTTGATGAAGTAGGCTCCCGACAATACAGGCACGCCCACCCGGCCAAGAGGTGGGTGTCGCGTGCGACGCAGCGAGTTTCATGATTGCATACCGTGACGTACAAATTAAAATTTCGAAATCTAACGACGACACGTCATGATTGTGAGCGAGATCCGAAGAGAATTACAGCATGAAGATCAATGTTCTCTTGCTGTGGAGAAGCGATCATCGCGCAGAGAAAGGCAAAGATGGATGAGGATCGTGGTTGGATAGCGGTCAAAGAAGCCAGTGGGGCGAATCACGGCGAGAAACTAGTAGCCGGTGATTAAGGAAAGAACGCCGGCTGTTGTGGTCCACATCCATGTGTTTTCGTACAGCGCAGCAAGCATGATGGCGAGAGCAAACTTCTCACCTTTATCAAGAATATGTTCATGCAGGAACACACCGCAGAAAATAAATAAATAAATACTTGAAAGTCGATACATACAGCAATCCAGCAACAAAGCACATGTCCCAGAGAAGAGCTCGTCCTGGTTTACCCACTTTCCCTGAGGTGGGCTTGTGGGTGTCAACCTAAAAAAGCACATCTAGGGAGCTTCAATACCTTGAAAAGATGCCTCGCTCACGCATGCGCGCTCGGGGCCTAGTGACTGGCGAACGTCAGAGCATTCATGTCGGCAAAGTTCCCAGACGCATCGAAGCGGAACACGCTCGATCCAGAAGATAAAGAAGGCAAGATAGTAGCAAAGTCTTCGTCCGAGCTGGTATTATCGGCGTCACAGATTTGCGCCGTCGTCGCCGTCGAGCAGGAGGAAGAAGGTGTAGAGGTGGGTGTATCCGCATCAGCTTGGAGATTCAGATCAGGTGGAGGTGAGGAACAGCGACGAGTGACGGAGAGGAAGTAATGCGTCGCCTCTTGCCGGAGAGGCGAGGGATTTTTAGGTCGGGAGGATCGGCCCAAAGAAGAGGGTGGGGTACGCTTGCGGCGACGTTTTCGACGACGCGTATGATCATGAAGAGCCTGAGAGTCTTTCTCTAGTATGAAAGCTGAGAGTAGAATGTTGAGGTAGGCCAAGTCGGCTCCTGCCATGCATATGTAGTCCTGGTCAATGGTGAAGCAAGAGGTATCCGGGGACACGGGAGTGGAGGCTCCGTTTGGGAGCCCAAGACTTGTCGGAGAGCACGGCAGAGGCACGAGTGAGCAGCGGCCAAGTGTTCCGTCATGGATGAGCGCGGGCGGTGGGAGCTTGAGAGTAAGGTTTTTGTGATCTACTCCAAAGGACGAGTAGCCGCATTCGGCATCGAGGTACACTTGGGTGGCGAAGTGGGTTGTGCCTTTATTCCGGTGATCGCGTTCACGGCGCTTGAGGCAGGAATTGACGAGCATGAAGAGACCTATCAAGGCGTCGATGACACGATGGAAAAGCGACATGACTCGTGACGACGGTGTAACGTAGGGGTAAATTGGAGGCGGTGAAGACGTCGATGAAGCGAAGTGAGGCGTAAGAATGGGCTTATGACAGATGAAATAGGCTTATACTGAGTAGACCGGTCGTGTTACGAATGAGTCTCAACAGCACGGTCGACATCAGGACGGCGAGTTGGAGGCTGACGCGCGACATAGTTGGAAATTGACATACTTTTGCACTCCGACTTCAGTTTCTCCTTTTCGATGACCCTAAGACCAGCTGTAGGGTTGGTATCCCCCGAGATGTTAAGTACTTACACTCCAATGAAGGGGTGGTAAAGTTGTCGATCTTCGAGAATGGTCTCCGTGGATGGTGTCGAGTCTCGACCCGGCCGCCATCCACCGCCGGAAGGGGCCGCGGGAAGCTAAAGTTAGAATTCTGTCGGTCTGGATGCACAGGCTCAGCCAAGGTAATACCGAATGATAAGATAGAATTTGATACCCTCATTGTAGTCGGTAAGGCCTGCATTTCGTAGAATAATTGTCCGAGGATCGTTGAGTTCATGATGTCAAGCGGAAAGGTGTCCGAATAGCATTGTGGCTATGCCTGCGAAGCGGTTGTTCAAGTTCACACGATATTTAGTCGCGCCACCCACTGTAGTCGCCCTCTGACGACAGAAAATAACAGGAGTGATAACGTCCTTGGTCACTAGAATGACAACCGTTCTTCTCTGATGCGACGTGATTCACTCATGCTTCTCTTCAAAAAGATCCCTTTTACCACTTATGGAACCTGAGAGCGATGAAGCGCATTTCTCACTGTGCCCCACTTTTCCTGTAAGGAGGCGGTTGAGGCCCTCATTTATCTCAGGCTGTGGCTGCGACTCCGAAGCAATTTGTTGGTAAGGTCGCGCAGTCAGTTCTGAAATACTGTTAGAATTTGCTGATAAGGGATAGGTCAAGAATAACACCGTTATCCAGCGGCTGTCTTTTGCGTCTTTCTTTGAGGTAAAAGTCGAAATAAGAGAGCGAGTGCGGCGATGAGGGCAACGCCGTCGACTGCATCTCCAGTGCCTCCTGCAAGCGCTGCCTTTGACGTGGGTTCTGATGGCTGACTTGAAGCCTTCGATATTGAGAGTGTCTGAGAGGACGAAGAGGTGCTAGTGGCTGATGTCGTTGTTCAATGCTGCTGTTTGAAAAGCATGTTGGATTATTACCATGAGTAAACAATCAAGTAGGCGACAAAACAAAAAGTGAAATGGGAAGTACTACACCAAAGTGAGTACTACGTGCTCGCATTCGAATGTTAAGTGCCTGCGAGATGCATGTCTAGTTTTTGTTGCGAGCAGCGGATTAGAAGTCTGGTCCCAATCAAAAGCTGGTGGCAGATCATGGAATTTTCATGAGCAAAAAAAACAATGCATCGTTTACTTTTCCAACCCTTCCGGCCCATTCTATAGCGCAGGGAAGCTGTTGTTGATCGTTGATTACGGCTGTACGATGAAACATTGGATGGTGAGACAGAACCTCGACACTGTCATTGTCAGCAGTACATCAAATCCTATGAGGTTACGAGTCCATCCTCTCTCCATCTAGTAAAATACTCACCAGAAGGCTGTTTTTTGCATTCCTCCTTGCAATGGAGCCGAAAGAGCGAAGTAAAGACAGTGAGCACAGGGCTCAAAACGATGCTTACTCTAGTTGTGATGAACGTGATTGACATAGAACGTGATGGCGAGGGACTATAATATAGATAGAAGAACTGATCTCACCGATACATTGGCACGAGAACTGGCGATGAGCAATAGGTTAATACACCTTACCCCAAATGTAATGGATGCTCAGCAGCTTGATGAACGCGTTGCCCCTGCTAACATCGTATAAAGGTCGGAGGAGATGGCCAGGTTCCGGAACTAGTGGGGTTTCTTTCATAAACGCTAGGATCTGTGGGCAGCAGGCTGTCCGATTATTGTAAGCTTCGCTGTAGCGGGTGGTCTGGTTATTGGTAGATAATTGGATATGGCAGATAATTTGATAGGCGAGAAGTTGTACGTGAATAGGGCTTGCTAGGTTCATGTTCGTCGTAATGCTTTCGGCGCAGCCCGGTGGTTCTCAAGCTCATCATTGGTCATTACCACTGAGAGCGCAGGATGGTGTAACGCAGGATCACGTTGTCCGAATATGAATCTGGTTGATTATACAAAAGCATAAGATAACAGCAACATAGAACCATGCAAACGTATGCGGTTAGCGCATATATAGTGCTATGCGCGCGAAATATTCTGATACTGCAGACTCGAGCTCTGGTACTCGGTGAGGAAGAGTTTTTCGCGAGCGCTTGCCATAAAGCTGGTATTTTATCAATTTCAGTCGCCCAAGTCGAAAGGGATGAGTATAAGGCGTACTTCAGCAGCTCATTGACATAATCTCGCACGAGCCCTACCGACTCGCCGTCCATGGTCGAGTTGGCGACCATCTGTGGCATAGCGACTACGGGAATGAAAGGCGGAATGCATGTCAGTGATGCACAGCATTTCAGGATAGACACCTTCCCTAGCTAGGGAAGAAAAGCCTGAGTAAAACGCACCCAGCATGCGAAGAAGATGCTCTGCGCCGTATATTGCGCTCATGTCCTTCTCCTGGCCGACGGTAACCTTGGGTCCTGTGACATACTTCTTTCGGATTTCTGCGTACTGCGGCCGTTCAAATCGGTACAGCAGGTTAGCGCCCAAAGAGCGGTCGAAGTAAACTTGAAGCCCGGAGCAGATGGTTGGAAGGACAAGGTCAGGTTCGCGGAGGCTGCGAAGGGCGGTTAGGCTCGAGATCTGTGACAGATGTGCAGAGGAAGAGTGAAGGGGTGAAGCCATGAGAGTGGATAGGGAAAGAAGGCAAGGGTGAAGGGAACGATGAGACAGGTCAGACACGAACGGGGTGTTTTTGCCCTGCGCGGCGACATATTCTTTAAACAGCTGTAGCACCTCGACGACGTTTGGAGTTCTAGGAAGCGTTACAAGCTGTATACATTGAATATAGAATGGGCACAATCAATGAATGGTCAATGCGACGAGCATGTGCTGTGCGCACCTGGCTGTTTTTCGTGATAGCTTCCCAATCATCGACGAGCACGACCTTGAGTATCTCGGGTACAGTGAGTTTCATCTCTGGCTTTTTGTGCGAGTCATCCTGTCAACATCATATCGCATACGTGCGTTCTAGGGTTAGCGAAACGGTGGACCGTGGCACGTAGGGTGAACAGGACTCACGTCGTCTCTCGCGCGCTTAGTGCCGCGTCCACCGTCCTTTCGTCCTCCCCGCCCCGACACGCCATCTTTGTGTCCCGTGTGCACACTCTTGTTCTTCGTTCCCGTGCCAGAGCCAGAGGCCGCCGCAGATGCCTGTGCCATGAGCGCCTTTTGCAACTGGACGTTGGAGTCATTGAACTTCATGAGCCGGTCCATTGGCACCCATTCATCCCATCTGCGAGTTCGAATCGCGTACTTCAGTACACATACCAGAGATTATGTCACGGAAGAGTGGGATAGAGGGTGATTAAAAGGGTGAGAGACGCACGTCTGTTTCCAGCCCTTGTAGTGCACAAAGAAGTGGGGGCCACTGAAGCCTGTTAGCGTATTCGTCTCGTCCCATTCTTCCGTCTTGAGAATCTTGGCCTCATAGATGAGCGGCCCATGGTAGCACAACACGCGCTCGTTCACCTGGTATGACATAGACATTTTCCCCGGAGACGAGGTTTTGGGTCTACGGTCTCAGAGATGGGGAAACGGGAAAGGAGGCCAGGATTATGTAATTGGCGTTCACGCACGCGTACCTACGCGTGCTTCGACACACGCGACTTACACGCAAACATAACGTCCTGAGACTTGCCGTTTAGTACCGCTAGATTAGGTTGGTCTCACTCAGGGATCAAGCAGTACAATTAATTGCACAACAACAAGAGACAATATGGAGGTGGCATAACACGGGCATATATGTACATAAATTATTGACATGCAGACAATAATACGACAACATAACAATAATCATCAGTCATTTGGTCAGGGCATGAGGCATATGTGATCGGAGGAAAACGAGGAGGTGACGAGGCAATGGGGGCAAGAGATCAGCGAGATGGGTCTTGAATCTCGCCTGGGCAGTATGTGTCCAGAACTTCGGCGGTGAATTACAGAGAAGAGGGGCAAGAGATTAATGAATGAAGAGGCGAGGTGATCAGCTATCCATAATGAAGACGCCCGATAGGTTTTGCGGAGCGGATGGCAGGACATGACAATCAACGCACTGCATGTTCCATGGGGTCGAATAGCCGGCCCCTAGGGCCTGACGATCCCTCCTAGGTTATACGCTCGTAGGCAAGCGTAGACAAGAAGAGCTGAGCGACATCAAGAATAAAATGATGACGCGAAATGACACGCCGGATTGAAAACGGAAGAAAAGTCGCGTGGCGCTCGGCAACATTTCGGCATGCAGTTCATGAGGCCCTTGCATGTCCTAGTGGTAGGCCTATGTACCCAAAAACGTTCAGTAAGCACGAATGATGGGTGAGGCACCAGAAAACTACTTACAGAGATCAAAACAAAGTTCTGGTCCTACACTAACACCACCGGCGCCGCGTGACTACGATCCCAACGCTCTGCGAGCGCAGGCCTCGCAGTACCGCCGTGAGGGCTTCTTTTGAACAAGCGTCCAATCGTACACGTCGTCGTACTCAATCTTGAGCTTTCTTGCTAGGCCACGGAAAAGCTCGCGAAGACCGTCATAGTCAGGAAGGTCCTCGAAGTCCAGGTCGCGAGCATACTTGTAGAAGATCTCGAACTCGACAGGAAGACCAACAGTGAGGACGGAAACGGTCTCCATCTTCTTGTCACGGATGCGATCCCATGTCTCTGCTACAGTGGAGCCCTTAATTTTGCGCCACGGAAGCGTGCCACGGAGGAAGTAGATAAGCATGTATGCAAGGGACTCGAGGTCATCTCTGCGCGAGCACTCTGGGGTACACACGAGGTGTTTGGTCAATCTATGGGGCATCAACATGAGGGAAGCATAATGCAGCTTACCAATGCCGTGGTGTGCATTGAGGGAGGCAAACAGTGAGGTGCCTACCCCATGGTGGTCGTCCTGCTTGTAGGGAATATGTGCGGTCGTCTTAGGGTCACGGAACTTCTTTGCAAGACCAAAATCGATAACGTTGACAAGTGTCTCTGACTTGTCTGTGCCCATGACGAAATTGGCGGGCTTGACATCGCGGTGGACGAAGTCGCGGGAGTGGATGAACTCCAGACGCGAGATCTGTTGAGGGCGACAAGCCAGCAGGTGAGTGATGGGTGACAAGGTTTATCGTGAGAAAAGAAGGCACAGCATGGCGTCGTGCGACTCCGCCCCGACAGCTAACTGGGCGGGTCACGGAACGGAAACAAATGTCGAGGATATTGATATCCTCCGGATGCATAACGAAGGAGCCATAGCCACAGGTATATGGCGAAGTGTACTCACAAGCTGGTCTGCGAGGAGGAGAACGGTCTTGATAGAAAAGTGGCGGTTGCACATCTTGAAGAGGTCTTCAAGCGAGGGTCCGAGAAGATCGATCACCATAACGTTGTAATCCCCTTGCTTCCCCGACCACATGATCCATGGCACACCAGGTCCTCCCATCAACGTCTTGTAAATCCGCGATTCCTGCTTCAGAGGCGAGTTTCGAGACGACAGCGCGGGCTCGATCTTTATGGCCACCTCCTTCCCTGCTATGGTATGTACGCCAAGGAAGACGCTCCCTAATTCGCGAGAGGGAAGAGGTTCAGAGAAGGAACGCGAGACGAGGGGAGAAGGAGAGAAAAAATAGAGAGGGGACTGACCGCAACCACCCATAGCTATCTCCTCCTCGAGCCTATACTTTCCTCCGAATGTGTACTCCATCGCGATTCAAGTAGAGAAACGTTAGGGACGTGTTGGTTCGTGCTGTTCGTGAGTCTTGGGGGTCTTGAGGAATCGTCCGTGACGCGAGCGGGACGCAGTGGGGCGTTATGTCCCGGAGCGAGGCGAGGCGACCGAAGCGAGGAAGAAAGGGAAAGTAGGCCAAGAGGCGCTTGCTTTTGTGGGTCTGTGGGGACTGGTTCATGTTTCGTGCTCACATTACGTAATGCGGATATAACCGGCCAGGGTCATTTTGGGGGTCACCGCCAGGTCTCGCTAAGGTGTCACGGGGGACTCTGGACGCGTCTTTAGCGCGTCGCAAGGTGCCCCTTTGGGTTCCTCTCCGGCACGCATCCGGTGTGGTGAGACTGCCAGTCTGATATGCTCAATCCGCTCCTCGGGCATTCCGTTTCTGGTCGTTGGGAGGACGGGGAATGGAGTTTGTGTGCAGTCAGAACGTCATGGTTTCACACATACAGGCTGCATATGGGTCCTTGTGGAACGTATATCAGCTCGCGAACGAACGGTGGACGGTCCTCATTCCTCGCCAGACGCCTTGCCTCACACTTTACATCCGGCCCCTGTCGCGGCCGTGCAGCCTGCACTAGCCCATGATGGACACCATGCACAGCGAGGCGGACCAAGGCCACAACCTCTACCATATTCGTGACCGCGTGGTCAGAATGAAGGCGCACCTTCGCTACGTGCAGGGGCTTTGCTCGCTTCATACCCAACCTTCGGATCCGTTCATTTCAGAACTGGATGGATGGCTCGACGCCGTCAAGTCGTGCGTGCAGATCTTAGAGGACCGTCACTCCAGCAGGTCGTTCGTGTTTGCAATGTAGCGGTAAGTCTCCCCTTGCGTTTGCATGATCATCACAGGCTCATCTCCGGTTAGAACCAGATGACTGCTATCCTTATTCGTTGATCTCAGGACTTTTGCTTTTTAGTTGGGCTTAGCGTTAAACGCTATATACCCGGGCAGTGATGACCGGTCGAAAAGCGTTATTTATTCACATAAACACATGTAGCAATACTTACAGTGGGCTATTTCCACACAGCTTGGCTGAAAACCTAGCCCGACCCACCGTGCCTGCTATTTGACGAACTGAACAAGAGTGCAGGGGAAACATAGAGTTCACTCGAATTCGAGCGGCCCGTAGATTGAGGCATGCACCACGAAGGCCGCAAACCATCTGACATTGGCTCAGAAGCCGCGATGAAAGAGAATGAAGTGAACTCTGGAACGGAGTGACTCTGCCACATTGGGACCATCGGCCCATCTAGGAAAGTTCAGTGACTCGCAAAGAATGAATGACCTGGGAGTGGGCTCCTCCTCAGATAGTGACAGGCACAACTAACCGCCGGTATCTCATTTTGTCTCGGAAGTCACAGATAGTTGTAACAGCCTCGAGCTCTGCAAACATGTCCTCTTGTTGGATATTGAAAGCACGAGCACATGTATAATAGTCAAAGGAGGGTGCGCTCGCCACCATACTCAGAAGCTGAACAACTCCGTGAGATTGAGGGTGTCCCCGAGGGGTTCTAATGACATACCACTATAAATAACGCATCGGGTTTTCTTCACGGAGTTAGTAGTTAAGAAGACGTTTTGGTTTCTCATGGTCTCAAAGCATGACAGAAGTCTACATCGACGTCAGCGATGAACAAACGAATGAAGTAATGAGAACTAAACGACCCCTACTCACCTCAAAATCGTCCAAAGGGCGCTATCTTGCGAACAGATCTATCGACACAGGTAGTGCTACTACACAAGCATAAGGGCAAAATTAGCAGCTTCTTCTTTTGGTGCGGGACGCCGTATTCGTTATATGGGCTTGATCTTGAAGTGAAGAGAGATGAGCGAAAAGATGAAGCACTATGCACATGCGGTATATCAGCAATACTGAAGCCTAATAATTCAGGCGACGTACTCTCAGGTCCTGGACAAGATAGTAGAAGACACGCAGGCCCTCGGGATCCTCGCTGTCCTGAATATCGACCAGAGAACCGATTTTGGCAGTCTAGGGCGGCGTCAATATAAGAGACCCAACCTCTGAAGACCCAAACGGCGGAACCCACCTCAAACGCTATGTGATCATTACCAATGCGGATTTCAAGCTCTTGCTTGCCGACAATGTTCTTCTTAGGCCAGTTGGTGTCGTCTTCCCTAAAGCACCGTCAATAAGCGCCGATGAAACCAAAAGGATGACACGCGTACTTGATGATCTCGCTCGACTCAACGATGCGCTTGAGCTCCTTGATAACGAGAGGGCCAATCCACACTACATTGATTGGAGCTAGAGTCAGCAGAGAATGTATGCTGTGAACGACAGACGCGACACACTTTCTTTGCGGATCAAGCTGTCATTCCGGTAGTTCGAGTTGTTCGCGTAGCGAAGACGGCCATGCGAGTACTCAAACTCGAGAAATTCGTGGCCATGCTTGCCCGAGTGGCCGGTGCTATACGGGAGGTTGAGGGTTATATAAATTGCAAGGTGAAGAAACTTCGCGCACTAGAATCTGGAGAGCCGTGAGCAGGCGCATGAGTGAGCAGGCTGAATAAAACATACCTGAGATAGAAGGGGTCGTTGTCGTAGTTGGCCATGGTATGAGTACTGGTGTTTGGTGGTGAACGGGGTTCGACGTCGAGGAAGGCGGTTGAACGCTCGCGCAAGTGCCCTGTTCGGCATTTGCCGGATGCTCGCCCGTGACACGCAAATTGGACCCGCACCAAAATGTTCCTCTGACTTCTCCTCGCGTCCAAGTTCCCAATGCTCTCCTCTCTCCTGCGGGCTCGCGGCACGGTGCGGAATGTTGCACGTCGGATACGATGGAACAGCACCCAGATACCGTAAGCATATTCTTCCTCAAAATGGAGGGATACACGTCTGACATGTCATTCATATTCACAGTGCCGCTACAGGTGCTAGCTCGTCTAGTGTGACGCCCTCCGAACCTCCTGTCAGCATTCAGACCGAGCGCGAATACTCGGAAGCAGTCATCCACGGACGCAGCCTCTATCCTCCCTACCAGCATCCCAAGACCGACGGTGTACCCGTCGCGACACTGCACGTGCGCGGGCACCAACCTCGTCTGCTCGAGCTCTTCCTCCACTTCGCGGGACATGCCGCCTCCGCGCTCGGCATCCCATGCTCGCGCCCAGCGAGCTTACCTACGCAGCGCTCGCTCTGGACCGTCCCCACGAGTCCGTTCATTTACAAGAAGTCCCAGGAGAACTTTGAGCGGCGCGTGCACAAGCGCGCGATCAAGATGTGGGACGCGGACCCTGAGGTTGTCGACCGCTGGGTGAGGTATATCCAGCACCATGCCATGCCAGGTGTGGGTATGCGGATTACGCGCTGGGAGCGCATGCCGGTGGGCGTTGGAAAGCTTATGGACGCCGCGGCGAGTGCGCAGATTCGGCCGAGTGCGAAGGTGCAGGCACTGGCGGACCAAATTGTGCAGCAGGAGATGATTGCGGACAGGGCTGCGCAGACGGAGACACAGGTGGAGGCGCCGAAGGCGGAGAGCGTTCCCAAGCCATCAACACCTCAAGAGACACAGAGCTCCCCCAAGTCATAGCTATAGATGGTTTACTCAGTACGCGCATCCATTATAATGCTGGCATAATACATATTACACTGCGCTACGGCGTGAGTGTGACACTGCATTTCGCGTTCAGTGGTAATGAGACTTGTGTTACAAGCAAAGATACGGGGACAGCTTTGCGAAGGATACAAGACATAGAAGGGGTATCGAGGTAAAAAGTGGAGGATATGTTCACTTGTCGACCTGCTTCTCGACATATTGACGGATCAAGTTCATAATGTCGCGCTTGACTGCCAGCGGTACGGAGTCTTGTTTACACTCCGTTAGAGCCCATATGGGTTATCACCAGAAACACTCACTAAGGCCCTGGGGTCCAAGTTCTTCAAGAATTGTCTGGAAGGAAGGCTGCTCAAGTGTTCGTGCACGCTCTGTTTCGGCAGTATTAATATTCGGTCAGATGGTATGCAACTTGGTGCAGACCTTTGGCCTGGTCATGTAGTTCGTCAATCCATCCGCTGTCGTTAAGCTTTGACGACATCACAGTCATAATGCTGGTTGTTGAGGTCGGGACATTAGTAGCTATACCGGGTCAGCCTTGAATAGCGGCATACCGATCCCATTCTCCACTCTCGATGAACCTCTTGTGGACCTGAGAGTAGGACGCGTTGGCATTGGCGTCTGCCTTACCCATCTTCGGCATGTATACAGCCAAGAGAAGGGCCGCTAAGGAGACACCAAGCGAGAACTTTGTGCCAGTTTTGGGCCCCGCTCGAGTACGAAGCACAGACTGAGGGGGGAGTGAAGATTGACGAATACTATATCGTCTAGGACACGCTAGATCGACGAATGCATGGCAGTTGAAACACAGGGACTAATACCGTATACTGACGCGCGGCCGCGGATTCCGGAACGCGTATGACGGTAGACTCGAGAAAATCGGAATTACCCCTCTTTCTCCCGACCGCCTCCTGCAACGCTTTGAACATTTAAACATGCTCTCTCTACCACGTACCATCTCGCGCACAGTCCGCCCCCAACTCAGGGCTTTTTCGGCATGTCGTGTCGCGCGTCAGGACCCCTGGCCGCTCCCGCATACACCCCAGCATATCGCTGCAACGGCCACTAAAGAACCTGACCCGGACACCATAGACCTAGTGCCGTTCCCGCCGCTGATGCGTGATGGAGAGGGGACAGAGAAGATGCGCGCACGCTTGGTGTATCAGAGCCGGAAGCGGGGGACGCTCGAGAGCGATTTGCTGCTGAGCACGTTCGCGAGGGATTATTTGAAAGAGATGTCGGCTGAGGACATGCGGGAGTATGACAAGGTCTGTTTTGCTTGTCTACTTTTCCTTCTCTGCGTCCCCTTACCGCCCCCGATGATGCATTGTCCCCTCCCTGTGGTTTGTATGAGCGTGCTGACTGAACTATCATAGCTGCTCGACGAGCCTGATTGGGACATATATTACTGGGCTACGTACGGGAGGGAGCCTCCGGCTAAGTGGGCAGACTCCCGGATACTCGCGAAGCTACGAGAGCACGCAAAAAACGAAGGCAAGGAGACACGGAGTATGCCTTCACTCTGACATTTCTGGTTTTGATATTAGACAGCGAATAGAGTCACCTACACGCGAAAGGATTTACACCCCTATTCGATGTTCTCTTGGCAGTATGTGGAATATATGGAAAGAGGACAACGCTGTCGTTACGCGCACATCGAATATTGCCCTCATGGATCCGAACGCTGGAAGCAACTTCTCCATGCGAGGCCCTTGGTCTTCAGAGCAGGTTTTCGTAATCATTCTTTCTACTGCATCAATCCAACATGCCAATGCGGCCGAGTAAGCAGCTGAAATAATCGCGATTGTGATGGCTTTGAATGGAACATCGAAAACAAAAACAGGCTAAGCCGAATGCGCGAACCGCAGATTGTGTTGCGCTGACGGCATGAAATCAGGGTGAACCGTCGCTCGGTGGGGTCGTCACTTTGATTCACCTGATTCACCTACAAACGACTAGCGAGAACGCTGAACTTACAAATCATATAACCGTTTGCGGACGAGGCTGGCTGGCTCTCGATCATGATGGACTTCTCATGCTAAAGATTCTCGACAGCAGCAGGGAAGTCGATAGGATGCGGGGAAGACCGTAGCCCTGCACCTAGCTATGCCGAGCTGCCGTTTCGAGAGCTTGTGTTAGTTTCTCGTTCGATATCCTGATCGGAGTTGCTCGAGCAAAGGCTGTCAGGTTCTATAGTGCGTGTAAATCGGTTATCAAGTCATTTGACTTTACCACCAATTAGCTTTCAGAATTTCCTAAGGTGTAGCAACGGCGTCCTAGGGGATGTAGAAACATATGTAACTTATCTGTTGAACCTAGGGGAAAACGAAGATAGCTTCGGCCGAATAGCGAGTACCACTTACTCGCTATGGGCGTCCCAGGATATATTCGTGCTCAGTGAGCGCTTTTAAGACGGAACCAAATAACTCTCCGATCAGACGTCCAACGCCTTGGCGCGTCTTGAGCTTGAGTTTCCTTCAACCGCCACGAAGGCCTTGCACACACTAGCAGCTTCTTGCGCAACTATGCCTGCCTCTGAAACAAACTCGACCGCTCACTTGGACAGTGGGTATACATCCATGACTTTTCAGACTTAAAGCTAGACGTACACAGGAAGTCCGGGCCTTCACTCTTGATCCTTCACACTAAACCGACGACACCTAAAATGTTCCGCGGGTACGAATAACTGATTTCTTCTCCAGTTTCGGGTCCCTCTCTTGGCATCGCAATTGATGGCACTGAAGCCTGACCCGCCGCTGAGCAACTTTGGTTTAGCGCTTCATATGTTAAGGCTATTGCTACAAAGCAGGATGTCGGGATGCCGCTCATCGTCCGCAAGCTCTTGCGCTTTGTTTTCGGTCGGCTTGAAGTGCTCCTGTCTTCCGAAGCCCATCCACCACTAATTCCGACGTACTTCTTTGTTCTCTACGAATGATGCTATGAAGCCACTTCTCGACATTGGGCGACAGCGGACTAACTTCTAGCGCGTCTTTTCGGTTCCGCGGCCTCGAAGTCATCCTTTGGCCCAACGTCCAAGGAAAGAAAGTCGCGAACCAGCGAAAACATCGGCTCTGAGCATGTTGACCAGGGCCTCGGACTCTCGGGTGACTCTCTTGAGGATCGCGATGGCTGATCTTGGAGGGACAAATTGTTTGGCATGAATGATTGACCAATTCGGTTCAACATTTGGATTGCGAAAATGAGGAGATGGCAACTCTTCTATGCTTGCTGAGGTATAAAGGCAGGGCGGTTGGGCCAACAGACAGCATCCCTCTTCAGAGAGATACCAGCGCATCGACAGCGGCCTCAGCCCACAAGAGCCAGTCAATCTGCCATGCGCCTCAACACCAACCTCCTCTCGCTCGCTGCCTATGTGGTAGTCGCTGTCGCTCAGCAGGGTGATCCTGTCAGCTGTGGTCAAGGTACCCTTTTATCGTTTCGTTTCTTTGATCACGTATGCTGACGGTAATGCATAGGCGAAATAATCCAGTACGACTACCTCTTTCCCGGCACTGACATCGAGGGCCCGACGAACTGCAATGTTCAGGAGGACCAACCTGTCACTGGTGTGACGGATGACTCCACGGGCGCTGGTGGCTCTGCTTCCTCCTCGTTTGACGGAAGCCCCAGCGGTAGCGATCCCAACACTCAGCCGTTCGGTGAAGTCGTCATCGACTCGCCCAAGGAGTCGTCCGTCTCTACTATGGCGGAGAACTCCAACTGGGTGCTCGTTGGGTGCCACCCTACCAGCGATAAGCCGCAGAATGTAGGCTTTCTTTCGTCATCTTCATGGGCGATGGCTTACGGTTCTTATTGTATTTGTAGGTCCTTGCGTACTGCTCCAAGCAAATGAACGCTACCGAGTCTGGTTGCTCGCATGTCTTCAAGGGCGCTACTGAGCACACCATTGTCTCGATGCCCAAGAGCTGTGGTCTTGGCCCATATGCTCGCATTGCCAAGCTTGAGCCTCACTCCGATCAGGAGCTTGCGTCGCAATTTGTGAAGGAGGGCATTCCTGCTGGCGAGCAGTTATACCATCTGCAGTTCGACTATGCTTTCGACGCCATTGTAAGTGCTCTCCACGTCCTTCTCTGAGACCAAAATTGAACAACTGTCATGTAAAGCCCGAGGACAATGGCCCGGTCTACATGCGCATTGATGCCTCCGACATACCCGATTTCTGGGACAACATCGTCGACTCGCCACCAGAACGGCGCGCGTGGCTCGAGGAGCGCGGACTCTGGGAGGGCAGCTCCCTTGATAAGCGGGGTTGGTGGAGCAGCTTCGTCAACTGGATCAAGAAGGTCACGACGGTCACCATCCAGAACGGCGGCTCAAACACGTTTAGCTGGGCAAACAACTTCAACCTGACGAAGCTGTACGAGAAGGATGTCGGGGCCAATGCCAAGATCGAGGGGTACTTTGACTTCCAGGTCAATGCGAATGCCGGTACGTGGTAATGCTCTAAATGAGACTCTGACGAGTGAGCTCAACACCATGACTACAGCGCTCAAGTCCAAGTACGGCTACTACCTCCAGGGCTCGGTCGTGCCTCCCGCTGTTGACTCTGCTTACTTGTACTTTGGTGAGTTAACTGCTCTCATACCTGGATATCTCTCACCTGTTGTCTCTTCTTAGATTCAAACGCGCAGGCACACATTGACCTCTCCATCACTGGTCGTGCCAAGGCCTCATACGAGACGAACCGGCTCCAGCTTGGCAACTTCGGTTTCCCTGGTCTCTACGTTCCCGGTATCATCACGTACGTAGTATCCCGTCCGGCTTATAAGTCTCTTACTGACATTAACACAGTCTGGGCCCCTCGCTCAATGTCGAGGCCTATCTCGCCGGCTCTCTCACCCTCAGCGGGTACGTCGCTCATAGTTGAATAGCTGCCTTCCGGAAATCTGATAATCACGCATGTTTGACAGAGAATTCAAGACTGCCTTCGACGTCAACCTCCCCATTGCGAACTTCGCCTTCGGCAAGCAGGGCTCTGACAAGAACCCGCAACCTATTAACACTCTTAACCAACCCGGCCCGCAGACGTCTCAAAATGTCGACCTCCTCTTTGGACTTAACGGCGATCTTTCCGTTCACATCGTCCCTGCTATCCAGTTCGGTGTTAGCGTGCTCAACGGCAAGCTCATCAACGCGCAGGCATTTGTTGAAGCCGGTAGGTGTTAATTTGATGTAAGTCCACGGTCGGAGACGCTGATCAAGCTGCCTTACCTAGATGTCTCTGCTGGTCTCAACCTCCAGGCTACTGTTGGCACTGGCGGTGCTTCTGCCTGCATTGGCCCTTACATCGGTGTCCTCTTCGATGCCGGCTTGAAGGGAAGGTGCGACCCTCTAGCGCTGTCAGCATGTGAATATTCACCACTGATTGCCTCCTCTCAGCATTCTCTACTGGAAGACATCCACCAAGACCTACACGATTTACCAGCACACCTTCGATTTCCCCACTCTCAAAGTCGTGCGTACCTGTTCCTTCCCCCCCTCCCTCCCTCCATCAAATCGGGCTAATCTCCCGTCTCTACAGTGCCTCGGCGGCAACTCCAAGCGCGACAACTTGCTCGACGGCGAGTACTATGGCTCGCTCGAGGAGGCGCTTGAGAACATCGAGGAGATGCCCGAGTACATGAACCCGCTCGCTGCACGCGGCGACTCGCTCCTCCGCGACGCGGAAGGTCTCTGGCTCTCCGGGACGCGTGACTACATTCCCGAGCCCGTCGTGGGCTCCCGCATTGCACGCAACATGATTGCCGCGTACTAAACGCCAAGCTGTATTGGGCACTTTCGCACACACTTCTGAAAGTGGTTTGAAGATATGTTTATAGTTATTATACTCTTTGTCTTTTCTTTCTTCCGGTTTTCTGGCCTTTTGCTTGTCGGGAAAGGATTTTAATAGTCTGGGATGTATTCGTCTTGCTGCTTTGAACAACAGTATTTTATACTTGTACCTGCTGGATACCCTCCAATGATCAGGTTTAACATCTGCAATACCGATCTGCTTTTATTCTCCAAGAATCGTTCGTGGCGAACGTGGTAGTGCTCACCCTCCTTGGCATGAGTCTCAAAAGCATGTTACAGTGAAAACTATTGGCGAAGCTCCCTCCCTATTGCGAGAGTACTCACTCAGATTATAATTCTGGAACGCAAGGGGTATGGGCGACGTGACAATCGCTGACATGAACTCGTGATCTGTCTCTGGGCGGTAGACGATAATTATACAAGTCCCAACGTGACCTTAGTGGGATCAACTGTTCCTCAACTGATGCAGCTGACGGAGACAGAACTGTTACTGTGTACGTACATAACAAGATTCCCACAAGGACTCCCTCCAAAAACAGTAGAAACACAGCTAGGATTACACAGCAAAGGACAAAATCCGATGCCGATATAGAAATGACCAAGAAGCAAGACTAGTTACATCTGAAAATAAGAACGATTACGACTCAGCAAGGTGTTTTAGACCATGGAAGATGTCATCTTTGATTAAGTAGTCATCGTCGCCCTCAATATGCTGCCCTTGATGGCAAGCTGCAGCATGTTTCCACCTAGTGGAATTGTAAAACGAGAGAATGGCTAGATAAACAGGTCACTTACCAGAATAGTTCTTTGACCTGCATCTGAAATTGAGTATACAATGAACTTGGTAGAAAACTGGGAGCGCTCACCTTAACCTCTACATCTTTAACGCCTTCAATAGGAACCCACTTTTTGCACTTGTGGCATTTACCTTCCTCAATGTACGTCTTTTCGCGTTTGCTGGCCTCGCTCCTCTTGACAGTCCTAAAATCTGTCGGAGGCGAGAATGGTCGCGCAGACGTTGCCGAGATTCCTGTACGATAGATTTGTTAGTGTTGAACGAGGAATACCAGGTGTGTCCTACCATGCGCGTATTGCATGTGGTAGCTTAGTGATTCCATGAAGTTTAGTACTACAAATAGGAAGGGCGCATATACTCTGGTTTACGATCAGCCATTGACTCATAGGCACAGAACCGACGACAGACCACTTGAAAGCAGAAAATTTGGTTGAAAGCCAAACATCCTGCCCGTCGCCCCCTCGGTGATGGGGCTCGCAGCAAATCGGACATAAACCGACTTTGGAGGCTCCGATACCTTTGACAAACCGCGGAGTGTACAGGTCAAGAACTCCTTTAGGATGATTATACGTCGCACCGCCGAAAGATTTCAGGCGAGTCTTGAGGACGAAGGTACTGGAGGAAAAATAAAGAACGACAGTAGCAGACGTGTTTAATCACGTACTCGTCTCCCTCGCATTTATAGTAGGGGCTAACAGGAAAACGTCTATAAAAGAGTGAGTACTCGGGTTTCACAGGTATAGTCGAGCCAAAAGAGCGTTGCTGGATGACTGGGGGCGAAGAGCAAGTATGAGAACTTTTGGTCGCTGAAGGTCGTCCACGTTGCGACATTCGAGTGTGGTTCTTGTCCGCCGGGCCTGAGACTCGGCGACGTTTCCCTTGACGTCGAGATGAAGAGTACTTTAGGGAATCAGCAGAATCATCGCGGCGGCGTTTTTGATGGTGCGGAGGAGTAAGCTTGAAAGAAGAATCAGAAGAGTTATCGTCGCTGTGACCCTCCTCCAAATAGCTTTTGCGCGCAGCCCTAGATCGACGGCTAGAGGAAGGTAACTTGTCCGAATGGTGCGGAGAGGATAGCTGAGTAAGCGAGGAGACTTCCGTGAGAGGAGAAGAGAACAGAGTCTGAGAAGATTGAGGCGAAGGAGTCGCTGAACGAGCATTGAGAAATCGATTCATTAGAGACACACGTTCACTAGAGTCGGCAGGATTGGGAGACTCGGGAGACGCTGTAGTGGAGAGACATCCAGGACTTGATGAAACTGTTGCCCTTGACCCACGGTCCACGGGGGAACAGTCAACAGGGGAGGTCCAAGGATTCCCGAAGTTCGAAGCAAAGGAAGTAAAGTGACGTTCAAAGGGTGTTCTAGATCCAGCCATGGGAGGGGAAATGCCATCGTATGCAGGTGAGAGATACTTGGTAAGAGGAGATGGGGACGACGCAAGCTCGTCGTTGACGCGGACGCCCTGAGTTGGTGTCGAGGAAACCTCACCCGACTTCCGTAGCGGACTTGAGTAAGATCTAGAAGGATTCTCATGAAGGATACGAGACCTGCTAGGAGAAAGCAAAGCAAAGTGTACATCGCGGCGAATTGGAGCATACCCTTGTGATATGGGTAGAGAACGATAGTCCGCAAGACGAGGATCGCGAGAAGAGAAGACAGGGAGATACGTGTTAGCATAGTTGTAGAAGAAGCGTGCGGGTCTAGCAGGAGAGCTCTGAGTAACAGCGGGGTTGGGATTGAATGGTACATGTTCTCCGAGGTCAAAGCAGGCGTCATAGGATGTCCGGAGATGGCTTTCCGTATTGTAGCTGGCGCGTGTTCGAGTATCCATTGTCGGAAGCTGATCGCAAGACAGTGTGGTAAGCCCCTTCAAAAAAACACAAACTGACATGAATGTATGCTCACTATCAGTCGTAGGCGTGAGCAGAGGGTAATCTTTGTCGTGTTAGTGACAGCGGAGGCAGTGGATATATGCGTTGGGACGCGTCAAGGGCACGCGCACGCTGATTTTGCGACCCTGAGCGGGCCTTGAATCGCACAATCTCCGACGGATGTACCAGCTTCTTGGCTCCGATCACACTCGAGGTGCGCATGGGAATGCATAAAATATAAAGAAAACTCTCCTTCGACTTCTCCCTAAGTCACGAATTCGACCTGGGTTCTGGTGGACTGAAGGCTGCGCATACTGTCAGTTGTATCACCACTGACAGGTAGTCTCTAGCTGGACTCAAATCTGCATGTTTGGAAAACTCACGAGAACGCGGTCTGAGAAGAGGCTTCGGCAAAACCTCTTAGTCCAAGATGGAGGAGTGATTTCACGACCTCTGCTGAAGTCACGAATCATCTTCTGCTTGAAGGCGACATCATGTCTCCTTGTCGCGCTCTCTCTTCATGCACTGGCCCGCAAACGACCATCCCTTTCTCGACTGCTGACAGAAGACGATGGCGCACACTTGAACGACGATCCAGCTTCTGAATGGAGAGACGATGTCTACCCCTATCGCCCATCCGAACCTTGGGACATCTCCACAGACTTTCCGTACCCTCGACTCCTGCACTATGAAGTCTCTGAAGGAACGTGGCTTCGTCTAGATGTCCACCCACTGACAGGCGACGTCGTGTTCGACATGGTTGGCGACCTATACTGCTTGCCTGCACTGTCATACCACTTTGAGGGATATGGTAGCCAGGAACTCGCACGTGCTGTTCCAATCTTGCGCGGTGTACCGTTTGACTCAGAGCCACACTTCTCGCCGAGTGGTGACAAGTTATTGTTCACCAGTGATGCGGAGCTTGGGTTCGAGAACATCTGGGTTATGCCATGGACGGGCTGTGAGTCCATGGATCTCGGACGCCAGTCACTTGAACTCGAGACTTCATATTTTGCTGGCGGAAAGAACAGAAGGCTGCTTAGCGAGGGCCGACTGAATGGTGAGCGCCATCCCGTACATCTGTTTGCGCAGTCTGACAGCGTGTTTGACCGGCCATTGTAGCTAGACGCGCCACAAACGAAACGTACAACTACGTTACCGAAGCACGCTTCCATCCCTCGTCGGACAAGATCATCGCGGTAAAGCGCCATTATGGCAAGATCTCCATCGGCGCAGGCGAAGGTTGGGTGTTCGATGTTCCTTCAGTTACTGACAGTGCGCCCGAGACACCTATCTCGGCAGGAAGCGGAGCGCGAGTTGTCACGAAAGATCTCCCTCCTGGTTGGCCGAAGGCCGACTATCCAGAGCACTTCATTGGTCCTGAGGAAATCATCTGGGCGGGTTACGATAAGGTTATCTTCGCGAAGAACACATGGACAGCTGGCAGTATACAAGGTTTGTAAGTTTCTTGTGTCAACCTGGGAGTTGATGATAATATATGCATTTGGCTGTAGACATACACAAAGGGATTTACGCTATCTACTCCAAGAACCTCACCAGCGGCGAAGTTAATACCGTCGTTGACGCATTTCCGGGTGGTGCTAGCAGGCCGACACTGTCTCAGGATGGTCGATCCCTCGCGTTCGTCCGCCGTGACCGCGATACCCAAGTTCTTGTCGTAAAGTAAGTTGGATATATGCGCGCTGTACGCATTCACTGACAAGCGTTTGACAGAGATCTAGAGACAGGGACCATCCATCATGTCTGGAACGGCCTTACGGTGCTAGTTAGCATGGTCGGAACACCGATCGGCACATATCCCTCTTTCGCCTTCACGCCCTCGAATGACGGCATCATCATCTGGGCCACCGGAAACATCTATTTTGTCCCACTGGTGCAAAATAGATATGGGGAGCGCGTAGCAGGGGGCGAGCCGCGATCCATTCCCTTCAAAGCGCAGATTGAGAAGCGCCTGGCAGAGACATTGCATCACGATACAGATCTCTTGCCCCTGGAAACGAAAGACGAACAGCATCTGTATGCTCTTAAAGAACTCAGTGTTAATCATGGTGGTACAAGGGCAGTGTTTCAAGCTGCAGGCGTCAGCTATGTCCAGACTGTCGGCGACGACAGCTCTCGTGCCCACAGGGTACCAGTGCTATATCCCGACGAGGCATACTACTCCCCGTCTTTTGTACCTGGATATGACGATCTCGTCATTCATGCCCATTGGTCTAATGCCAAATTCACAACGCTCGAGATTGCGAACGTTTCTTCTCAGTCGGCCATCATGCTCTCGGGAGTCCCGAAAGGACGGTACTATGCACCGACTCTTAGCCAGGCAACCTCTACGATCCGTAGGCTTGCGTTCGTGAAGACCTCGGGTGACAAGATCTCGGGTTTTCTCCCAGCTTCCGGCGACGTGCTTACGGGAAGTATCGTCGCTACCTCGCGTCCGGGGCTGTATATTGGGGAGGTTACCCTTCCTCATGGTCACTGTGACGCCACTCGCCAGATTGCTGTTGAGGAGCTTCGCTTTGTGCGCAGCGACGTTGACACCACCGATCCACTCGTCAGCATGCAGTTTGTTGACTCTGGTGGGTGTGCGCTGCTGGTACAGCAGTCCCAGCGCGTATTCACCATTGACCTTTGCGCTGGCCCTGATGTGTTTGGGAATTATCCGCACGAGACGATTGCAGCCGGAAGAGGTACGGAAGAACTTGTGGTCGTCCCTCGCACGGCTGGGGAGAACTATACCGTAGATAAGGCGGCCTTCGTGCACTCGTACAACGTTTATCTTGCGGATGGAGGGGACGTCTCTCCGGACGAACCGCTTTGGAGTAGGCCCGGAAACGCGACGAAGGGGCTTGCGAGGCTAAGCGTCGATGGTGGGCATGATGTCGCGTTCAGTGGTGACGGCAAGAAGATTCTCTGGCTGCTTGGTACGCTATGGTCTCTTCAATTTGTTGTGGAAATAGCTAACTTGACGCGCATATAGGGCCTCACTTGCATTGGCTCGACCACTCCGATCTGAACCGCTGTTCTAGGGAGATCAAGAAAGACCAGAATACATTCGGTGTTGATTGCATCAAGGACTATGTCAAGGTGCAAGATGTCACCGTCCATTATACCACTGACATTGGGCGGCTCAAGCAAGACGCGAAAGCTGCTTACCCTGGTAACAGCAATGCAGCTGTGGTGGCAATCTACAATGCGACGATCCTTAGTATGGAACATGGTGATGAGGGGTCTGATCTCATTTACGAAGGTACCATCTTGGTCAGAGATGGAGTGATTGAAGCCGTAGGGAACGACGTGGTTATTCCGTTAGGTGCAGCACGTATTGATGCTCACGGAGGTATGCCAGAGTCACTGTAAAAACTTCGCACAGTGAGCTGATCAGGCTGTAGGCTACGTTGTACCCGGATTCATCGATGCCCATGCACACTGGATTGGGCATGAGACGCGGTACCCGGCTGCGTCTTGGGAACACCAGACGTTCCTCGCGTACGGAGTGACAACTGTTCACAAGTGCGCCTTGTTTATTCCCAATCACCTTTTTGCCTTGTGTACTAACATAAATCAGCCCAAGCTCGCACAGCGTCCTCGGCTTCGTGGAACGCGGCCGTATAGAAAGCGGACTGATGGTCGGCCCCCGCGTGTTCCATACAGGCAGGATCATCTATACAGCTTCGCACCCCCAGTTCTACCAGGACGTGTCGAGCGAGGCGGAGGCGCGGTCGGCGCTGGCGAGGATCAAGGCGGAGGGTGGCCCTGCGAGTTTTTCGTACAAGAACTATAATATTCAATCTAGGTGGGTCGCACGGAAAAAGTCAATTTCAGACGATGTATTGACGGCGTTCGATAGAGCTGCTCGCCAGCGCTTGTTGAAGCAGGCGAGGAACATGTCGATGCTATGCATGCCTGAAGGGGTATGTTTAACATTCTTCTCGGTTGCCAACGTTGACGATCTCCTTTTTATCAGGGATCAATATTCAATTGGGATTTGACCTACATACTGGATGGTAACAACGCGTTCAAGCTTGCCCCATGTACCGTAGTGCTAACCTTTCGGCAGGTATGACCACCCTCGAGCACAATCTGCCTGTGCCTGTTCTCTACGAAGATGTACGCACTCTGTTTGAGATGAGCGGCACGGCCTCGACTCCAACGCATATCGTCACGTACGGCGGAGGCGCAGGGGAGGAACTGGTCTGGCGCTATTATGACGTGCCCAACGATCCTAAGTGAGTCGCTTCATCTGCTCAGGGATGGCTCTAGCGCTTATTCTCCTTCAACAGGCTGAGAGAGTTTACGCGACATGACATCCTGGAGCGTCTGTCTGAGTCGATGGCTAGACCAATGAACTGTGAGTTTGATTCGTGATGGATCAATGCAGTGGTCCTGACAACTTGTGTACAGCGTACGGACTCTTCAACGTCTCTGAATCAGTGGCCAAGATGGTGAACCGAGGTCTTCGCGTGCATATCGGCGCCCATGGCGAGCCGCCCCTCGGACTCAACTACCACGCAGAGATGTTCTTCGCGTACGCTGGCGGGATGACCAGCTATCAGGTGCGAAGTGGACGCAATTTTATTTCAACTTTTGCCAATGCGGAAAACACAGGTATTGCAGGCAGCTACAGCTTCGCCGGCACGAACATTCGGTCTCTGGGGATCGCTGGGCTCTGTGACCCCAGGAAAGCTGGCTGACATGGTGATATACCCTCCGGGCGTTGATTTGCTGGCAGACATCACTCGTACGAAAGATCTGAAGTACGTCATGCGGGGAGGGAGAATATGGGATGCAGACACTATAACCGAGGTGTGGCCTGTCAAAGGGCGGAGGCAGGTTATGCCTCCTTTGAACCCGTAGTCCTTGCGTGTCAGCCACAGCATATAATATTCAGAAAACTCGGTATGCCAATGGCAAATACGATTTCGAGTGCCGCGGAGTTAAGTCCAAAGCCAGCAAGAGAATTCACAAGGCGGAACATCCCACACTCAAAACTCAGCGTTTGGCTGGAAAAATGCAGTAGATGATCATGGTATATTGAATAAACCGCCATAAGTTCCCTGCACAGCAAGGTACCTAGACCTTGTACCGGCGGCCTGTCTTTGTGAAGAACGTCTGGAGCACATATACCTGCGTGCTGGGGATGACGTTAATGGGAGGTATGGGAAACGATAGAAGCAGGCTTACACGGCGATGGCGATGACGCCTAGACTCTCAAAAACACCGTACCAGAAGAGTCGGCTGAGGAGAAAATAAGTGAGGAAGAGGGCAGTGAGGAAGAGGAACACACTTTTGTGTTGACTTGACGAGCGAAAAACCCCGGTTCTCGCGTGTGTGGAAGCTTCGGCTAGTGTCAGCACTCTGCTATTTGTAACTACAGTATGCAGTGCGACTCACTGTTTCTGCGTCCTCTTTATCCCATTCAACATGTTATTTAGTCGGAATATGCTCTCTTCAAGTGCGCTGGTCTGGTCGGAGATCTGGCTCTGCTTGGCGGGAGCTTCGCGGCGGGGCTCAGACTCAACCATGATGTCAAAGTCAACGAGCTTGTCGGCGATGGTGGACATGTCGTTCTCGAAGCAGAAGGCGTACTCGCCGACGACGTTGGCGGTGAAGACGTAGTCGCCCTGGCGTTCGCGCTGGCCGTCGAGAATGAGGTGCTCATTAGGGTCTTTCACGTCAAAGTCGATGTCAAAGGAGCCGCCAGACTGCACAGCGAAGTAGAACTGGGAAGCGCACGCATGCGCGTCAGTATGAATGGCTGCAACAATTACATTGGAGACGTACGCCAATCTTCTCTCCGGCCTTGTCCACGTCCGCGTAGAAGCAAAGGCGTTCATTTGGAGCGACAAGAGTGGTCAGCGCCGTTGCACGAGCATAGTAGAAGCGAGTAAGGAAGAAGAGGAAGGCAAAGAGGTAGTGTCGTAGAATCATTATGAAGTCCGTCCAATGTACAGTACGCCCATGTCCGTGTCAAGGGCAAGTCTGGCGCGACGTTGCGTGGTCCGTGAGACAAAATTACTACATTTGGCTGAAGCAGCCAAGTGTTGGCCCAAATTTTCTTGCGAGCCCTCCCATCTTCTCTCATCCTGATATCATCATCCTCGGCGTGGTCGACATCCAACTCATGGTGAGCCATCTGTCTAGTTTCCTATATCATCTTCTTTCTCTTTCTTTGTGATGAGTGTATTGCTGTGCACCAGACCGAGTGCTCCGGCACGTTGGAGAGCATCTACCCTGTCCCTCTATTACGCTTGAGTGGACCTGATCTTTCTTCGCCTCTTTCGCCTTATATGCACGTCTACATGTCACTAACTGAACCTCTTCCACATCTCAGGTTCCACGTAACTAAAGTTGATTCATCCCTTCACGTTGTGCTGCATTATTTGATACACACCTTTGCTGTATCATTGATTCACGATCTACTCGAATGCAAATCCTGTCTTCATTCATCGTCATCCATGACTGAAATGTATGACTGCGTTGTGAAAAACCATGTGATTTCTGGCGTCGTCGGTTGGCCGTATCGTGGCATAAAAATAGTGCTGCATGTCTGTGCTACGTTCTGTGACTTTGCAGTGGTAATTGAACCAGAGAATGCGAAAACACTAGGCAACAGGTTCTCGCATCGCTTTTTGGGTGTACGAATGGAGAGTCAACGTTATGCATGCAAAGTTTGGTTCTAGGAAAAATAGGAAAACATAGGTTACACGATAAGATTAGTTAGACGCCCGAAGGATAAATTGGAGTCTATCGATAGCTTGACGTAACCCCTGAGTCGGTCGAGTGTCCTCAACATTTCTTCACCTCCAACCACCACCATCGTACATCCAGCAATGGCGGAACCTACCAGCCAAACTACAATTATACCCCACAATCAGCAGCCGTATGTTACCCGGCAATATCCCTCGCCTGCCGAGCTCGACGCAACCATCGAGCGTGCTGCTGTGGCTCAGAATGCATGGGCTCAGCGACCGCTCGCAGACCGTATTGCTGTTGGTCGCGCGTTTGTTGTAAGTTGGTTGCAGATACTAGCTTTAATGGTTTCCCATACGTTATGTCGTACAGGAAGAGTTCAAGAAGATCGCAGCGGGAGATAACTTCGCGCTTGAGCTTACTATGCAGATGGGCCGGTACGTCTCCCGTTCTTGGTCTCTCGGTGGTGTACATCCCGATGTTTAGATCTCTTTCCATTTCTCCAATATCGATGATTTGACTTTACTGATAATAATATGCATGTAGGCCTATTTCTCAGGCTGCTGGCGAAGTTCGAGGCTTCCTCCAGCGTGCCGAGTACATGCTTTCTATTGCAGAGTCTTCCCTAGCGGACGTTCCTCTCACAGACACCGACGCTCCTGGTTTCCGGCGCTTCATTCGCCGTACGCCGCTCGGTGTCGTGTTTGTCATTTCTCCTTGGAAGTGCGTCGGCCCCTCTTGTCTTTCATTAAAATCGGGCTTAACAAGGGTAACAGCTACCCTTACCTCGTGACGATCAACTCAGTCCTGCCCGCGCTCATTGCGGGCAACGCCGTCCTCCTCAAGCCGTCTCCGCAGACCCCGCTTACCGCTGAACGCTTTGCCGACGCGCTGAAGGCTGCCGGGCTTCCCGATGGGCTTATGCAAGTGCTCCATCTCTCGCCATCGCTGTCAACGCGTGTTATCCAGCACTCCAAGGTCGAGTTTGTGAGCTTCACAGGGAGCGTAGCTGGCGGTAGGGCGGTCGAGCGTGCTGCGGTTGAAGCGGAGGGGTTCAAGGGCGTTGCGCTCGAGGTATATCGCATTCTCCTAAATTCACGGCGACGATGCTGAGCACCTGGATGGGTCTAGTTGGGTGGAAAGGACCCGGCGTACGTCCGACCGGACGCCGACATCGCATATACAGTCGCAGAGCTCGTTGACGGTAAGCATTTCGAGGTTGTTATGAGGTCGACGTGCCAATAATGGGCTTTAACAGGCGCAATGTTCAACTCGGGGCAAAGCTGTTGTTCTATCGAGGTATGTTCTGGTTGTTGACATGATGGCGCAGGTGCTGATGACAATTTCGTCAATTGGTAGCGCATATATGTACACGAATCCGTATACGATCACTTCGTTGAGCGCTTTGTCGACCTCACCAAGGTATGCATGACCGCCCATTCTATTATTAATGATCTCTGACATGAGAGATAGAAATACAAGCTGGGTGATCCAACAGCCAAGGAGACCAACCTTGGTCCCGTAGTAAGCGTCGCTAGCGCAGATCGCATTCGTGCACAAGTTCAGGCAGCTGGTACGTCTCCTTCCCCTCTACATTGGAAAAGCAAAGGGTTGATCGTCGCAATAGTCAAGGCTGGCGCAAAGACGCATATACCAGGGGAGCTGTTCCCTGAGGCAAAGCCGTGAGTAATATTCCCATGAATGAGTCGAGTCTGAGCGTCGCCGTGTCTCTCTTTAGAGGAACCGCGTTCGTCGCACCCCAAGTTCTGACGGATGTCAACCATAGTAAGCACGGTCTTTCCCTCAGTTTACTCACTGTATAACAGCTATTCAGAAATGGAGATCATGACCGAAGAGACCTTTGGCCCAGTGATCGGGATACAACGTGTTTCTTCGGACGAAGAGGCCATCGCGCTGATGAACGACTCGCCGTACGGGTTAACTGCATCCGTGTGGACCGACGCGGCGAACAACAAGGAGAGCGAAAAGGCGTTCTTGAACCTTGTAGATAAGATCGAGACGGGAACGGTGTTCTTGAACCGGTGCGATGTGCTCGATCCGGCACTGGCCTGGACGGGGGTGAAGAACAGTGGGCGGGGTGTTAGTTTAAGCAAGTTTGGTGAGTCCGTTTGTTGAGATGCATTTGTCTTAGGGTTTGGGGTTTCCTCCGCGGAAACTGATGTGCCGTTATTTGTCAGGGTATGACCAGCTGACAAGAGCCAAGTCGGTGCATATGAAAATCAAGACGGCATAGGCGAAGGCGAGAAGAGGGCATACGAAGTTGTATCAAATGTCAATATATCAATCTGTGCACTAGAAGCAGCTGTCTGCCTCGGTGTCCATCAAGATGCAAGTGAATACATCGAGGTTTTGTTACCCGAGAAATACCCTGAGCTATCGGGCTCTGGGACCTTTCGGTGCTCAAGCATCCCACGCCCGGGTCTGCCGGAGTTCAATCAACCTCAGCTCGGGCGAGATAGGAAAGTCACAACTGTGTTTCACTTGGCTGAGTTGCCACCTCTTGATCCTGGTCATGAGAGTCGGTCGCTGATGTGGGGGCTTGTGGGGGGCGTCTCTAGAGTGGGGCACGTATTACGTCCGATGAGAATCGGAGCTCATTGTCCACGCAACTCCCGCATGGCGGGCCTGCTCAAGGACACCGAGCGGCGAGCGCGGCTCTGCGCGGCTGGCACATACCCACATGGGCTGGATTTATATAACAGCGGGATGATTGCTCGTCGAGGTGCCCGCCTCTCGGCCGTTAGATTGCACATGTCTGCCATCATTACCCATCCTACGTATGACGACGATGTAACGTTGGGGCGTGTCACTCAATTGAACGCGGTGAGTCCGTTTCCGTATTTTGGGCTTGGTGATGAGCGAGCTGATGATGGATTTCAGTATATGATCTGTATGTTCCTGTCCCCTTTTCTTGTTGATGCATGCCACAAATAACCATGCTTCGATCCGCCATTACACGCAGTGGCATGCTCAAGCGTACTGGTGAGTAATCGCGTATGCGCCGTGGCAAGTGTAACTTACTTCCGATGCGACTTCCAGGTCTACGACACTTTGAGCTGCCTGGACATGGAGGTCAGGTACATCTGGCAGAGGCGCTGGTCGGTCATGAAGGTCCTGTACCTGTGGACGCGTTACTCGGCATTCTCCAGCCCGGTGCTCGGGCTTGTGTATTGTGAGTAAGGTCTTTTATCTATGAGCGCGTCGGCGCTGAATGGAGCGTTGAATGTTGATGTTGCACGATTGCTACTGTAGTCGTGTTTAAGCCCGGGCATGAGCTTACACCTCGCGTCTGCTCGAGCGGTGTGAGCGCCGCTTTCTGTGAGTGTCTCTTGCAGAGCTGTAAGGCTTAGACGTCGGTTGAACGTGCTCCCTTGTCGTGCAGGGCTTGACGGCGTTGGGATATCGATATCGGAATGTGAGCATCTAAGCTATCTATCGCGTGTTGGCACTGGGATGATTGACAGTGGATGAAGTGGTCCTCGCTATGCGCATATGGGCGTTCTGGGGCAGGAAGCCTTTCATAGCGGCCATAGCAGCTGTAGTGTATGCAGGCTTCGTCTCCGGGGCGACGTACACGTTGTACGAGTTCTTCAGGAGGGTTGAGAGTGAGTGTTCGAACAGTCATCGGGATTCTCACTGATGCTCTCGTTGATCAGTCGTACCCATCGAGGGCCACCCGGGGTGCTTCGTGATCGGGGACGGGACGATGGCCAGGCTGTGTTAGTCTATGCTTTTAGGCGGAGAATCAAGTACGTCTTTATAGTGGCGAACCTGAGAATTGAGAGAAGTGTGGATTGCTGACTGGAGTCGGATGGCGGGAATTAGTATGCGTGCTGTTCCTGCTGATGGAGTCGTATATCGTCTGTAGGTGATCATATGCATGCTTGGGGATGTGTCGTGCTGATTATGGCGACTTGCACTCAAGATCGACATCTGCGCAGCTTATCGAGGCTGTTTAGGGCGATATTGACGGATGGTAAGTCAAGGTGTATGTCAAAGAATGAGCGCTGACAATGGATGGACAGGTGTTCTTTATTTTTGGGCGTTATGCGGTAAATTTATCTTTGAAATTGATCGCGGCTACAGGAATGACTGACGCCATAGTGCCAGTGCTTGTGGTCTTCATGATTGCCCCACCACAGATAGTATGTTCATTGATTTTGTCAATTGTTTATTACTCGATGATGCTGATACATCACTTCTAGAGTCCGACCTTTGACATGACAATTATTTTGTGCATGTGAGATATTTGAGCTGGTGAACGAGTTGAATATCTGATTGAAACTGTATGAGCAGACCGGGGCGCACACTCTACTCTGTGCTCATTGCCCACCTGGTTTTGCACGTCAAGGCGGTGGCAGATCCAAAGAGGCCAGTGCAGGAAGAGACGGACGCGGTCATTACGCTGACGACGTTCCGGTTTGCCGAGTACGAGATTTCACGATCATGACGGATATCACCTTAAGGGTAGCACAATCTGAGTGTAATATACTCAGAGGAAACGGAGAGGTACAATCAAAACCAAGAATACGGGATCCAGGAAAGTGTACATGCGTGGGTTACATACATACAGTACTCCGTACTTGATACTTTATATTTAGCTATCCCGCAGAGGGACCTCAGTGGTCGCGGGACTTTCTAGCCGCGCGTGCGTCAGCGACAGAAGATATGTCGGTAAATGGATAGGAGCGTGCTCACCTGTAGTCGCCTTCGGCACCTACTGAAAGCTCCTCGATCTCGCCCTGGGCGGCTTGCAGTGCCTCGGCGGCCTGGGCATAGTAGTTGAGCTGGGCCTTGACGAGGTCGTTGAGGTTCTTCAGGGGCTCGGGCTAAGCGATGGGCAAGGGATGTCAGATGCGGATCCGATTTAGGGGAGGGAGATAAGATGAATACTCACGTTGTCGAGCACGTTCTTCATGAGCGTGATGGCGACCTCCGTCTTCTGTACGAGGTCGTCCTCGGCGTTCTCGACCTCGAGGCGGGACTGCTCTTGCCGCGGGGGTCCTACAGTCTTCATCCTATGTACAAAAAATATTCGGTCAGTGACGAAAAACACGAGAACATGAAAACAAAGACGTACGACTGCTTGGCGGAATCGAGCTCGAGGCGGGAGATGCGGACGGCCTGGCGGGCCTTCATGGCAACGTCGATAGCGGTCGAGAGGGTCTGCTGCCACGGGGCGAGGAAGCTCCGCTGGATGGCGGTGTCCTGCTCCACGCGCACGGCACCGATCTTGTCCCAGGAGGCGGCGTAGAGGGCGAGGCCGCGGCCGAGACGGTCGTCGGCGCCACCGGGGGACGCTTGGACGCCCTGGGCACCTGAGGCGGCGGCGCGTGCGAGGGCGTGCGGGAGGGTCTTGTGCTGTGCCTGCGGGGCTGCGACGGGCTGTGGGGCGGGGATGGAGGTGCCCTTGAGGTTGGCGGCGGCGAAGTTGGTGATGCCTGTGCCGATGGAGGTGGAGAGCTCTGTAATGGACTCTTGGATCTGGGTTGGGTAGTCGTAGGTCTCGCTGCCGTATGCCTTGGTGATTCTGCGATAGGGTTGTTAGTGGGAGCACAGCATAGGCGAGAGGACGTACTTGAGGAGGGCGAAGTGGGCGTTGCGGAGGGCATCAACGCGGGCCTCAAGATCCTTGTACTCTGGAGGAGAATAAATGATAAATGAGAGAATGAAGAGGTCGTTGTATGCACTGACCTTGGGGGAGCTCAGTGATTTCGTCAGGAGCAATCTGGCCAAGGCGTTCCTTGGTTGCCTGGAGCTGGGAGTTGAAGCCCTTTGTGAACTTGTTGGCAGATTGGCCAAGGTTGAGGCCCGCGAAGCTAGACTGCAGTTTATTCCAGCCTTCCATGTCGGCACTGTTGTTGACGATGAGGAGGACGTTGCAGTGTTCCAGTCAGATGCCGCAGCTGATTGTGTCCTGCCAGATTGGGGCCAGTCACGGGACGCGCAATGGGCGATGAGGAAAGACGCGTATGCACTTCATCTTGTTCATCGTACACTATGGCCTCCGTCTACTCCTCACCAGGCTTTGATTTCTCAAACTCAGTACGGTGAGCACAAGCTGGTTTATCTTGACACAGAATAATCTAATCGCACACAGGAACTCGTTCCTCCAGGAAAAGGGCATCCCTCTCCCAAAGGCTACCAGCACCGGTACCACCATCGTCGGCTGCATCTTCCGCGATGGCGTCGTTCTTGGAGCAGATACCCGTGCAACAGAGGGCCCTATTGTAGCAGACAAGAACTGCGAGAAGGTACGCTATTGCTCGACGAGCACTTGTCCCATCGACTTATGGGGGCACACGCGTATGCTTGTGCTTTAGATTCACTACATCACCGAGTCGATTCGATGCTGCGGTGCTGGAACTGCTGCTGACACCGAGTTCACGACCGCATCTATCTCGAGTAACATGGAGCTCCACGGGCTCTCGACAGGTCGCCCCGCTCGCGTAGTCACCGCCATGACTATGCTGAAGCAGTACCTCTTCCGGTGAGCCTCCCGACTGTTGCCTAATATCAGACATCGCTGAACGCATGCATCAAGGTATCAAGGGCAAGTCGGTGCCGCCCTCGTCCTCGGTGGGATCGACGTGACTGGCCCACAACTGTTCACGATCCACCCACACGGTTCGACTGACAAGCTCCCCTACGTCACCATGGGCTCGGGTTCGCTCGCTGCAATGGCTGTCTTTGAGAGCGGATGGAAAAATGACATGACTGTGAGTATCGTTTCTTCTCGTCCAAATACAACACCAAACTCATCATGTGCTCTCCATGATCTTCATCGCACGCCACTCCAACCAACCCTCACTCCACCCGACCCGACACCACATCAGCGCGAAGAAGCCCTCTCCCTCGTCACCGCCGCCATCTCAGCCGGCATCTTCAACGACCTGGGCTCGGGCTCGAACGTCGACGCGTGCGTCATCACGCCGCAGGGCACCGAGATGCTGCGCAACTTTGTGAGGCCCAACGAGCGCGTCGAGAAGGAGCGCAAGTACGGCTTCCGCCGCGGCACGACCGCGTGGAAGAGCGAGAAGATCCGCAGCCTGATCGTCAGCGAGAACGTTATCCCCGTTGGCGCTGCGGCGGGTGCGACCGCGGGTGCGGGCGGGGAGGCGATGGATACGAGCTAGATTATTGGGGCAGTCGATCAACATCCTTGTAATACTTTCATCTTGCAATCATACAAGCTTAAAAATCACAAGAGCGCGCTATCTTAAGGCTTCCATGGTGATTCTGCACGACTATGTACGGGAGTATACAATGGTTATGTAGTCTTCTTCTCTTCTTTACTGTAAACTGTAAACGCATATGCTTATCCTATGTAGACAACGGGGCGATGTACACGCAAACACGTACGACTAGCTCGACGCTGCGCATCTACATCTATAATGTACTATAACAAAAACGGCGGGCGCGGGGCAGAGCTTTTCAGGTGGGGAAAATGTACATAGGCAAAATGAAGACAATTCAAGTGTGTCGGATGTAAAGGACTACAAGGTAATAAACAGTGCGAGTAAGGTGACGGCGGCGGCGTGGCAAGACGGGGTGGCTTAAATAGCGCTCGGACAAGAACAAGAACAAAAAACGGAAGGGCTAAAGGCTACATGTGGAAAACGAAGCGTGCATAGGCATACACGGGAGGCTGGGAGGGAGCGTGATTAAAGCACTCCGGCGGCGTCGTCTTCCGCGGGGGAGATGACGGCGACGAGGACCGAGATATCTGCCAATGTGGTCAGCGTGTGTCATAATATGATGAAGAAAGAGCTTACCATCGATCTTGCCGCCGCGGAACACCTTGCCCTGCTCGCGCGCGCGCCGCGCGAACGGCACCTCGGCCTCGGCCTCATCGGGGGACGCGGTGCGCGTGTTCGAGCCGGAGGAACCCTTGCGCTCGGACACGCGCCGGGCGCGCGAGCAGAGCGCCTCGGAGAGCATGCCGGCGAGCGTGCGCCGGCCCAGGAGGCCCTGGGCGCGGGGCTCGTCGAAGATGGCCGAGGGCGATGAGCTCGAGGAGCTTGATGCCGACGCAGACGAGAGGGGCGAGGAGGAGGCTGATGATAGGGGCGGTGAAGAGCTGAGGAAGGACCGCTTGAAGCGGACGACCTCGTCGAGGACCTCGTCGTCCCAGAGGTTGTCGCTCAGTCCGTCGCTGGCGAGGATGAGAATGTCGTCCTGCTGCACGGGCAGCGTGATGATCTGCGCGTCCGCGGGGCGCGCGTTCGAGCTCGGGCCGAGCTGCACAGGTGCGTTGAACTGGTATGATTGATATTATATCAGTAATGGGAGATAGGGAAAAGCGAACGATGAAACTTACACCGAACCACATCTCCTCGGACCGCCAGGCGACTTCCTCGCCTCGGACAAGCATGCCCATGCAGTCGCCGAGGTGTGCGATCTTGAGCACCGCATCAGGGGCTGGCATGTCCCGCTGCGCTGTCGGCTGGAAGAGCGTAAAGCGCGGCGCGGTATCCGCCTCTTGTTTAGGTCGCGGCGAGTGCTGTAGCACTGCTACAAGGGCCGTTGACGAGCCCGTCTTGAGAGGCGTCGCAGGGGGCGGCACGGACTGTGCCGCAGAAAGTTGGGGTTGTGGTGACCCCGGATCGGCGGGAAGAGAGGAGGGAGAGGAAGCACCAGAAGAGGGAGCGGAAGAAGGCACGACGTGCGCCTTGATCGTGCTCTCGTAGGCGCGCTCGAGGATCATGAGCACGTCCAAGCCATCCTCGAGGTCTTCGAGCTCGTCTTCGAGCTCATCCTGCACCTGCTCGACCGGGCTCGCCCATGGCCAGATGTTGAATCCTGCATTCACATTCGCAGGGCGCATGTGACTTGGCTCGGGGGCCGAGCGCGAGAGGAGGGCGGCGTCCGAGGCGCGCTGTTGTGCTGCCGAGGTCTCAGCAGAGCAGAAGTGCATGAGCCGGCGGGCGAACAAGGCACTCGGCGACGGGTCATTCGAAGAATGGGCACAATCTGCGAGAAGGGAAGGAAAGAATAGATGATGTCAGCTCCGGGTTAGGGATCTTGCCGTGCCGTGTGCGGCGAGGCAGACATGAGGAGAGAGCTGACATACCTGGTCGTGCGCGTGCCCAGCCGCCGACACCGTCTGCGACGCCCATGGCGTTGTCACGAATGAAGTAGGCGTCTTCGCCGACTTGTACAGCAAGACCCAGGTCCTCGGATGACCGGTCATGAAAGACGGTTCCACTTGAGCGATGTGATTGGCTCGAGGGGTTACTGGTGAATCCATCCCGGCCCGCGATGGTCTTGCCATTTGAGCGTTTGGGTATGCCATAAGCTCCGACATCGAGGTGATATCGAGGCTGATGTCGCTTCGTGCGCGGGTGGACGTCCGGATGATCCGATGCGGAGACGGAGTAGAAGGGGACGGGGGCGAGAGAGGAGTAGGGGAAGAGGGCGGCGGATTGGTACGCAGCGGGTGCGTGGGGCGGAGACGAGTTTGCCTGGGGCGAGGTGAGGGCGAGTGAGAAGGGGGGCTGGCCGCCTGTGTTGGCCGAGTTTTGGCCGTGCGGGTGGGGCGTGCCGTTGCTAGTGGGTTGGGACTGGGAGTGGGACGAGTGGCCCTCGCCTTCGCCTTTGACTGGTAGACGGGATGTGGATAGGACGTGTGGATTGCCAGGTCTAGACGAGGGCGGGGGCGGGGGAGGTGCGTCGAAGAAGGCGAGGGGCCCTGAGGATGGCGGTGCGGTGTAGAGGGAGCGGGACGACGACGAGGAGGAGACCGAGTTTGAGCGCGGGCGGTGGGTACGCTTGGAGATGGGGGCGAGGGGAGGAGAAGAGGGGCCTGGCTGGGCATGTGGGGGCAGACGGGGCAGGACGGTGTATATGCGCTTCTGGATCATGGTCTTCATCTTCGGACCCGGCCCACTCATCGTGATCTACAGCGTCGAGGGTGTGTGCAGCTCCGAGCTCAGCGTCTGCCGCGATGGCGACGGGGTGAAAGAGGGGAGTGCGCTGTGTTGGGAGACGAGCAAAAGAGAAAAGCTTAGGGCTGGGATGTGGACTGTTGCCGGAGAAAGCCGGGCCACTCTCCCTCCGTTACCCGGTTCAGTGTTATATTGTGATTGCTATTACAAACATAATAAATTTCTTATGACGTTGCCCCATTCACTTGACTCAGAGCCTCGTCCGCCTTTTGCAGGTCTCCCTCGCTCAGACTCCTGAACGCTCCTCCACCCGGCGTGCTCGCTCCAGACATCACAGAGCTCGCCCGCGACCGCACCTTCATCACAAGCGGGCTGCACCGAATCAGAACACACCAATCAGCTTCTACAAAGAACACTCACAAAGGGTACCCGTCTTCCTCGTCATCAGCTGTGGATCCGGGCCAATTGTATCCACCCCGATAATCGCTCGTCTCCAGTTTCTGCATCTGAACACAGATAATAGGCAGTTAGTGCGACGTTAACGTCATTCCCTCCCACATCCCCAGTCACGCGAGCCCAACGCTTATCACCAGAAAGGCTCCTGGGGCCCCTCGCACCGGCTCAACCAGCGGCCAACGGGAACAGAGACGGAGATGAAACAGAGAGAACGCGTACCTCCTCGGTGAGCGTCCCAAGGTCCCCGGGCGTCGCCATCCCGCGCAGCTTCGGGCTCGCGGGCATCGACATCAGGTTGCCCCTGTCCAGCCCGGAACCGGGCATCTCGAACTCGTCCTCGTCCAGCGCCTCCCCGCCCGGGCCGTAGAACGCGTCCGGGTACGCCCGCCGCAGCGCGAGCTGCCGCGCCTTGGAGTACTCGATCCCCAGGTTCTTCCAGTCGAGCAAGGGTGAGAGCCGCTCGACCCGGTTGCGCTGGTTGATCCGCTGCCGCCGCGTCTTGTTGCAGAAGGTGAACATGTGGTCGGACAGCTGGTTGACAGATTGTTCGACCGAGGCCGCACGGCGGTCGACGATGTAGCATCCTTCGTCTTCGGGGCGGTCGATCAGGTCTTGCATGAAGCAGCCAAAGCCGGACAGGTTCGTTGTCACCGACGGGATGCCCATCTACATTATCTTAGAAAATGCCTTGTGATAAAACGAGGTACTTACCACCGTACACTCGGCAGGCGTGTAGCCCCACGGCTCATAGTACGACGGGAACACGCCAAGATGGCACCCGCGCACAAACTCCTCATAGTCGAGCCCCAGGATCGGGTTGTTCGAGTTCAGAAAGTCGGGGTGGAACACGACCTTGACGCGGTCGTGCGAGTGGTTGAACAGCTTCACCCGCCGTACCTGGTTCAGGATCGGGTCGTTGGAGTCGTCCACCATGTTGTGCGTCACGACGGGCGGGAGTGAGTTGCGCTTCAGCGCAAAGATGCGCCGCTTCAGCAGGATCTGGTCCTCGGACGAGAGCAGGTCCGTCGGCGCGACGTGGTCCTTGTTTTCGCTGCGTTGGAGATGTGAGTGTGCGTGGATGCGAGGTGCGCGGAGCGGGGCGGCTCACCCGTGGAAGCGCGCGGCGTGGTCAAAGAGGCGTGCGCCGATCCGGTTCTGGATCTCGGTCACCGTGTCGCGGAGCTGCTTCATGACCGCCTGGCCCTTGAGCGCCTCGATGGTGTACGACTGCGTTGCCGCGGGCATGATGATGAACGCAACGACGGTCGTTTTCGAGCCGGACCGTTGCAGCTTGTAGTTGAGGCCTATCGTGGACGTTTGAGAGATTTCAGTGTTCTCAAAAGGACGTGTACGCACGGGCGAGGGACTCGATGAACATGTCGACACCCTTGTTGCGGTATTCGTACCGGCCTGCGGTGAACATCTGCACACGTGTATGTCAGATCGCCGCCATCCATGGGTTAAAGTATGGCTCACATAGAGCGTATTCTCGAGGTCAAAGTCATAGTGCCCATAGAAATGACCGCGGACGAACTCGTTGATCTTGGCCTTGGACGTCGCGTGCAGGTTCTGGAACTCGTGGATCGCCTGGAACTTGACGACGTTGAGGCCGTTGGGGAGCACGCCGTCGGGTTTGCGCTTGAGGAGGTGCTCGGACTCGAAGGCGGTGATGTGCGAGACGGTGGTGAAGACGTCGGCGCAATGGGTGGCGGCGCGCTCGATGCAGTAGCGGTGGTAGATGCCGCGCTTGCCCGCCTCGTGGTCGACGTCAAAGTACTGCAGGTTGTTGTAGAAGTCGACAGAGCCGGCGCAGAGGTAGCGGCCGAGGAGCGTCGCGTGTGTGGTGAAGACGGTCGTGACGTCGATGTGGCGCTTGCGGCAGAGGGGGATGGCGAGTCCGGCCTGCCACTCGTGGAAGTGGGCGATGATGGCGGTAGAGAGCTGGCGCGAGGCGTACTGAGGCGGGATCGCGATTGTTAGTAGCAGTTGATGATTGTGGAGGTGGAAGGCTAACCTCTCCGAGGAACCAGGCGACGAGGTAGCCGAGGATGATGGTCTCGTTGGTCTCGTTATCGTTCGGTGGGCTTGGGATACCGGCGAGGTTCCAGAGATCGCCCTTCCATTCGTCGAGTCTGTAGTGGACCGAGCCGGTGTCGAACAGCAGCACGCGCGGGGCGCCCTCGACGAGCCAGCGGCCGTAGAGCATCTTGACGCCCTGGGCGCGCATGCTGTCGAGGGTGGCGGCGAGGTGGGGGTCGTGGGGCTCCTGGGCCTCGACCTCCATGGGGGCGGTCTTGTACATGAGTGGGCCGATGAGGGTGTACCGGTCGCCGTACTCTTGGACGGTGACGGGGATCTTTGTCTTGATGACGGTGTAGATGCCGCCGACCTTGTTTGCGACCTCCCATGCGCACTCGAAGAGGAGTGGATTGTGCACGTCGCGCTGGGTGGATGTGGGGACGGGGATGGTGGTGGTGGTGAATGCGGCGGACGCTGCCTCTGAGCCAGTTGTTTCTGCCATCGTCGTCGTCGTTGTCGTCGTCGGCGGCGTCGATGAGATTGGCAGAGGATGAGCTGAGGGCAGAAAAAAAGCGGGATCTTATGGGCAGGGGGCGTCAGGGGAAGGACGCGACTTGAATATGACGTCGGTTGCCTAACTCAGATCTCATAACAAACTTTTCTCCATCTTATCAATTATTCTATTATCTACCCTACACCATAGTCTACCATAGCAACCTTCCCTTGGAGCTCATCCTACTCAACGCTGCCCCACAGGTGTCTACAAACACACACTCTCAAACACTCTCTAGGCAAACCAGGCGACGAGGAGGGCGAGTGCAGTGGACGAGACGAGGTTGACCTGCCATCGATATCACAAATGAGCAATCATGAATCACCCCCAAATCTCCGGCGTGTCACCGCCCGGCGGCATTCCGTCATACCAAAACAACAGTTTATATTAGCCATGCAAAACCCACCTGGTTGTTCGTCAGCAGATCTACGCCGCTGATGACCTCGAGCTCGGCGCTCGAGCTAGGCGCGTAGCCGTCTTGCATGATGAGCTTGCGTCCGCGCGAGTAGCGCGTGCACTGGACTGTTGCACCGAGGAAGGAGTCGAGCTGCGGGGTGGGAGCCAAAAGCGTCAGTAGCGGTGATTAATGCTGCGCGGGTGTGGAGACTACTCGAGCTACCCCGGATTCTGGGTGGGCTCGCTCCACCGTCCCAGGCTACCCCAGATTGGAGAGTGGCAACCGAAATAGCAGGGGCAAGATAACGAGAGCAGGCCACGAGTGCGCGGGTTTATGTAACTGGGGGACGTACCAGAGAGCCCAGTCCGCCAGCTAGAGTGCCCCAGCCCAATAGGGGCAGCAGAATCTCGTTCCACTCGGACCGGCAAGCCGCGTTTTCTCTCGCGAGCGTGAGGAACATTGTTAGGCCCATGATGAGTCCGCCTGACAGGGAGGCGAGCGTGCCGCCGAGGGAGACGCCACCGTTGGTACCCGGGGGCACGGGCTTGAGGGTCGTGATGAGGATCGGGGGGAGGGAGGAGAGGATGCCGAGCTCGGACGCGAGCGTGTCGCCCAGAGAGCAGGCGAGTTGGCTGTGGCGAGATGTTCAGTTAATGCTATGGGTTGCTCGGGCTACGAGGTGCTCACCCGAGAGTGGCGAAGAGGAGCGTGCGGCTCAGCCCGTCTGAGATGCTCGACGAGAGCGGACACCACGCGTTCGCGTCGTCGTATGGCACGCTCTGCTGCGAGACGGGATATATGCGGTGCAGGAAGGAGAAGGGGACGACGTGAGGCGCGAAGGTGACGCCCCATGCGACGCTTGCGGTGAGAACGACGAGGGCGTTGCTGAGCACTTGCCAGCCCGAGCGGTAGCCCGCGGCGAGGTAGCCGTCTTCGAGCCTCGCTTTACGCTGTTTGCCATCTGTGCACCGCCAGACACGTTAGCCGGTGCCCTGGTATGCGAGAGGGCTGGTGCACGCACATTTCGTAGCGCGGCTGCCGACCAGGTAGAAGACGATGAGTGAGACGCCGAACGCGCGCACGGGGGCGGCGAAGACGGTGAACCCGACGAGAAACGCGGTCGCTGCGCCTGATGGCGAGAGCGAGCCCGAGCGCAGGCCGTGGAGACTGAGGAGGGTCGCGACTGCTAATGGGACGACTGGTGACATTGTGAGGACGAGCAGACGCGTGTGGTGTCGCGAGTGCGGCTATTGCATTTTCTACGTCATGTTATTATGAAATCACTTTGGGTATTCTTGATGTCTATGTATAATGCTCTACTTTTTGAATGTAGGGAACAGTGGTGTACAAGTCTACTCGAGCATCGTCTTGTCCCACTTGCCAGAAGACTGTTGTTAACGTCATGTCAACCATTCCGCCAGTGACACGGGTGGTGTCGCGGGGAGTCTCGTTGACGCCGAGCTGGACGTCCTCACGGCCGAGGAAAAGAGTACGTCCGCCGAGATGCAAGCAGGCAGTCTCAGCGGCGAGACGGGTGCGGGTGCTGCGTTTTCTGAAGAGAAGAGCAATAGTTTTGTGCGCGAGCGACTGGTCTGGCTCTGGGGTGCTGCTTGGCTGCAAAAAGTGGCCTGCAGCAGGAGGAGAGACGTAGGGTTTTGAGACACGTTTGAGTTGCGGGGCCGAGAGGTCAGCAAGGGTCATGAGATGGGGGACACCAGCCAATTTTTTATGTTTTCTCTGGTGAACTGTACATTGTTAGTGTTTTATATATCTGGATAATCTGGAGGAGAAGGTCAGAGCAGGGTGAGATGGGGTCATGTCCAATAAATAGCCCCTATTTGATCTAACCCATCTCGTGTCTCATTTATCGTATCGTGGCGTCAGTCTCTGAGATATCGAACTGGATCTAACGTAGAAGCCAGAAAAAAGCTCTCTATTTAACAAATTATACAATACATCCGCACACTACACCCTCACCAGGCTTCGCATCTCCTGTTGTGGCGACAGGGCGGTCAGACTAAAGTGACTGTCGACGACGCTGAACAATAGTACGTACGACTCGTTTGTCCCTACAACTTACTCTTCAGCCGCTCCTTAACTTGATCCCAAACCGGCGTGATGGTCCTGCCAACCAGAAACCATGCAGCCGAGTCGCCGACAGAAGTGAGTATACCTGGCCGTGCTACTCGCCTGCGCTCCACTTCCCCCATGAGATGGTCTTCATCAAAACCACTCCAAACGCCAGCGGTACTGAGTAGGTTGGGATACAGGACCGGGAATAGGTCGTTGCGGACGATGGAGTCGAGCTGCGAGACTGGCAGGTCGAGAGAGTGGAGCGAGGTCGCCATGTGGTCCATCTGAGCGGGCGTGACCTCGGTGTCGAGAAAGAGGTCGGAGAGTATTGCGCAGGCCTTTTTCTCATTCACACTCAGTGCATTAGCAGCCATGATAGTTTGTTGCAAAAGTTGGCAGAGTATGCTGCTGGAGGTGAGGGTGGCGAGTGCAGAGACCTGGGTACGCCCCTATACTATCGTACAACCCTCAGTGAAACATAGAGTGAAACATCCCGATTGTAACGCTCTCCGGTGGCTCCCCTTCGTACTTTTAGTAATAAAGACTATATCGCCATATAGCCAGGACTCTTGACTCCATAATATGTCAGATTTAGCCTGGAACAGCATGATGTTGGCCTGCCAGAGCAATGCCGGAATCGTGACTTTGCCTCACTCTAAGTCTGTATTGGCGTCACGAAATGTCACGGAGCGGAGTTAGCGGCATGTCGTTGTGCCACGAAAGCGATGTGCGTTCCCAGCTTGCCGGACCATCGGCAGACGAGCGCGAGCAGCTTGACAAGCAGGGCGCGGGAGAGGGCCAAACCTGCTCGAAAACCACAAAACTTAAACAGACTGTGTGAGCCGCTAGCAGAGAAATAGCGGGTGAAGGTGTAAATACTCCAACCTCGTACAAGGGTAAGGAAAGCCAAAATAAAGACCGTAAGCTACCGTAAGTAAGAGTTACTATAGGGAAAGCGGAGTTTTAAATACCTTTGTCACGCCGGCAAGTCCTCGCTTTTGCCTCTTCTCACTACACAACATTCGCGCACCCTACACCCTTGAAAATGCGGGTGGTGGGCGCATTATCGTGGAATCTATACCTGCCGGGGTATGTGGCTGATCGGTGGGGAAGAAAGTACCTGCCCTGACGTTATATTGTAAAAACCGACTCAAGCCCACCCTGCGGAGCAATTTACTCGTGAGGGACTCATGATTTTATTGTTATATGTTATGTGCGTTGAGAACACATGTAGACAAACCTACCTGTAAATATTTGTGGCTATCATCGGAGGGATGAGTGAGATACGGTCGAATCTGACTTTGTTTCACTGTGATGTGGGTGTTTCACTGAGGGTTGTACGATAGTTATAAGTATAGGGGCATGCTTACTGGTTTGCCGCTGCCAGGGGCTATTTCCGCACTGACCCTGCGTTTTACTTTCGTCACTGTGCAATTCCTTGTCTGGCTAGCTTCCATATTGACGGTGAACATAGATGTCTTTACCATGGCCTTGGTGAACAGGCGGCGGTGCTCGCTCCGGCCAGTGCTTGGGCCAGTGCCTCATACACAACGTTTGCGAACGAGAAGACGTACTGGTCCCAGTGCAGATGGCTGATAAAGACGGCGTCTACGTCTGCGGGCTCTTGGCCTCCGCGCTGAGCTGATGCCTAATTAAGTCCTTCGAGAAATGGTAAGAGATATTCAAGTTGGCGCTTAAAGACCTGGTTTCGGGGACATTCGGGGACAAACTACAGTGCGCAGGCACCTGGGTGACACGGGAAAAGAGCCTAACGTAGCGTGGGGCAGACCTTAAGCGTGCGAGGCTAAGGTAGCGTCTTGACGGCTTAGCCGAGCACCCTGTGTTGCACCCTCTGGTTGCGGCGTTTCGCGGCGGAGATACTACCATATATGTATTACCTCCTCCCCTTGTCTCCCGTTCGTGATATAAGTCCCTAGATGAGATTAGATTACGATAATGTCGTCGATAACGTGCTAATCGAAGCTGACGTCACCGACGCCGTCAGGGTCCCGCTCCCTCCCCGCATATCCCGCCCTCGGGGCTAAGAATAGGAACTCCCGCGCCCTCCCTCGGGACCAATCGGCGGCATTCCCTCGGCTATCCCCTTTGCCGCCTGCTCCCGCGCCCGCGCCCTCCTCCCTCACGTCCCTTCCTCCCCCTCTCACATCGCTCTGCGCCTGTCCCCGCTGCTACTTCATCTCCATGCCTCGGGGGCCCAACTTCGCACGCAAACCCAAGACCATCCGCCTCAGTGGTGGGCTCAACAACGGCACAGGAGGAAGCGAGCCCATCCGGGCTTCTTCACTGAGGGCGGAGAGGAAGTCGAGGGCTAAGGTTAAAAAGGACGCAGAGGCAGAGCGGGAATCACGTCGGGAGGCTCTCAGCAGTAAGTCTCTGTTTGTTCTTCTCTCTCGTGCATGCTTATCCCGTCTAGATTTGACGTCGGCATCCCGCGCTTTCCACAACGACATCGCGACAGCATTTGGCGGGGATCCCGATGAAGGATTCGAGGAGAACCCTGCCGCCCCTCCAGCTGAAGATGTTACAATGGAGGTGGACAGTGAGTGGGTCGATGAAGATGGCCCGTCATATATTGCAGGGGAAATCGACGAAGGCATCCATGCCGCCCTCGAAGCCTCATTCGAAAAGTAAGTCGTCTTTAATGGTCTCAACCATTTCTTGCTACATCTTGTGTAGGCAGACCACCATCTACATACAAAGCTCCCGGGCACGTACTCGTTACGAACGTCTCGCACGCGCACACCGGGAATGGGAACGTCAACACCACGACCTCGTCCAGCAGTACCTGCTCTGGTTATCAGGTGCAGTGACATCTCCCACCACGCCCCCAGACCACCTATTCTCCATCCGCGTCCTCTCTATCAACAGTGAGTACATTGCTTTACTATAATTACATGTTACACTAACAATATACAGAGTCTGGCTCTCGTGTTGTGTCTCAACAACACGAGGAATATGCGAACGTCGCCCTCTTGCGCCTCGGGCTGCTCGGCAACACCCCTGAGGCACCTGAGACCGCCATCGACTTGCACACACTTGAAGTATACCACCGACTGCGCCGACGACATGCGCAGCTCGGAATCCAACCGTACGTCCGGGTTCTCTGCGACATCAATGACGTAAGTACTGCGTTCGCATCATTCATTTGAAACGCGCTCATCCAACACGTAAAGATCAATTATACCACTCAGCTCCGCGAATCATTTTCGAACGTGTTCGACGTGTACCTCAGCCTCCAACGCTCTGTCCGCGGTCTTATCGATGCCGAGATGGGCCGCGCAACTCCCAACTGGCGGGCACTGCATGGCTGCCCATGTTGTCATTACAAGGTATGTATTATCATGGCTATCGTTATCTACTAACGTGTCACTTCTGTAGGTAGCGGATGAATTCCCACTGCAGCCGGCTGTGCAGTACGCGGCCGACGGCAACAACTCCGCACGCCGGACCGAATCTGCGGGATCCGCCGACCAACGTATATTCAAAAGTGACTACTTTCTCTCGCGCGAAGAAGTCGACACCTTCAAAAACGAAGTCCGAGGATCCGTTCGAGGACCTCAGGTTCATGAAGGCGACGACCATGGCGATGGTCACGAGGGTGCAGACGAAGCCAGCCGCATGGGCCGCTGCACATCAGATTTCCGTGTCAGTAGGCCCGATGGCCCCAAGAAGGCGCTCGATATCTATGAAACGACGGGAATTTTTGCGGCGGCTTGTCGACATGGGGTCATGCAAAAGATCTGCGAGATGGTTCGTAGCGGTGAACTGTGAGTTCCATTTTTGTTCCGTATGATTTCCGAGCCCTCTAACTATTTCCAGTGCCAAGTATGGGCTGGCTGTTACCAACCATCTCCTCGACGTCCACGGCCACGACATCAATCTTGCCCAAGATACCGGGTGCGCCTTCAGCAAAACCATCGCCAATAGCCCCCTACTCGCGGACAAGGCACGCACACGTAATCTCAGCGTCTGCGTGAACGCGTTTCACGGATGGGCGCACAGCCGGCTATGCCAGCTCAACTTCCACCCCCTGTATCGCAAGGGAGCCGGGCTCTCGGATCTCGAGCAGATGGAGCGGGCGTTCTCGGCATCAAACGCCACAGTCCGCCTTATCCGCTACGCATCGCGGTTCCACTTCCTTCAGGGGCTTGATCTTCATTTCCTCCAGTGGGATGAGGACCGGTATGGCGAATTATGTACGTGACCTGTTCAAGTTTGATTTTTGTTGCTGACGTCTTCTATAGCTACTTTTCTATGCCAGAAATACCGCCAAGCCCTCACCATAATAACGGAGTACTCGCCTGCTGTGCAGGAGATGTGCCAACGCCTCTCCATCACCCCCTCGGACATCGACACGTGGATCGACCTCGAGCGCACGTTCCTCATGAACCTCAAAGAAGAACCGGACGATCGAAAGCTCGCAGCCGAGTACGTCCGGGCCATGGAGGCGCGTGACCGAGCCGAGTAAGTCCATTTTGATTTGCAGTACATCGCCTCATATTAATATCACACAAGCGAGGAGTGGCAGCGCGTCTCCGCGCCATTCAAGGTGACGATTGGCAACATCGACTACGAAAAGGATGCCAGCGAGACCCTGCTCCTGGAGAATACCCGCCGCCATGCAACCGAAGAGTACCTTGTCCGTCACCGAGTGGTCACCGACCTTGAGACCAAGCTCGGCGTTCGAGAGTCGTGGTCAAAATCATCCGAGGAATATCGCGCCGCCGCCGAGTACCTCCAACATCAAGATTTCTACAAGGCTTCGGACCGCGTCCAACTGCTCGTTGCTCAGCGGTTACAGGAGCTCACCAAGTCTCACATCCAGGATACCGGTACGTTTCATTTATTTCTCATGTGTTCATTTAATCCTAATAGACAGCAACTCAGGGTACAAAATGCGTAAGGCAATCGGGAAGGCGATTGAGCGTCGCTCCACAGCCGTCCGCACCGCTATCACACATTACAACAAGCTTGCCGCGAAGATGAACCCGCCTGCGACCCAACTCCGATGGGACGATATCGTCCAGTACACTTTTTTATCGGAATTAGAAATACTTAAACACTCGTATTTTCAGCAGGATGTCCGCGAGCAGGCCTGGGCAAAGCCTGTCAATAGAGACGCGGCCATCAAGCACTTCAAGATCCAGCGGGCGCGCGAGGAGATCAACAGGCTTAATGTCGAAGCTCGGCGGCTTCGAACTTGGGTGAACGACGAACTGGATGACATTAAGCGACATAAGGAGCGGCTTGAAAAAGCCAATCCCCTCCTCGCTGCAGCCATGACGTCGCAGTTCGCCGCTCGGATTCGTGCTAACCACGCCCATCTCAGGAGGCTGGACACGCTTGAGCGGCTCCCAGGGTATTCGGGAACAGTCAGTGCACGCGATACTGATGGAGAAGCGTCTCGTGAGGATAATCACCTGGATCTCGAAGACGAGGAGCTTCACGACAGTATGCACAAGCTTTCACTTTACGTAGAAAATATGGACTAGAATTAGCTAACAACTTAGACTTGCGAGAGACATAAAAATTGGGTCGAACGGCTTGAGAATTAAAATAAGAAGTTTGATGCACGAGTGTTCTGATGTGATGCATTGATGTGTGATGTATGTGGACTTAGTACTTAGGTTTGATGTGCGTGTGTGCGATGCGACACGCGGATGCCTGACCAGTGATGAGACTATGATAAGAATGCCGCGCGTTGGGACTATGCTGACCACCGCAATCCCAGCATGACCACTCCTCGCAAAGGACACTTCTCGCCCTCTGCTATCAGTAGTTGGGCGCGGAACACCAGTCCTCCACCCATGGCCGACGATATTCGCATTGAGTGTTTTCGTCGCCGCTGCGGTGTCGGCCGGACTCCACCTCACATGTACCCTCCCTCACTTCATCACGATTTCTGCACGAGCGTCAATGATCGCAACGCGGTTTGGGCAAACTTTGTTCTGGACATCAATGATGCGGTATGTGCAATAACCCTCCTAGTACTTGTCCTCATCTCATTGGTTCACTAAGGTTGCTGCCATGTCTCGTTTGACCGATGGCGTCTTTGTCGGTTTTGGTGTGAGGCCAGAGTGGGACCCTTCAAAGCCAGTTGATCCCTCGCAAATCAACGTCCAAACCTTCGCCAGCTACCACTCTGACAAACCACGTGTTCGAGCCGCCATCACCCAGTTGGAGAACATCATCCGGGAGGAGATTGCGGCTGAGCACATCATGACATTCGGTGAGAGATTACATACGGTTAGTCCTGGCGCTGGTTATCTCGTCCATCCTTCACGCTCCTCTTCCCAACCACTCCCATCCTCCCGACCGCCGCCACCGTCCCATCCACCACCTCTCTCGGCGCCCCCTGCTCCTGCAGTCCACTCTACCCCTGCAGCTCCCCCTACTCCTCTGGTTCCTCTCACTCCCGCTGCAAGCCGTACCTTGTCGTCCCCTCCCTCAACTCGCTCCTCCCGCACGCTATCTTCCCAACGGCTTTCCACGGTGGACTCCCCTTCACCCACTCCTGCCCCAACAACACCCTCGAAGCCCAGTCGTTCCCTGCTTTCACTACCCCCGCTCCCCTCACGGTCCACGCCCGAGCCATCGACAAATGCCAGTAGCTCGAGAAGGCGAGGTGCTGAGGCAGGCACGTCTCGATCAGCCCAGTCAGATCTACAGGCTCCTGAGCCATCCTCACCGTTCAGCGTTTCAACAAGCTCCTCTCGGTCATCCCTCTCGACTCGGTCTGGTACTTCACTGTTCCGCCCGCCCGAAAGCCCTTGCACGCCTCTCGCACCTTTTGACTCTCCGGCACTCTTCTCCAGTTCCCTCCCTTCTGTTTCTAAACCTTCTCCCCCGCCTCCTTCGCCATCGCGACCTCCGCGTGCTCGTTCCACAGGCAAAGGCAAGGAGAAGGCATCGAAAGCCCCTGAGTCATCGGATGACGGCACGCTGTCGCCTGCGGCTGTGCAGTATATCGCCGACCTCGGGTTGAGCCGCCGTACTCAGCTCCTGGTTCGCGCTGCGGTCATTTTCGAAAGGCCGCTGTGGGTCGCGTTGTTTGTAGAGGCTGGTATGACCATGAGTCAAGGTGCAGAGCTATACCGAAGGCTTTAAACGGTACGGTAAATGTCTACTCACCCGCCATTCTCTCTTCTGACTATGCTATAGGCTGGCATCATTTCGCGTACTTCGGACATTAGCTAGGTTACCCTGAGCCGTGTATGCCGATTTGTACATTGTTTGTTCCAATTTTTACGCGTCTTTTTTTCACCCCTCCCGTCTCTCCTCTGTGTGCCTTTCTCGTCTCACGTTTGCTCTCCACCATGAGCACCCCACCCTCTGAAGACAGCCCAATCCCCATCTCGTCTCGACCAAAGCGAACGTCCGCACAGGTGCAGGGCGAGGAGACCCCGCAGAGCGGCCTCTGGGAAGCAATCGAAGAGCAACGGAACTTGCTCACGTTGGCTGCTGCCGGCCTTGCTGATGCCTACGGAAAGTACGTGGTTTGCTACTTATGTGCTTCTAATTACTGAGTGTTTTACTAGGCCGGCGCAATGGGTTGCTACACAAATATACATGGGTGTCAAGGATGCTCCGAAGCCAAGGGCCAATGGCTTCACGATGTTCGTGAAACACACGCACCAGTCGCTCGTTGAAGAAGGGCGTAAGTACAGTCTTCTTCTTCTTCTGCAGTCTGTACGTGCTAACTTCTCTTAAGGCGAGTTACCACGCGGCTCCCAGTTGATGGTTGAAGTCACGAAGGTCGCCTCGGAGCGATGGAAGGCCATCCCCACCTCGGAGAAGATCGATTGGCTACAGAAGGCACGAGACGCCCAGCAGGAAGCCAGCGACAATACCAAGAAGCCCATTAAGCGGGTCCGGGATGAACACATCGCGAACTCCATTGAGGTCGCGTGTCGACGAAAGGTGCAGCCTGTCGTAAGTCTTTTTCCTCGCTAATCACCCGATTTCATACTAATGTTCCCTCATGTGTAGCTTGCAGAGCTGTCGCAGACGACCGGGTGCCACGCTCTCTATATCGTGACACGGAACTCTGTCACTGATCAGTATGCACCGCGCAACTTCTGTTCTGACCGCCTCAATGAGGCATGCACCAAACTATTTAAATTCAACCTAGAGGAGATCATGCTCCGCCTCGACGCTTATGTGGCAGGTGGATTAGCGGAGGTAGCCCGCATCACCGGTGAGCGACGCAACGTCGCATTGCGAAGGCTCATTCGCGAGCAAGTCCTATCGAAGCTTTGTAAGTACTACCTTTCCTTCGCACCGGGGATATAGCTAATCTATTCATAGGTGCCTCGATCAAAGGTCGCCTCAACATCCCCCCCGAGGAGCTACCCACCAACATGGAGTGGGTCGACTACGACAACCTCTGCTTGAGGTACCGGACCGAGCTTGTGGGCTTCCCGGGTGGCGAGGTCAAGAACCCGAACAAGATCGGCTCCGTCAACCTGCTTGCCGAGATTGAGGCCGCCCTCCGAACGGGCAACTGCTTCTGGCGCGCGCTCACGGATGAGGAATGGGAGGCCCGGAGGAAGGCCGAGGATGAGCGGCTGCTCTCCGGGCAGAAGCGCACGTGCAAGAGAAAGCGGGCGAACACGACATACCCACCGCCATCCGGCTCTTCTCAGTCTGTATTGCCGTCGCCGTCGCCAACGCCGCCGCCTTCATCAAGTCCCTTTGTGTCCGCCCAGTTACCATCTTCCCAGCAGATCTCTCCGACGGCACTGCCGCCGTCGCCATTGTCGACTCCTTCACCTATCATGCATGATTATAACATCTCCTCAGGCTCTTCAGATCTCGCACTTGGGTATGGTTTTCATGATGACTCCGTCCCCTTGCATACACCCCTTTCTTCTGGTTCCGTTACACCGTTTACTGAGTCTCCCTCCTGGTCATATTCCCAACCACCTGACTTACTCTCCTCATCATCATATGAGCTTTTCTCTACTAATACTACTTTACCTGCGCCTGGCGACTTGGATAACTCTTCTACTTATTGGACTGATATGTTGTATGACTAGTATAATAGTTTCAATCACCCTAGAGCACCTATACTACGGTAGATATACGTCGTTGTTAATAATAATAATAGATGAGTTATAGACTTATAGTCCTCACTGCTAGCGCGGGACTTAGAAAAAATTTCAATGTGACACGTGTTCTTATAACCGCGGGTGAACCATCAGCCGAGAATGCCGGATGCCGGTCCCTTCCGCCACGTGTTCTCATTGCATAATTTTCTCTAAGTCCCCTTTGCTAGTATTAACAGTAGGCTTTACTAGTACTTTACTATGATAGTTTGTTACTCGAAATCTATTATGGACTATTGTGCTACCTGGATGCCATGGCTCTATAATAAGGGAGCTTATTTGAACTCATATAGCTTACAGATGCATTGCTATCCTACTGCACACAGTCGCGCCTTCGAGAGGGGGAGGAAGGGACGTGAGGGAGGAGGGCGCGGGCGCGGGAGCAGGCGGCAAAGGGGATAGCCGAGGGAATGCCGCCGATTGGTCCCGAGGGAGGGCGCGGGAGTTCCTATTCTTAGCCCCGAGGGCGGGATATGCGGGGAGGGAGCGGGACCCTGACGGCGTCGGTGACGTCAGCTTCGATTAGCACGTTATCGACGACATTATCGTAATCTAATCTCATCTAGGGACTTATATCACGAACGGGAGACAAGGGGAGGAGGTAATACATATATGGTAGTATCTCCGCCGCGAAACGCCGCAACCAGAGGGTGCAACACAGGGTGCTCGGCTAAGCCGTCAAGACGCTACCTTAGCCTCGCACGCTTAAGGTCTGCCCCACGCTACGTTAGGCTCTTTTCCCGTGTCACCCAGGTGGCGCAGGATGAACTGGATGAACACTTGATCGGTTGTTCGAGGCACAAACCTCGGACTAATCGTGAGCAAACCTGGAATGATTTACACTCCACGGTGACATTCATACCAGAGGCGGCGTCATTGAACCGTCGAGCTCAAAAGAACGCATACTATGCGTACAGAAACGACGTGTAGACGTCTAGGCGTGCGCTGGTCATGAAGAAATTCGAGAAGAGTTGCTTCATTACCCTCGCACGACAACCTTACGCCCGACGCACCTAAAGATGCATTTATTAACTTCGAAATGACAGATGTTATCATCTTTATGTACATCGTTCTACTTTTATCACATCTTGCGGAAAGCGGGTATCCTCGATATAACCGGGATACGGTATTTGTCGGGCGCTTACTGTAGCAGCGTCTTGTCCCACTTGCCGAAGAGGAGACTGCGATATTCATTAGTACATCGCAGGTACCAGAGGATGGCAGTACGCACTCGAACAACGCCATGATGGTCCACTTCCGGTTGTCTGCCTCGGAGAAGACGAGGGAGCGTGGGCCGTAGAAGACCTCGTCGTCGACTTCGTCCTGCTTGCGAGGGAGACAGTGCAGGAACTTCCAGTCGGGGTTCGCGCCGCCCTCACGGCAGAGCTTCTCGGTAACTTGGTATCCCGCAAAGTCCTTAAGACGCTGGGGTTTCTCAGCCTCTTGGCCCATCGAGATCCAAGTGTCGGTGACAACGACGTCTGCACCGTGAACTGCCTCACGAGGGTCGGTGACCCAGGTGATGCGCTTGTCGCATCCGAGCTCGACGACGCGGTCCCAGACGGGCGTGGGTGCGCGGTATTGGGGCTGGGGAGGCGAAGCGACGCGGAGAGCGTGGCCCAGGCGTGGGTAAGTGACGAGCATGTCGTGCAGGACGTTAGCGGAGTCGCCGACGTAGGCGACGGTCAGAGGGGGGAGCTCGGGGAGAGCATCAGAAGAGGAGGGAGAGGAAGAGCCGGGGAAGAGGTGGGCGTGTTCTTGAAGGGTGAGGTAGTCTGCGAGGATTTGGGTCGGGTGCCAAAAGGAGGAGAGGGCGTTGATGACGGGTACGGGGGAATGGCGGGCGAGTTCCTGGGGTTGGGGTCAGTAACGCATGTTATCTCCCGAGGCCTCGGACGCGCACCTCGATCTCAGCGTGCTCGCCGACGCGAGCGAAGATGCCCTGGCACATGCCGCCGATGACGCGGGCAGAGTCGCGAGCAGATTCGTTGACACCGAGCTGGATGTCTTCGGTGCCGAGGAAGAGGGCGCGTCCGCCAAGATGGAGGCACGCAGTTTCAGCAGCAAGACGTGTCCGGGTACTGCGCTTGCTGAATAGCAAGGCAATGGTCTTGTGCGCGAGGGACTGTTCTGGCTCGGGTGTGCCACTGCCTGGCACGAGGGCTTTGCCGCCGACTGCAGGAGAGACCCAGGGCTTGGAGACGCGTTTGAGGAGGGCAGCGCGTTGGATAACACGGGAGATCTGGGGGGCCGAGAGGTCGGCGAGGGTCATGAGATGGGGAACACCAGCCATTCTGTTTATGTTTTTCTAGTTAGATTGTTGTTAGTTTTATGTCTGGAGGAGGAGACCGAGTCAGAAAAAAGTGGAGAGATAGGGTCATGTCCATATGCAGAAGGAGGTCGGACAATGCCGAGCGTGTTTTCGGGCTCCGCGCCGATGGGCGGGTGTCAGGAAACAGGTGCCAAGTCTCCCAGCCACTGCGGCTCTCCTCATCGGCGACGACCACGACCACAGCACTCGGCGCACTGCACCAGACGGCGAGGACAGCAACCAGCAGCTGAAGGTACCAGTCGGACGACAAATTGTCGGCGGACAGTCGACATCTGGGGACTCAAAGCTAACCACCGACTCATTGCCGCATCGCGTCGTGGGAGATTCAAATGGAAAACCCCATCTCGTCATCCCAACCCGCCTTGCCCCAGACACAAACACCCTCCCGCTCTCCCTCGCCCGCCCCGCCCATCGTCCAGCCCGACCATTTCTACGGCCACGACGACGGCAGACTCATTCCTTCACCGCGTTCGGACGGACGCACATGGCTCGACCCTGCCGACGATCCGCTCGCCCACAGGGGCATACCGGTCTTCAAGCCGACCATGCACGAGTTTCAGGACTTTGAAGGCTACATGAACAAGATCCAGCCTTGGGGATCGAGGAGCGGAATCGTCAAGGTCATTCCGCCAAAGGAGTGGTGCGTCCCGTTCCGTATTTAGGGGCTTCACAGGGCGGCCCGCTCATGTCGCCAATGACAGGTGCGACGCGCTCCCGTCTACCAAGGAGCAGCTCGGGAGCGTCAAGATACGCACACCGATTGAGCAGCACATGCTCGGTCGTGGGGGTCTGTTCCGCCAGGAGAATATGGAGAAGCGCCGCATCATGAGCGTCCGCGAGTGGTTCGAGATCTGCGAGAAGGATGACTTCAAGGCGCCCGGCGTAGATGACATCGGACTTCATGCGCGTAGCGCAAACGCTCGCCCGAGGACCACGAGGCGGAGGAAGACGGCGGCGAAGGAGGAGACGGTAGAGTCCGAGATTAAGCAAGAGGAGGAGCCCTTGTCACCGCCTCATTCGCCACAAGCCGATCTCAAGGAGGTCAAGGAAGACTCGGTGTCGAATGTCAAGGAAGAGGAAGGGGCAGAAGGCTCGAACAAGGAGGACCAAGAGGACCAGGAGGACAGCAAGGCAAAGGCAAAGCGGACGCGCGAAGTTAGGGAGGCTCAGCGGGCCGCTCAGGACGTCACTTTCCTGGAGTCTTTTGAAGCCCACAAGGACTGGCTGCCGTCCAACACGACCAACGACGATTACAATATCGAGTTCTGTCAGAAGCTCGAACGCCAGTTTTGGCGGAATTGTGGATTGGGCAAGCCGGCGTGGTACGGGGCGGATACGATGGGTGCGTAATGACTTGATTTCATCGTATCATCGGTGCTTATATCACTATAGGCTCCCTGTTTACCGACGAAACCAAGGCGTGGAACGTTGCTCGCCTGCCTTCGCTGCTCTCGCGGATCCTGCCTTCGTCCTCCAAGGGGTTGCCTGGCGTCAACACGCCTTATCTTTATTTCGGAATGTGGCGCGCAACGTTTGCGTGGCACGTCGAGGACATGGATTTGTTCAGCATCAACTACATTCATTTCGGAGCACCCAAATTTTGGTATGCTGTTCCGCAGGGGCGTGCAGCTGCTTTGGAGCAGACTATGAAAGGTATGGGTTATAACAATATCTATATGCATTTCGGGACTGATGATGTGCTAGGCTACTTCCCCAAGGACACTTCAGTGTGCCCACAGTTCCTCCGACACAAGTCATTCCTGGCCTCGCCTACACTGCTCGCACAGTCATCATGTAGACCGAATTTCTTGGTCCAGAAAGAGCAAGAATTTGTGATCACATATCCGCGCGGGTATCATGCTGGGTTCAACTTGGGCTTCAACTGCGCGGAGAGCGTGAATTTTGCACTGGATAGCTGGTTGGAGTACGGGCGGAGGGCGAAGGCGTGCGAGTGTGTGACGGATAGGTAAGTTTTGTCCTTGCTAGCAAATGGTTGGATTTTTCTCTGACATTTTTATATAGCGTGCGGATAGACGTCGACCAACTCTTGGCCGACCGGGAGGCAGAGGCCGCTGAAGCCTGTGCCTCCGCATCGTCGTCAAAGCGCAGGGCAGATGGAGACGGGTCGTCTCCGCAGAAGCGCAAGAGGCCGAAGAAGGAGAATCAGTCGCCATTTTCTGCGCCTTCGTCATCTGCTTCTGCGGGTCCTTCATCGGCGTCAACGCCGACGCCGAGGGTCACGCTCAGGTTGGGTCCGAGGCCGGAGGAGACGTTCCCTTGTTGTCTGTGCGTGTCCACGTCGAAGGAGGGGCTGTTGAGGGTGCAGGATCCGCCAATAGGCAGGAGGGATTTGCCAGAGTCGCTGGGGAGTTTGAGGGAGGTTGGGAGGTGGATGGCGCATGGGGAGTGTGCGAAGATTGTACCGGAGACGTGGGTGGATGAGGTGGAGGTGGATGGTCAAAATTTGGGTGGGGAAAGGAGGGAGAGGAGGGTGTTTGGTGTAGATGGGATTGTCAAGGATCGGTGGGGGCTGGTGAGTTTATTATTGTTGTTGATGTGTGAGGGTGGTTTGCTGATGTGAGGATCAGAAATGCGCGGCGTGTACGAAGACCAAGGCGAAGGCCCATGGTGCGCCAATACAGTGCACAAAGGGCAAGTGTGCCAAGTCGTATCATGTCTCGTGTGCGCGGGGTGGGGCGTCAAGTGGCATTTCATTCTTGATTGTGGAGGAGCATGAGCGAGAAGTTACGATCGTGGACCCGAATCCGCCTCCTACGCCCGCGCTGGTGGATGTTGTTTCTGTCATCGATGATGCTCAGCCAACAAGTATGGATGTGGATGGCGCAACTCCGCCTGACGCTACCGCTTCGGAGCCACAGGTGCTCAAAATTATCAAGAAGCTAGAGGTACAGGTTCTGTGTCCTCAGCATAACCCCGTACGTATTACATCCTGTTCTTCAGTTATGTCCAGGTGGCTGACTCGTGCTGCAGGAAGTGGCCGCAGCAAAGAAAGCCTCAAAGCAGGACAAAATCAAAAACGACCTACTGGCGCTCCCGCCGATGTCGCGGATCAAGGTCCGGGTGAGCTCGGGCGTGTTCGAGGTATCGCTCGTGCGCGTCATCGAAGAGTCCAAGTCGATCGAGGTACTCTGGGACCGCGGGCTCAGGCGCGAGTTCAAGTGGGGGAGCGTGGTATTTGGGCAGACAGATGGACAGGATGTGCAGCAGAAACCGTCGACACCTGCGCCGGACCGTGCGTATTTTCTTGCTCGTTTGTACGTTTGAGCAATTTGTGGCTAATGAGTAGGCTTTTCTGGTGGTGTTGACGCTAACAGCTCCGGCGCCGTCGACGACGCATATGGCGGCGGGGTCGTATGCGGCGGTTGCCCCGGTCGCTGCGAACGCTACGCAGGGGGCGGCGGGGGCGTATCCGCTTCCGCTGCAGCCGATGAGCTTCTCGGCGTATTCGGCGTCCGGGACGTGGTCGTACCAGAACTATCATCAGCAACATCAGGCGATGCAGCAGGCGATGGCGTATCCGTATGCGGGGTATTATTATCCGTATCATCTTGCCCAGCAGCAGCAGCAGCAACAGCAACAGCAACAACAGCAACAGCAACAACACCAGCAGCTGCAGCAACAGGTGGGGCAGGGAGGTGTGGCGAAGGGGGCGACGGGGCCAGGAGGGACCAAGTATAGGGCGCAGTTGCAGTGGCAGACGCCGTATACGGGGCCTCCGGCGCAGGCGCAGACCACGGTGGCTGTTGCACCTTCCGCGGCTTCACCCGCTCCTACTGAGCCTCGGACGCAGGAGGCTGCGATTAGTGGTACGGAGAGCGGTAGTGCTGAGCAAGTAGCTCCAGCACCTGCACTCGAGACTGCGATTATGGGCAGTTGATGGACCGTGTGGTTTAGAGCGATTGTACATTTTGCGTTCGGTGTTTTGATACTCTACTCAGCCTTTTCTTATTGCGCTAGTTTTCTTACTCTTGTGTGTATTGCATGAACTGTATCCGCTGCTTAGTCTGGCTTTAATATCATGTACGCTGCTTGTGACCATTCTAGTGATGTTGAGACATGCAAAGCCCCTATTGACTTTCTCACGTGCGAGGTAAAGGTGGGCGCGTCGCGCTAATTTCTCACCACTTGCTGTCACCACGGACGCGTCCCCCTAACCTCTGACGTCGACAATCGTCTCCCCTCAGGTCCTCTTGTGATTTATTTAGGCTTGAACAGAGGCACAGTCTACGAGACGTACGCCCTATCTAAGGATGTGGCTTATTACTGGACCATTTGACGGGGAATTGGGGGATATAAAGTCTACTAGTGAGTACTCGCCCTCTCCTATCCGGGGCACATTTCAACGAGCTGGTAGAGACGAAGCTCCTGCGAACAGGGAAGACCTACCATCTCGGGCGGAAGGACAAGGAACTCCTTGTGAGGAATACGAAGATATCGGTGGACCATGCACAGTTCACTGTGGACCCTTACACGGAGGAGGACATGGTATGTGTTTGCGCTTCCGCTAGGAAGGGTGTTAACTCAGGGTAACTTGTGACTCAATAGAAGGATCCAAGTTTCGTTCCAAAGCTAGTGGTTTACAATCAGAGGAAGAAAGAAATGGCCGTTGCCCGACCCGACGATGATAAGGATGGGATAACGGTAGAGGCCGGCACGTCTTTTGAGTTGCGGAGTGGAGATGCGCTTTACCCTCTTCAGACCCGGGGCCTTTACATTGAGTGCGTATAACTATTATTCCCGCATTTAATTTCGATTAATGAGGTTACACAGGGTGGAGTGGAGACGTATAACTTGTTGTATGCCGCCTGGCAAGGGAAAGCCACCAGTTTCCATAGAGGCATGTGCCTCAGTAGGTGAGCAGTTGTACAATCTGTGTTTGGGATGTAAACACTCATTGGTGTAGGAATCGGTGTTCTTCACGAATCTCACAAACTCACGACACATCACATCGCTGCCAAGTTTGAGCTTAACCCGCTGCTTATGGCTTCCCTCATAGCGGCTGCACAGGTCGTAAGACCCGACTGGCTAGCTGGGCTCGTCAAGCTTGGCAACGAGAGCGTGCAAGAGAACCCTTACCACTGCTCTGCCCTCGAGTCTGAATTCGCACATCTGCCGGAGGCGAAGTACTACAAGCCGGTGTTTGGTGCTGCTCTGCCCACAGACTTGAAGTCTTTTAGGCACTGGGAGCCGAATGAAGTGCGCATGGATCTGTTTGGAAGCTTTCGGTTTATCTTGCTCCCAGGAAAGGATGGCAAGGTGGACGGCGACCTTAGGGGGCTAGTTGTATGTGGAGGGGCGGAGTATGAGGTTTTCGAGGGCAGTCTGACGGGTTCTGGTGGGTGGCAGCAAGTTTTGGCCAGAGGGAAAAGGAAAGCGGACAGTTCAGGGAAGATTTTGATTATCGTTGGAGATCAGGTAGCCTTGGGTAAAGAGGCATGGAATTCAGTAATTGCGGGTGCTGCGAGGTACGACGGCTGGCACATTTTGAATTTGAGCTTCTAACAAATTTATTTAGCCTCAACGTCTACGTTAAACCTCCCAAGGTTCTTTTAGAGGCAGTTGCGTTTGTCGACTGCAGTGAGCTAGGAAAGACGGATCATACCCAGGCTCGGGAAGGTAAATGGCAGCATCCATAGGTCAGGCGCCTCATGCTCAACTTTTTGTCAAGTAACTCCTCCCGATTCGTTACCCGACTTTGTTCCAAATACTCATCCTGAAGAACCATCTATCCCACCACCAGCGTATTGGCGAGCAGCTGAAAAAGCTCAGGACGACGCTCCTACTCAGGATTCTCCAGAGGAGAAAAACCAAGAGGATTTTCTAATGGCCGACTTAATTCCAAAAACGAAGCCTCGAAAGGTCAGCTCAGATCTTGATAGGGCCATCGACTTGAAGCTGACCTCTTTAGGTTCTCACTCGCCGGATTCGCCAAGCCACCGTCGAGCCTACATCATCTCAGCCTGCTGAAGCCAAAGCATCGACGAGCAGACCACCGGACTCTACGGGTCGACCACCGTCTTTAAGTCGCCCTCCGGATTCGGGTGGCAGTGTCACGGATGGAGGTCTTCCTGTATGTTCTGGCTAAATCATCTTGCAGCGTGTCTCATCTGCTTTTCTAGATCCCAGCTAGTATAAACCGTCCTAGATTGAGGAGGCGAGAGCGGACACCGTCACAAAGCAAACCCTCGGGAATATCTGAAATACTCCAAATTTCCGAGGAGCCTCCTCTCAAAAAATTCAAGGCCCTTTTTGAAGCTAGCGATCCTGATAAAATGGGTGCGAGTGGCCTGGCAGTGTTCGACAATGATCAGAGTATCAGGCCCTCGTCAGCGAGCATGACACAGAGTGACAGTCTGATGACTCCTGTGGCCGCCCCTGCCGTACTTGAAGCAGTCCCAGAAGAGGAGGAGGAAAGCACACTGTCGCAGGCTGCTCATCATCCGCCAGCGGAGAAATCACCAACTCCTCCCCGGGGTCAAAGTGCGGCGCCAAACGACCAACCGTTAGACGAAACGCGAGCCCGCCCGGATAGCAAACGAACAAATCTGAGAAAGGAAGGATCGAAAAAGCTCGATACGGACGAGGCATTCTTGAAGGCTCTCGCGTCGACGAAGAAGGGCAAGAGGACTGAGGACGACTTTGATCGAGAGTTCAATCAGCTACGCATCTCGAGACCGGACTTGCAGGAGGAGGTCGACGACGAGCCTTGGAGGATGATCGGTGACTTTGATGATTTGCGGAATATTCGAGGGAACTTTATGGTCGTGGTAGACCTCGACGTTCAAGACAAGGGCTGGAGAAACTCCAATGTCAATAGGAGCACGAACCCCCTTTGGGCGGGCCGGCCAAATTTCAAGAAGTTCAAGAAGGTGAGAGTGTTCCTTGTCATTCAGGACGACATCTGATAAACTGTATTAGAAAAACTCTGCTTTCTCTCGCCCTAGGATTGAGTTGATGGCGAGCGAAGCGAACGACTATGGCATGGGCTCTGGTGCGCCAATATTATTTTCGGCTGTTATATGGTGCACTGACGACCCTTCTTTTGCAGGATATTGGAAAGCAAGCTCGGAGACGATGTCTTCTTCCAAGACCGCCTCTAGCACCCAGTTCCCGAGTCAAAGAGCCATGTCGCGTCAACGTTCGGTTACCGTGGATTTCTCGGAGGAAAAAGAGCCTGAACTTGACCCCATGTCTGAACCTGAACCTATGCCCGTCAAGAAAAGCACGCGGAGGACACAGGCACCTGAGCCCGCGCCTTCCCAGCGTCGGCTGTTTTTGGAGTCGGACGATGAGGACGACAACGCACAAGTCCTGGAGGGTTCTTACCCTGAGATCACGACATTATCACCACCAAAGTCTGCTTCCCAGGTCAAGAAACGACGAGCACCAATGGATGATGATGATTCGGATGATGGAGTCACCTTCAAGGGGTTTGGTACGAAAAGAAGAAAGGCAGCACGATGAGTACTTTTATTAGTGAATGGACATTCACATTGGGATGAGGATAGTGGGTATCGTACGATCAACAAGTCAGCACTACATTATGTATATCTATGTAACTAAGAGGACAGCTCGTCTATAAATCTGTTTCGTCGCGACGAAGTTCTTCGTGAATGGAGAAACCGAGGAGTCGTTGAGTTTTGGCGGCTTTTCGGCCACCCGTTTGGCTGTAAGAGCAGATGTTAAAGAAATAAATAGAATGAGCATCGCAAAAGGCACTGACCTTTGCTCCTGGCAAACAAAACTCTCGGGCGCTCCTTCCCAGTCATCCAGAACGTACTTGGTTGCGTTGCCTTGAGGCTCGTCGTCGCCGGTGCCGAAGAGATCCAGAGCGAGCTGGGTATGACTTACGCCGGCGTAAGTCGTAACACAGCGCGGGTTTACGAGGATCCGAGCAGGCTGGTATACAGAGTTAGGGACAGAGATTTTGCCGGTGGGAAGGGAGTCTAGTGGCTGATCCGAGTCTGGCATGGCGTCAAAGTCCGAGCCAGCATTGGCATCCGAATCCTCCTCGTCACGGCGAGCCCAGTCAGGATCTTGCTCTCCGTCGCGACGGACATTGCGATTGCCAGCTGTCGCTGAATGATCAGGAGTGTCTTCATCAATAACTCCTTCACGGGCTTTGGAAGTCCAGAGGTCTCGGCAGAAATATGCTTGGGTGCTATCTAGGCACTGTGCGTCGGGTGTTCGCTCAGGGGCAGTGTCAGAGAGGGAGGCATTGTGAAAGTCTATGCCGTAGCGATATTTGATGCCTTTGTAGTATGACTGCTCGGGGTCGACGACGTGGGTGCCGGCTTCGCAGCAGAACACTTGGAAGGGGAGGTGAGCAATGTAGCGCGCGGCGCCAACTTCATCGCGTGGAGGGACAGCGTCAAGTTTTTCCGACGACTTCGACTGACGGAATTGGTCGCCTCGGATGTCACGAGTCCTCCAACTAACGACGCATGAGAGCCGGCAGTAACATGTGCAAGCGGAATCACGTACCGGTCAGAAAAGACAAAGTGACCATTCAGCTCAGCGGCAGCCCAGTCCATCCCACAAACCAATGCAGCCTCGTTTGCCACGCTGACTTTGAGAGTCTCGAAGATATCGTTGGGGCAAGTAAAGCCTTTCAGCCAGATGACGCGGTTGAACTTGATGTTACGTTTGTGATACAGCTCGAAGAGGGGTTCAAGCGCCAGGTTCCGCATGTGCGCTTCCTCTGCAGGGTAGTAGGCGGCCGTCGGGTCTTCCGTCATACCAGGGACCCTCCGGATACGATAAGGGATGCCGAGTAAGGTGAGTACGGCTTCGCATAGGTCGGTAAGCGTAGCTGTTGAGTCCGTGGAGTCGTAATCTAGCATTGAGACAAATAGATTGCTGGTTCCGAAGCGTTTTGCCATTTGGACGATAACCGCAAGCTGATCCACCAAGAAGTGATCGGCTGAATGGATGGCAAGGCCGATGTAGTAGAGGTGGTCCCCTTGAACAAGCTCGCCGTAGGCGTCATCACTATTGCGATTCTGGCCAAATGGACGCACGAGCGTCGGGCAATAGGCAGCAACCCATCCGTTCAGGGACAAGAGGCTTTCGACGGCATTGAGAACGTTTTGAACGTCGGTCTGCGACGTATCACTTCCCGTCACGCTAAGTTGGGGTCGAAGACGTTGGTTCTAAGGTATGATAAGGCTATTAAGACTTACAATGGTATATGGAACCTTTGCCAGTAATCCTCAATTCCATCCTGAACAATATCATCAAATATATCCTCTCTCTCGTCCCGTCCAATGCGTGCTTGAAGAGATTTGTATCGCTGAACGTTCAGTGTCTTGTCGGCGCCAGTTACGCGTTCGAACACATTGATTTCTTCGACCGAGTTTTTGGCAGGGTTGCTACCGGAGGAAGAGAAGACAAGTTTAAGGAAAAGGACGGAACCAAGGGCAAGGAGGATTTTTGGAACATGTTGTCGTCTCAACGAGAAAGCCATGCGGACGCCGTCGAAAATCCCCGCTACGTCCGAGTCTACAGAATGGTATCCTCCCAAGGCGGAAAACCGCGGATTCTGACGCGCGCGGATCGGCCTCGTGTGACAACAGCTTGTCGGACTTTTTAATGCTCCCTCGCAACCCCACATTGTCACGGATCTCAATGCCACTGAAGATTAAAATGCTGTATAGTCGAACCTCCCATAACCCATACCCTGATAACCCATACTCCCCGATAACCCATGCGATGGGGCTACTCCCGTGTTGGTCCTTACCCACATGGATCCGAAAACCCATAACTCTCTGATACCCAATATCCCATACAATTTTGCCAGTAAAACCCATACTTTTCGGTAGCTTTCGGACCCTTTAGAGTACATTTGTAAGCCTTAATTGTACTTTGGGTCGTGTTCGTCCTTTTTCCATCATCCAATTCCATATGTAAATGAGCAACAGCAACATAGAAACACTCAAGAAGGGCATTGACCCCCTTAGAAGTAGCATCAAGCAGTGCAAGACTGAGCTTGATGCTCACATTTCTCGCAGCCAACCAATCTCCAACTTAAGAAGACAACAGCTGGCTTGATGGCCCAGCTAACCTTGTTGACGAGGAGCGGATCATTGAGACCCTTGCAAATGAAGGAGGTCACTGAGGCCACCACTGTAATTGGGCAATGCCTCGACAACATGGACAGCATACTCACTCGAAAACTCAAGGTCATGTTTGCCTCCCTCACGCATCAGATGAGGGTTGAAGCATCACAGCAGCTTAAGACCTCCCAAATCACTGACTTTTTTCGTAGCTCATCAGAACAGCTTAGACAATAGAAGAAAGCTAACAGTATTTTGGTCTCATTTTATCCCCCTATCTTTCGACCTTTTCTTGTAACCCATATTTCCGATAACCCATATCGTTTGGCGTCTCCCGAAGAGTATGGGTTATGGGAGGTTCAACTGTAATGATGTTGCTAGGGCAAGCCAATGACACTAGAAAAACATTTCAATAAGATTTGCCAATTTAGTTAAAACACCTTGGCTGAGTAGTTTAAACAATATTTTTATACCTGTCCGAAAATTATCCAATCCAGGCACCAGGTATTAAAATAAAGTCCGGGAAAGCATCTTTAAATCCAAAAAAAAAACTAGAGACACCAAGTGTAAGGGCCTGTTCGATTGCACAATAAGATATTGAGATATTGGAGTGATACATAAAAAGTCACGTGATATTATTTGGTTAGCCCAAAAAATGACAGTGTGTGTCAAGATTTGGTCAGGATACACCAGATACATGGGTTTTGGCCAATGTAATACTGTACTTTCACAACCACAAGTTCGCATGGTGGCATGGGAAAGTGGTTACGAAATACAGCATGTCCCACTTTTAAGTTTGTGTGGGGCAATGAGTGTGGGACACCAAGTTCACTTGCAGCTACTCACCTCTTGCTTCACCTCCTCCCTCTCTTCCCGTATGCCATCATTCTCCACCCATCAGCTCGGCACATTCAAGGCTAGAAAGCACAACAGTTCAGCATGGTGGGCTTGGGCTGTTTCTGCTGAGTTTCTCCCAAGTTTCTCCCAAGGTGAGTGCTTCTCCTCAGAATTGCAGTTGGGAGAGCTCACATACTTGGTCACCCTTCCACACATGTCATTACTTCTTGTGCAGGCGATCTCCAACAGAAACTGTCAACCTCATGGCTCAAATTCTGGACCCCAACAGCTCAAATCCCGGACCCCAACAGCTCAAACAATGGGCCTTGATTCATCAACAAGCACAAGGTTGACTTAGATCTCATGCACATGCTGGATCCAGAGCATTTTGGGTAAGGGAAGTGTTGTAGGACTTTGAACAAGAAGTACTGTACTTTTACAACCATTTGCTCATCCCATGTTCCACAGACCAAGCGAACGAGCCTATAGGGGTGGGACTGTCCCGCACCTATGGGGACATAGGAGCCAAAAAAACGGGACATGTGGTAAAAATGGTGTAAAAAATCATAGAAATTCAGAAAAAAAAATCCCAGTGCATACAGAAAGTAACTAGTGGCCTAAATGACTATTGTACTTCTTGCTAGATACTTTTTGATGTTTCCATCAATGCCTCTGTGGGATCTCAACAAGGTCTGGATCAATCTCAACATCATCTGCCATTCCCGGACTAACCCCTACTTTGACTGCATGCCCAGGATTCAAGATCCACGCCATGAGATCCCCAGGCTCGAGCCATGTATCGTCATTGAGCTCCTCGTCAGTTGCAAACGGGTTGTCATGCTTGGCGCTTTCTCAATGCAAGCCAAGGTTGTTGTCAGATGCATCATGAATGGGCAATTTGGACACGTGGGCCCATGTCCCAAATCTTGTATATTGGTTGTAGCCCGGTTCTAAGCGCTTGTAAGGCCTTACAACCACTTGTAACCAGAAGGCCCAGAGCGGTGCTCGTAACCTGATCCAAGAGAAGAGTCACAGTTAAAAGTAGGTTGCAAGGGGGTTACAACGTGTTGCAACTCAGTTAGAATGGCCTGCAATTGCGTAAAACCCACTTAATGGTTGCTGGAGGGGTTGCAAGCGGCTAGCAACTTGCTTCAATAGTGTTTAAACCATTTTTGGACTTTACAGTTGCAACCCAAAATCAATTTTTCTGACACAGAGCTCAGGGTCAGTGTTGGGGAGTTTGCAAAGCAGCTTGAGAGCCTCAGGGTTTGTCGATGAGTCGAAGGATAGGTTGAAACCGTCCTTGACTCAACAGTGAGCAAAAGCCTGTAAATATCGCTATAAACACATTAGTGAATACAACTCAAAGTGAATAGCAATGTAATGCACCTTTTTGATGAGCTCTGGATGATTGGTATTGTTCCAGGCTTGCACACCCCATGCAACTGATCAGTCACGAAGCATGGAAATGCGGGTGTCAATCTTGATGCAAGCAGAATCAGCATGGACCTGCAGATGTTCGAGCGCGTCATTCACGGTGTCACAAAGTTGAGATCTCTTGATTGAGTGCTTGTAGGAATATTGCATCACCACATTGCATGGCTGGAAGTTGCCAGTACAGCCTCCGGGAACATAGCAAAGCCGTATCCATGGCCACCTGCAGCAAACGAGGTCCCGAAACTGCTGGCCTTGATGCACGGACCAGCAGTTGAGAACGCAGCACTGCTGATCCTCACGGTAGCCGTAGGCCACCTTGTGACGCATAAAGAAGGGGACAGCAACCTTTTAAAAATACTCCTCCATTGTGTCAAAGTTTGACCAGTAGTTTTCTTTGTTCAAGGAGTAAATGAAGCCAAGGCAAAATGCCTCAGCTTGTCCAGGAGCCATCAGGGAAGAGAGAGCGCGAGCAGTCTGGCCTTTGAAAATGAATTGGGTGGGGAGAAGCTCACCAGATGCAGAAACACCGACAACAGTGGTGAACGCACACTTCTCCTCCTTTCCAACCACTGCCACCTGCTTTGATCCCTTGATCTCAAACATTGTGGTGCTAGTGTTGGCCATCACCACTTGTGTTTGGTCGAAGTTGATGAGGAGTTCCGGGTGTCGAACACCAGTGTTGCGGATCCAGAGTGACAGATGCAGAAACAGCTTGTAAATCTGCTGTTCTGCGTCTACCAACATCTTCTGAGCAGCACACATCAATCATCGAGGTACCCAGCGAAGGTGGAGGTGAATGAACTTCCTGACGAACGCCTGCGAGCACAAGAATGGCTTAGCATCAGATGCAGTAGCCTCGAAAAGATGGGGTGCAAAATGGGTGAACTGGGCAATCATCAGGGCCTGAATGGAGGTTACAGAGAGGGGAATACCAGCTGCATGGAGCATGTGTAGCTGGTCAGCTATGGACTTGACAAGTTTGGGGTATTTTGACTAAAGGTACATGAGCATACACTTCCAAAAACAAGTTGAAGTATGATGTACCAAAATTCCCTGACGTGTCACCTTTCCATCAGCCAGATTGCCCAAGGCCACCTGTGTGAGGACTGGTCTTTCCAACGCAGCCCAGATCCATCCTCAGGGTGCTCTATCCATTTCCCAATGGTCTGTGCCCATAGACGTTTGAACACCTTCCAAAGTGGGCCAGCCATGAGGTGATCGTGAATCTTCTTTGGTTCCCAGTTACCACCAACAGCATGTGCTGCTGCGTTGATGTACGGGAACATGGTGGGGCTGCTCCATTTGTATCGCCAGGCTGGGTTTCTTGTATGTTTGCGCTTGCGACCATGGGGATTACATTTCTTGGCCACTTGCTTGAGCTGTGGAGATGGTCTTGAATCGTCCAGGGTCGGTATCGAGACTGCATGCGGGGCAGTAGGAGGAGGGGATGTGCATTGAACCAACACCTCCTAACTGTGTGGTTCAGTATCTAATACAGGAATGGGAGTAGATTGTGTTAGAGAAGAATGCACCTTCTTAGCCTTGAGACAGGCACGGTAGACCTGTTTTTGCATTGTGTCCTTTGCAGTCCTCTGCTTCTTGCGGATCTTGTCACGGAGATTTGCTTCATGCTCTGCTTTCTGTAGGTGATCCTCTACATCAGCAATGAGTTCTGGCCTGGGCTGATGCAAAGCCTTGACTGCTGCCTCAGAGAGTTTTAGAAAAAAGGTTCTGAGGTTTGTTTTTGTGAGTTTGGTGGGCTGCGATGGGTGCGGGAGTGAAGTGGGTGTGGATGTGCTGCTGTCAAGTTCTTCACCAAGATTGTCATCACTGCTGCTGCTGTGGTCATGGTCAGTGCTGATGTCGCTGTCGTAGCTGCTGAAGTCATCACTATCATGGCCATCACTACTGTAGCCGTCACTAGAGTCACTGTCACAGCTGTAAGGTGGGGGAGGTGAAAGCAACAAAGAGTGAGGCGATACTGGTGAGAATGGCAATGTGCATGGGGATGGGATCAAGATGAGAATGGCGGAGAGCTGGCTGCAAGCTGGCTGCTGTCAAGGCGACAGCTTATTGTGCGCTCACAGAGGGTAAGGTTCTCCTATGATAACGTCAACACAGGCTCAAATGACCAAATAAGCATGACCACGTACCAAGCTATAGCAACTTCTGGGCTGGGAAACAAGCACCAATGCGTACTCAACACGCTCTGCATTCTTGGTGGATGGATCCCAGGGGTGCACACCTGGAAAAAGTGCTCAATAGTGTTCCAAGTCACAACACCACACGAAAAGTTGTTGTCCTGAATAGAACAGTGGAGCTTGCTGGGCATGGATGTGACATCCATGCCAATCTTCGTGCTGAAGTGTTGGAACCCACCAAGATCATGAGGGTCGATGGAGCCAAATGGTTGGCTGCGGATTGAATCACCAGTGTAGACCGTCTCGGTACGCGCATCCAAGATGGCAGCAGTGTAGTGGCTGTGCCAGTAATCAAACAAGGGGCAGATGATGCCCTCATAGCCACCGGACTTGAACTCCTTGGTGACATTGTGGATGTGTGACAGGTGCCTTGCATGGGGAGCATCAAAATTGTTCCATAAAACAAGCTTGGAGATGGGAGGGTGGAAAGGTACCTGAAAGTTGAGGTTGTCAATGAGCAAGCTGCACTGTACTGGATATGTGTGAGTCCAGGACCGGATCATGTTTGTGACATGATCTACAAGTGATCCTGCAAGCCACCAGTCTGAGAAGAGGTCGATGACGTTGAGAGTGCTGAGTTGGCCATCCAGAATGCAAGTGTCCCAACCAACCGTGTGGAAGAAGGCATCAATAGCAGGGGGGATGTGAGCAAATATCGGCAGCATTAATGTGGCAGTGATATTGGTTTGTGCCCACTCGTAGGTGGCCACCCACATGTCCTTGGCTTGTGTTGCCGGTAGAATACATATCCACAGGAGGGGGAGCCAGAAGGGGAGATGGTAGGTCAAGTCACTGATATCAAGGGCAAGACTACGATTGCCCTGTTCCCATTCTACCCATAGAGCTGCACGGTCGAGTGAGGGAGCGAACGATGGGATGGGAATTGAAAGAGGACCAAGGAGATGAGGATCTGGAGGTTGAGGCAAGAAGACAGGAATGTCAGGAAGCAGTGAGGGCTTTTGGTATGGGGGAATGGGCGCGTTGATAAGGTCAAAAGCGGGCACTTCATGGTTAAGCACACCAAGAAGGTGTTGGGAGGGGATCTGAGTGGCATAATCAAATGCAGCACAAACAAGATGAGGTGGAGGCATGTCTGAAGGATAACAACATACCATTTCCCGAGGATTCAGGCCTGTACTTATAGCTACAGAGAGTATATGCCAGGGGCATCCCAAGCAGGAGTATCAACGGTTCACGAGCAAGGGTTCAATGAGGAGCGAGGTTCAGGTGGTGGCATAACGTCAGAACTACAGGGTTGCAACAAAGACTGATCCAAAACTCACCTCCGTTACCCATGGACATGTACATTTCTCCTGCTCAAAAACCTTGTATATAATGCTACAGCATTATTCATGCAGGGATATGCTCATAGTAAAGCCAAAACTTCACCAGCAGCAAAATTTAACTGGACACAAGAGGGTGAATGCCCCGCAGAATGCGGACTGGCCAACCAGCCAACACCAAGTTGAGCCCACTGCACTCCAGTGCAGCATGGCTTGTACGACCTGAGAACAAAGGGAATCATCAGCTACGGTAATGCACGCCATTGGAAATGTTGATGACCAACAATCCACCTAAACACCCTTGATACTGGGAAATGGAGGCTGGTGATGTTTGATGTCCTGCGCTGACGCAACACGTCCCTCAGAAGAATTAGCGCCTTACAAGCCAGTGTCCTGTGTCAGTCCCGAGATGCGAGCCAAAAAGCGGGACACCCCGATTAGGCAGCTATTTTCCCATGAGCAAATGGTTGTAAAAGTACAGTATGCCAGTTACTAGTTGGTTGCTATATGTGTTCCTCAGATGTGTAGCTTCATTTTGACACTTTAAGTGCATGTTTTGGTTGATTCTACACCATGTTCCATTTTTAAGTCCATTCCCAATGTCCAATGGGACATGGGACAAAACTTGTGATCATAAAAGTACAGTATTCTACTCCATATTGTGCATCCAAACACAGGATGTGCTCCAAAGCATTATATTTGAGGTGCCCAGATCATGACTGCCATTACAGGAAGGTGAGCTCTGTGAGCAACTCTTAACTAGGGGAAGTCACTGCACATGCAAACAAGAAGTGATGATGATGAGAAAGACTAACCCTAACCCTGGATGGGGCTTGAGCAGAAGTAGATGTCTCGATAAGAGGGCTTGAGACTTAGGTTTACAAATAGAGCTAAGGGGAAATCCCAAAAAAACTCTCTTGGAGTTCTGGGTCATCAGCTGCAGTCTTATATACTACTATGAATGCCCCCCCTGTGAAACATCGCTGTTATTTGAACATATCTCATCCATCCCCCCATCAATGCTCACGATTATTTTTCTGTACACTGTTCACATGCTAGTCTATAGCATAGTTGAAGCTCAGCAGTAGAAGGTCAGAACTGAGTGTTGTACAGCTCAACAAACCTTTCTAAGTTACATTACTCAAAACTCATTTGCCCCAGGCACCTGGTCAAATATGCCTCGTTTACTTTGGGCTTTTGGTGTCTGTTAAAAACATGTATCTACTAATCAGAGTACAAATTGTGCACATCAATGTTTAATTGATGTTTAATTGCCTGCATTTCAGCAGCATTGAGATTTTGAGTTTGGAAGACAGGGGCTTGGTTGTGACAAAAGTGTGATGGAGTAGCATGGCGGCACACATTGGCATGAAGTCATTCATCTATCAAAACATATCAAAACACTGTGACCAGTATGACATAGCCGTTATGGTCACAGATTTCTACAGTGAGGGTAGAGTCACAGTATTGGCATCCTGCTGGCATTTCTTCCAGGCTTTGAGAAGGTATGCAGAAAATTCTGAAGCTACGGAAGACATTGGATTACATGAATAATAAGTTTTCAGAGGTTATTGGCTATATACAAGGTAAAGGGAAAAAACACAAAACAGAGGTGTTTCACAGGGTGTACATTGTTTCACAGGGGGGGCATCAATAGTACTGGGCAGCTGCGCACAGACCGTGTAACTAAAGGTAGGGCTCCTGCCTAATTAGGAATACAAGCACTTAGTAATACAAGTACACCATATTGCATGATCCTTGCATCATATGATGTCATGGTCCAGACCCATCACATGCTTGATCACATGCCTGCTTATGTAATAGATAAGGCCAAAGCCTGGCCATGTAAAGAATGAATGCAATAAATAATGTGTTGTTTGTCCGAGTTAGGGCTAGCAAGAGGTGTTTCTGACAATGATCCAGGCTCACAGGCAAACAAGGATATGTCCTTTTGCTTGTGGAGACTTTGTGTACATCTCAACAAAGGACTTAACCTTCTCCAAGGGAATGACAATAAAACTTTTGCCTAAGTTTGTGGGTCATATCAGATAATTGAGAACTTTGGAAACAATTTCTTCTGAATTAAATCACCCAACAGAATGAAAAAGCAGGGAATTCACAATGTGTATCACAGTCCTTTGTTTAGGATCCATGTCCCTAACAATGATTGACTTTTCCCTGGGAGGATAAAAAGTTGGGTTGCAGACTTCAGCAAAGGCTCTTCAGAATGGGCAACTGATCTTGCATGCAAGGCAGATTTGAACTGAAACACCCACTAAACATCATTCAAATGCCTGTCATATGCCAGCCTATTTAGCAAATATATAATTTGGTTGGCATTTAACTGGTGTTTGAACGGTGTTTAATTGATGTTTTGCTTGCCAATGAAAATTGTTTGATTTCTTCTTCTTCTCATATTTTATTGGCCATCAGCCCTGCTGGGCTGTTAAAAATCTGAATTTGGCTCAGAATGTGAACCATATTTGACAGTCCAGTCTGGTTCATGACCTGGCTGCTATATACAGATTGTGTCTTAAATATCTATTGTCACCTGTCACAGTCATAAGCAAACTTATGACTAAAAATTACAGCTTGGCTAATAGAAAGGTCATGTGACCACCATGCCAAGGGAATTTGGGAAGGAGAACCCCAGTGGCGTGGAGGGAGGGAGTGGGATGTGATGGTCTGAAGCCTTTTGGGAGAGCAGTGTCATGTACCATGCCTACAACCACTAGATCTGAGCATCTCTGGTTCCTTTGGACATCTACACTCACCTCCGGACACCTCCACTCAGCTTTGTGTCAACTCTGGTGTCTCCAGAACCTCTGGAACCTCCAAAGAATCTACATCATTAACCTTCAACCTCACTATATGTTTCAAGTATGTTCTCCTTAACAATATCCTTACCTATATTTTGTGTATTGTTCCCTTTGACATCCTTACATCATTCCTGCATTGTTTCCTTGTATTTCTGATATTATAGTTAACACCTCCTATGTCATACCCTTTCCTATTTCTATACCTTGTAGCTGAACTACACTCCCCTTTGCCCAACTACTATGACTTCATACTTGGGCTGTAGTATATAAGCCCTTTTGTTTAGGCTAGTTTACTTCAGTCTGAACATCAACTTCAATTTTTGTATACTACAGTCTCCACTCCAAACTCCTCCATATTCTCCTGTAATCCTTTGTACTCCTCTGTGTCAATTCTTTGTCAACTCTGAGCCTATGGCTCATCTTCAAGGCTATTCTAGTATTTCTGTACTTCAGCTCTGTGGCTTCAGAGAACTCTGGTCAAGTTCCTGTACTTTCATTCTGTTATATTGCTTGTTACATTATGTCTACATACATCTCTGTTTCCCTCTGGTCTTGTTCTGTTCCCCTCCATTACCTCCAGTTGCCTACACTCCATTTCCTTCAACTGCCCTTCATTACTATAGTTCTGTATACACTATAGTTCTCAACAACTGTCTCAAGGTCACCAAGCTGGTTGTTGGCAGCAAGCTGACAAGTGTACTCAGCCTGAGAAGTGAAATTGTATCAGTAATGTAAATAAGCTGTAATGTAAAGCATACCAAAGCACATGTGAGTGTCATGGCCCCACGCGGAACATAGAACTCCTCATTGTCATTATAGTGGGGAACTCTGACCCGGCTCCAGATAGCAGCACAGAGCATCACAAGAAAACTGGCATACAGCTGACCCCTGAAATTACTGGTGGGCTTTGAGCCATCTTCAGGGACGTTCTTGTACATGAATGCGTGCCCAACGAGCAGCCTGGCAGCATACTCAATCTGCTCGGACTCAGCATCTTCATGGTCATACATACCTAGGTTGGTGAAAGAAAGTAAAAGAACGGAGGTAGCGGTGGTACCAAAGTTGCTGCACCATTCAGTGGCTCTCTGCTTGTACTATACACAGCAGGCATTATACTGATTGGCCAGTAAATTAATAGACACACTTACCAGAGTGAATACAGCACCCTGAATCAAGTCCTGCTCTTTGGGTAGATCCTCATTGTAAACTGTGAGCCAGATGTTGCGAAGAGCACCAAGGATCTTCTTGTTTGAGGGACCCCACACCTCCTTCTGGCAAGCAAGTCAGGCAAGGAAGGTCAGGACAAAAACACAAGCCCACCTGTAGTTCTTGCGGGCATGCGGTATCATGCACCAATAGTGATTGGCCCGCAATATGGTTCAAGATGAGCACTAATACAGTTTTCCAATGCACCCCAGGGATACACAGGACAAGAATACGCCTCATAACCAAGAGAGCAGAAGGGCATGACTGAGTCTCTTCCCATCACCATGCTTGGCATAGTCATAGACGACCCATTCCTCTTTACTCTGGTGACCATCATCTTCTCAGTCACATTTGTTGTCTTTCTACTGCATCATCCTTGCGTGGCTCATCAGCAACAGTATCTTCCACTCCTTTGACCTTCTTCGCCAATTCCCAGAGTCCCAAATGTATCCCGACACCACCTTCGTTTGCTGCATCGCCAACAGAGACTACTTTGTTGCAGACCCTTGTACAAATTTCAATGACCATCTGAAGGTCAGCATCGGGTCAATTGTGACCATTATTCTTCCTGCTGGTAAAGGACAAGCTAAGGCTGCTAGAGGCCCTGTTCACTCCATTTGCCACTATGAGCAGGAATATGTTGTCTTCAACGTCTACTCCACAAAACATCGCCCTCTCCACTGCATCGCTCGTCTGGCTTTACCTTATCACCTCTGCAACCTTTCTTTTGTGCAGTGTAGCATCTATCATGCCCTCCACCCCATCAGTCCACAGACCAGCAAG